GTTGTGCAATCTTTATATCTACTTGTATATTTAGAGGAAGCCAAATAGCAATTTAACATGATGTGAAATGAATTAGGTGACAATGACAATGGGATAATTGGGGGGGTGGCATCCCCCCGAAATGAAAATGGTCAAAATCATCCCCTTTCAAAAACGGTCATCCCAAACTTCCATCCCTTGAGCCATTTTTGTCAATGAATGCGAAAATATTCCAACTATTTTAACATTAGAAATATTTCCGCTGTTTTAAAGTTTAGCGGATGTGACGGAGCCGCGTCTTCGCTGACTGCGGGCAGCGCGTGGAGCCACACGTACCTACATACACGTCAAACATTTCCCTCCCCGCCAGCGTCGCTAATTTCCCACTAAACAGCGTTACTTTACCTTCTCCCTGTTGGACAGAGTAACCAAGGTTGCACACTTAGAGCTCTATCAGTTAACTTAAACACACATTCACACAGACATTAATCGCTCCACTTACTTGCCGGGTGTCCGTTCACGCCGTCATGCCGGTTCATGTTTCCAAATGAGGAAACAGAGCGCGTGATTTCCGGGTGTAAAATAGGTGTGTATGGAGGTTCAAGGTGGTCACATGATGCAATAAAAATTAATTCCCTTATTGCTTGTCATGAATCCATAAAAAATAATGCTCCATTGATTTGTGTAAAAACTTAGTTAGAATGGCAAAAAAATGATAACTGATAACTATGGGGTGCCGTTTGTAAAGCAGCCCATTATAAAAACAACAGCAAGATTTGGTCACATTTAGCAAAACAACAGCAAGATTTAGTCACATTTAGCTTCAAACAGCATTTAAAAAAGTGATGTGAATTTTCGGCAGTCATTTTTTTGCACATTTACAACAACATTTAAATACTAAAACTAAATGTTAAATGTTAAATCTAAATGCTAAATATAAATCTTAAATATATATGTTAAATCTAAATGTTAAATCTAAATCTAAATGTTAAATATAAATCTAAATGTTAAATATAAATCTAAATGTTAAATATAAATGTTAAATCTAAATGTGTTGGGCGAAACTAAATATTTAGCTAATATGCAAATTCACAGTCGGAAACCGGAAGTGCCAAAATAAAAGCTCCAGAAGGTCATATTGATGATTCTTGTGTCGAAGAAAACGAATTAAAACCAATTTAAGGGGGGAACAAATACTTGGGGTGACGTTTCGTGTTAATAACTACCTACAATAGCGACAGCAACAACAAAAACTTTATTAGAAAGACTGGAGTTTTCAGTGTCGCTTCTCCGTATGGCGCGGACACTGTACGAACACACGCACACACACATCCAGGCGCACACGTCATACTACTCCATGGCACCTTATCTATTCATGAAGTGCTTAGGCCATACGGGTAACGCGGACGACTGGGACGCAGGAAGCCGGGGTTCGAAACCACAGACTGTATATAAGTATATATGTATAGACTATATATATGTATCTTATATACAGTCTATGGTTCGTACAGTGTCCGCGCCATACGGAGAAGCGACACTGAAAACTCCAGTCTTTCTAATAAAGTTTTTGTTGTTGCTGTCGCTATTGTAGGTAGTTATTAACACGAAACGTCACCCCAAGTATTTGTTCCCCCCTTAAATTGGTTTTAATTCGTTTTCTTCGACACAAGAATCATCAATATGACCTTCTGGAGCTTTTATTTTGGCACTTCCGGTTTCCAACCGTGAATTTGCATATTAGCTAAATATTTAGTTTCGCCCAGCACATTTAGATTTAACATTTAGATTTATATTTAACATTTAGATTTAGATTTAACATTTAGATTTAGATTTAACATTTAGATTTAACATATATATTTAAGATTTATATTTAGCATTTAGATTTAACATTTAACATTTAGTTTTAGTATTTAAATGTTGTTGTAAATGTGCAAAAAAATGACTGCCGAAAATTCACATCACGTTTTTAAATGCTGTTTGAAGCTAAATGTGACTAAATCTTGCTGTTGTTTTGCTAAATGTGACCAAATCTTGCTGTAGTTTTTATAATGGGCTGCTTTACAAACGGCACCCTATAGATAACGCCCACTGAGAGGGGCTAGGGGAGGTTTAAAAGAAAGCTGTCTCTGTCTTTCTTTGAGTCTGGAGTTTGTTGTATGGAAGGTAAGTGCCAAACTGACTTTTGCATTGCCCCTGTGTTTCTGTTTTTTTTTTTTTTTCTCTTGAGTGAAAATCTTGAGTTTTAGTGGAACTCCTGCCTTGTTGGTATTTTCTTTTTTGCCTTTTACATTTCATAAGTAGTATTTGACCTTTTTTTTGCACTTTTGTAAATATTTTTGCACTGCACCTTGAAAGGCCGGCTGTAAATAAATCCTATCACCATCACCATGATTTTCGCTACGCCTGTGTTTTTCCACTATATCGTGATTGTTAGAGCAAGAACACCGCTACAGGGGGCTTTGCGCATATTTAGTAAAATACTCTAGGTGAGGCAGCACGTGTGAAAAATGACCCCCCCCCCCCCCCCTTTTTCTAAAAGAATGACATCAGTGAGCAGCGCGGGTGATGCTGTTGCCATTTCAGTATCATGGCCAAGCAAAATGGACAGCTCAATTCAAGGGATTATGTAATATGATAAATATCTTTGTGCTTTAGTATCAAAAAAATGGGTACATAGTTGGTTTCCCACCATGTGCATCTGTTATCAGAACAAAATATCTGTCCCAAACAATAAAATCCACCATCCCCCCTGATTATTATTCCCTGAGATAAGAAATTTAATATGTCACCTTGATAACAGTACACAGTACACTAACTGGAAGTCAATACCAAACCAGTGAAGACGGGGGGGGGAAGCTTTGATTGTCTTCCTCTATTAGAAACACTTTGTCATTAGATCAGTTTGTGGCTATTTTTAATTCAGTTACAGCTTGGGAATCCTGTTCTTATATTCTGCACCGAGTTTTATGCAGAATCCCTGAGGGGTTAAAAATCCAAGAAACTGCGCTGATTCAAATGAAAGAGAGGATATCTAGGGGATATGATAGGATCGATTTCTCTCTCTCTCACTTACTCTCTCTCTCTTGTCCATAGGGAATCTATTATATAGCATGTTATTTCTCCATGTGTGAGTGTGTATGTGTATGTGTAAGGGTCATGCTCATCTTATGGAAAGCCACTACCTATATTGGGGTTCCACTGAGCTCCTCACTTTGAATACACATAGCCTCTATTCTTGCAACTAAATACACACACATACACACACGTAGCGTATTTGCAGCTGAGCTATGAGCAGCTATCATCACATCTTTACAAGGCTGTAAACAAGGAGCATGTGAAATGTGTAGCCCAATACGTCAAATGCGTCAGCATCTGTTGTCGATAATCTCCACCAGTTTACACTCCACAGCTATATTTTAACAAAGAATTTACCTTTGAGTTAAAAGAATAGTGCGTGAGTGGTTTGTATTCTCCTGAGAACTTCCCTGTCCCTATATTGTAATCTTGGTCATTAATTGTCTTTGCCTCTTTTGTTTCTGCACTGCTACAGTTTTCTAAATTACAGAGCCAAAGCCAGCAGGGAGACTTGAGAATAAAGATGGGGCTAAGAGGGAAAGAAAGAAAGGAGAAAGAGAGGACTACAAACTGATGAACGCAGAGCTTTGGGCTGAAACGATTGGAAGGGTTTACTGACTGTTTGGAGGAGTTAAAAAGAGCCGTGGGAAGAAATGATAATGAAAAGAGGGATCAGTATCCTAATACTGTAAATTTCCATGTATGAGAAAATGGAGAAGACAAAGACAAAAGTACCTATAGGGGGAAAGGATCACCACTTGCTGAACTAATATTCTAAGAAGCAAAGAAGAAACAGTCATACACATCACAGGAAACTAACTCCATCTGTGCTTTTTGTTAATCAGTCAAAACGGCAAAAATCAAAACACTGCAGTGTTGGTTCATTTGTTTTTCAGTTGTGATCAGGAAAACAAATGACCTGTTTTTTTTTTTTTTTTTTTATTCAAAACAAAAAAAGGGAAATTCCTTTTTCCATCTGGATCAAATAAATCAAAATCAAAGCAGTTTTTTCCTGTTTTTGTTTTCAATTTTTCTCCTTTTCCCGTTTTGAATTGAATATTGAAAAGGTCTTGTGTTGCAGTTTTGTTTCCTTTTGAACCAAAAACAAAATGACACAGTCTCCTTCTTCTACCATCTTAAATCAAAAATAAAAAACAAAGTCATGCTGCCAATTTGTTTCTCGGTTTCTTGATGCAAAGTGTGAAAAGCAATGCCCTATTTTGGATTTCTCCACATGCTTTTAGTCATGTCTTATTGTGGTTTGCCTGTTAAACTGTGATAAGACTGTGCGCTGAAGTGAGGATATTGCCTGAGGAGACTACATGATTTTGTTTACAGTTCAAAAGGGAAAAAAATAAATCACAAGACCTTTTAAATATTTAATCCGAAATGGTGAAAGGAGAAAATAAACGACGAGAAAACAAAATATAGGCCAAAAACTGCTCTGATTCTTGTTTCCTTCATTCAGAAGGTAAAAAGACTTTTCTGTCATTTGTTTCAGACAAAATAACGATCATTTGATTTCCCAATTACAATTAAAAAACAAATTATCCAAGGGTACCCTGACCCTGCTGCCATCATGTGTTTTGTCACCATGGTGTCAGAAGATGTCAACACAGTCTAATGTGGCAAGACAGATGCTTGCTATTAGCATTACAGTCAGATCAGGTAACACAACTCTAAACCAGGAGTCGTTATGAGCGGCTTGACTACCACGACACAAACGGAAAACACTTGTCATCAGATAGCACCAATGATCCAGCCTGACAGGACTTGAATAATCCATCTGAGTGAATGAACGAACCATGTGTGTTTACCGTTTGTTGCAAACTCACGCAGGAAAAAAAGCTGATTATAGAGTCAATGATTTGAAAAAAAGTTAAAAAATACAAATTTTAAGTGTGTTTGTGTGTTTCAGAGATTAAGTTGTAAACTGTTTGATGTTTTTAATCAACAAGAACCTCCCACAATATATGAGGTCTTTGTTCTGTGTACACCACATCCAGCATGGCTTTGTAGGTGCTCATGCATACACTGTACATACTCACACAATCATTGGAATCAACTGACCTGTAAGGCATGCCAGTCTTATTAGCAACTGTATCCTCTTTGTGTAGTCCAAACATTTTCAGGTACCAGTTGGTCTCCATTTCTCTGATAAGTGCCGCCTTGCTCCGGAGCTGCGACCCCTGCCTTGCAGCTGAAGAACTGCGCTTGGCATCCTGGGAGTTGCTGCGATGGGCTTTCGACCCGCTGACAGAGGCCACCGATTGTTTGCGGTGCACGTGGTGGGGCTGATGTCCAGCACTGGGTCCCCCGACGCCCCCTCCGCTGCTGCGGGCTGCTAACATGGCCCCAGAGGGTGCCCTCCCCCCCTCAAGGGCAGAGTTCAGAGAGCAAGGTGAAGAGAAGGAGCCTCAGGTTTCCAAGTTCTTTGACTTTTACCTTTGTGGTTGATCAGTCAAGGCTCAGGGGTGACACACAGATGAACTCTTACCTCATCTATAGTTTGGACATCCTCAGCTATTCCTAAACTTTCTACATTTGCCGCCTAATTTATGTTCTGAACCTAGTTCCTGTTTGTTTGGAGGCTTTTGTCTCCTCTCGTCTATCTGTGTATCTCCTTTCTGTGTCTTTCTGTGTTTCTGTCAGTGCGGTGTGCTCTCTGGTCTCTTATAGTCTCATCCAGCCTGAAACAGGATCCTGGTTTCCTTGTTTCGTCACTGCCTACCCAGGCCTAAAAAGAGGTAGCCAAACATGCCAGTGTGTCGACAATGTGTTTACAGTCAGATGCACACGATATTGTACATACTCACACACATGCACACACACAAACACACACACACGTTTAAGTACACGACATTGATATTAAGAAGATAGGTGGCTATGATAGAAGCGCTAAAACTACAACAGAAGTTGCATGAAGACATAAACTTCAAATAATACAGAAAAAAGAATAAAAATATGCAAATTATTAGTGGATTATGTAAAATGTAATAATAAAATGATGCTTTTAGTCATGATACAAGTGGTTTCAAACTGATTACAAACATCACATCTGCCCACACATTTCATTATTAGTTGTACAAAAAAAAAATGTTCCTTTTTATCTTTAAAGGTTAGTATTAGTCACAGCTCTATATATACACGCCTCCTGGACCATTTCAGTGTCAAAGTGTCTTGACACCATTCCTGGTGTAATAGGACTCCAGGCCTGTATGAGAGAAACACTAATTAACACCTTTGCCAGGAATAACAATGTAGAAATTGCAACGCATCAAATTACGTGAGAACAGACACGTGGTATAGCATTGCAATAAATTAGACATCCACCTTTCTCAAAACAATTTGATTATGTAAAAAGTGCAGCCCTGTTGGGATTTCATACATATTTCCTTGTGAATTCCTTTACAATGGCTTTTTATGAGGTTTTCTGTTTCACTGTGGTTCCATTTATGTGTTGAGGGCCTTCCCCAGACACTAGTTGAAAACTTCTTCAACTTGCTGTAGTTCACAGCCACAGATGGACTTTCTTGACTGAATTCATCAGAGAGAGAGAGAGAAAGACATAACAGCAGGGAGACAATATGTAATGGGACGCATTTTGATGAAGGTTGGTTGGAAAGACTCAAGAGAAAAATGGATAGGATAGGAGAGAGATGCATGCTTCATGAGATACTAATTCTTGTGAGGTAGCTCCAATGGCAGCAGAGATGTGACCCAATGGTTTAAAGCCAGTTTGTTAGCAGGATTAAAGGAGGATTTGTATCAAGGGTGTGCTTCATTTATTATTGAAGCAGACTGAGGAAAGTAGTGGCTGGCTTGTCCATGTCCAAAATGAAAAAAAAAGAAAGAACAAAGGAATTTAGTTGTGAAGTTTGATGTTAGGACCTGTTCTTGGGCAGAGGACTGGCCAAGTTTCCTACTTCAAATCTATAGTCAACACCATACACAACAAAGTGGTACTTAATTAAGTCAAGTCAAAGTCAAATTTATTGTCAAATATGCCATACATGTCAAACATACAGCACAGATGAAATTTCAGTCCTCTCAGACCCACGGTGCATAAGAATAAACTGTAAGAATAAAACTATAAAAGTATAAATATAAGAATAACCAACTAAGATGAACAAACGACTACCTTAAATACTCTCAATTTACAATATAACAGTATAAACAGCATAACAGTATAAACAGTGTAACAGTATAAATATAAGGAAGAAGGCAAATAAAAACAGTATGGCAGTCCTGACGTGGACATAATAGTGCAAATATGACAATATGGACGCAATAGTGCAAGTAATGACAGATGTGCAATAGTGCAATAGAGTAAAGTACAACATAATACAGTAGTAATAATGATGCAATGATGAGAGATAAAGTGAAAGTGTGCAGTCCTGAGGTTGGTGTGTTACTTCATTCTTATGCAGAGAGATAAATTTAAACACAAAGCTGTTAGCTGGCTCGTTAGATAAAGTATAATTGCTCTATGAGTCTGTAGACTGCTTGATGGTGAATATTATTGTTTGAAATCAGTTGATCTAATGCTAAGGTCAGAATGTTTCTGCTACTACTCACCAACATTTCTCCTTCTGTCGCGGTTTCCTTGACAGCACATCACTGAGGCAGTCATGTTGTTGCCAGAGCCCTCCAAAGTATTCCTCTTTTTCATCGAATCATCTGTCTGTACCATTTTCATCATTCTTCTTTCGATTCACAATTTCATTACGCCTAAAACTTCTGCACTTGTGGGGCACTTTGTGGTCTCAGTGGTCATTATCAGTTCAGTGAGAGAACAAGTCTTTGATGACAGGAAGACGAATCAGATAGTGTAGCTTTTCTGTGAGGAGGTCATTAAAAAAAGACAACCTGCGGTTTCTAAGTGAATATTTAATTATGTTGGTTTCCAATGTGAACATCAACAGCAATTGAAATGGTGTAAATGTAATCATGATGTGCATCCACATCTTCGTCATGTCTGGCTGTGGCCAAGGAGTTTGATCTGAGGATAATCTTCATATCAACGCAGATTCCTCGAGACTCGTGTTTTCTTAGCCCAAGTTAATACAGCATCAATGGAGTGTCAGCTCTAAATTATTTAGCCGGGTAATGAGACCCTGATGGCTCAATGGATGAGTCTCAGAGGCCGAGGAGGAAAGGTCAGGGTCAGTCAGTGCTGGCTGAAGGAAAGTCTTCCTCCTCTGTCTGTTGGTCCACGGCTAACTGGTACCAGAATCTGCGGTTCTACATTGTGCTGCAGAGTTGTATTATAAGAGTTACCACTATCTGTATTATTGTTTAAATGAATGAGTAAAAGCTGTTGTGTGGAGTTTTAACTGCTTATGAATCAGGCTGAAATGAACAATAAGGCCTCTATGTGACCTACAAAAGCCAACAATCTGATAAACACAGATCTACAATTTCTGCACTGTGACTTTAAATCCCTATAACCACCATGAAGGGATAGGTTACAGATATGACAATTCATAACATGATAAAAGAAGACCCTTTTTTTCATTTTTCCATAGCATATAGTTTTGATGAGTAAAACATTTGACTGATAAAAAACAAGGAATGAATTTCAGTCAGAGAACACATCAAACGCACACCCAACACAACAAAGACGAGATATTTAATGTTTAAACTGACAAATTTCATTGATTTTGGGGGTTTGTTTGTTTTCTTTTTTATAAATCTTCAACTCATTTTGAGTTTAATAACTGCAATATATTTCAACAAAGGTGGTACAGGGGCAACAAAACACTGGGGAAATTGAGGAGTGCTCAAAAACACCTGTTAGGAACATTCCACAGGTGAACAGGTGAATTGGAAACAGGTGAGTGTCATGATCGGGTATAAAAGGAGCAACGCTGAAAGGCTCATTTGTTCACAGGCAAGGATGAGGTGAGGTTCACCACTTTGTGACTCTATAAAAACCTAGCATATGTTAAAAACAAGGCAGAGTGAGGTATTTTAGTTTTGAAACAGCTGCTTTTGATGCTCATTTTCTAAGACTGGCCACTAATTACAGTAGGTGGATGAGGAAAACAGGATCATGGGGAACAGAAACACTTGAGAAAACACAAGTAAAATACAAAACCAGGAAAAACTAGAATTCACAAGAACATATCACCTCAGCTCCGATCTCAAACACTTAAATGTTTCGGTACAATTTTGGATATGGGTGGTGTGTTTGAGGTAAACAGCATATGGCATTACACACACACACACACACACACGCACGCACGCACACACACACACAAAAAGGTCTGCACTCCACACTTGGGCTGGATGACCTTCAGTCACTCAAGGTTGTTGCCTGAGGAGATTGGTCACCCAAGATGAATCTAATCTGACTTTCCTGTGGAGTGAACACTCAGTGAGTAATTCTAGAGTGGAAACACACACAGTATATCACCTCATGAGGAGACATTTGTGGCATTTACACTTAAAAGCTCTTTTTACCTTTTAAACATCTGCGGCTATTAAGTTGTCTGTTATCTGTTTGACAGTACAGCTGGCAGGTTAAGTTTTTCACATGTTCAGAAATGGTTTCAAATACACCAGCGCACACACACACACACAAAATTGTATTGCCTTATCTATTGCATGACAGCTATGTGTCCAATTGCACTTTTAACATTTTTTGGCACTGATGTTGTTTCCTTCTAACTTGTGTTGTATTTGCTCTCAAAGGTTCGGACAAAAGTGTGGCTAAACAACACTGTAATATTGTAACACACACTTTGTTTAGTGCTGCCACAAGCCAGAAGCTGTGAGGCAAAAAAAATAGTCAAGTTGTTGATGGAATAGTCACGAAAAAGGTGCCAAAATGTGCAATAGCTCTGGGACACAGGAAGTGTCTGTTACCATCTGTATGTTTGTCACTAAAGATTACTCCCACTTTTTCCACTGCTTTACTTTTCATTGATATTTTGTCAGAAAAATCCTTTCATGTTCTATATAATGACCTTCAAAGAAAAGTTCTTAGCTGCTCACTTATAAAAGGATTTTGGGGCAGATTTGCCACAAGTATCAATGCCAGAAATTTTCAGTTTTAATGTAAGAAATCTGTCCAGAGCCGTAAGTTATACAATATAAAGCAAAACTTAAACTCATATTTCCTAATTCTTGAATCTCAGTGATAGAACAAAGAAGAAATTTATCAAGTTTATCAAGAGGGAAAAAAATATTATTACAACATTTTAGATATTTTTGCGCAATGTAGACAGCCCAAAAAGTAAAGTAATGCACTTCTGATTGGCCGAAATTAATTTTGCATTGTGTGAAGTAAAATTCCTCTATTGTGATTGTGGTTGCTGGTGATGTTATATCTTGGTCAAGCACTATATTATTCTGGACATACCATTTAGATAACAAAAATATATACAGTGTTGTATAACGCAACATGTTTATTCTTGAACTCTTTTGAATTGTAAATTACAACCACACAGATACGTTTTTATGACTGAAAGGGTAGGAGAAAAAGACAGTTAAATGTACAGTGTAAACATTTTTATGTAAATATTTTGATCAACTTCTGCTAAAAGCCTTTCAATAGTAAAATCGTCTGATTTGAGATGCAAAGTGAAGTACAGTGTAGTATTATTGCGGTAAACATATGAATTCTTCTACCATAACTTACACATCAGCAGCTTTGACTGAATTCTGTCCATAAAGCAGTGGTTCTCAAGTCCAGTCCTCGAGCCCCCCCCGTCCTGCATGTTTTGGATGTTTCCCTGCTCCAACACACCTGATTCAAATGATCAGCTCGTTATTAAGCCATTACAGAGCTTGATAACGAGCTGATCATTTGAATCAGGTGTGTTGGAGCAGGGAAACATCCAAAACATGCGGGACAGTGGGCCTCGAGGACTGGACTTGAGAACCACTGGCATAGAGAGATGTGCTGGAGCAGGATTGAAATACATACATGCAAAGCAAGTGAGGTGACAGAGCTTAAAGATTATATCCTGACATGGAATCCTTTTTTGAATTTGTTGTTTTAAGAGGTAGAACTTTTTTCATCACATTGATATTGGGCAATACCAATCATTCATTGTCAATTTCTTTGAATATACTTTTTGTCTCTTTTACTGAAGGGCTACAATTGTTGACTGCAGAATATTAATGTAATTACAACACACAAAGCCCTTATCAGCTGGGCCAGTCGCCCAATAAACTGGCTCATCTGTCAACTAATTTCTTTATTGTAGCTCAGATTGGTTCCTCGTACTGTTCCTCTAATCATCAATAGCAGTAGATGCGATCGAAGCGTTGACTTCAGTAGCAGCCGTAGCGAGAGAGGCTGAGGTCCCAGTCAAGGTTCCATCCCGCGGTTTGGCGCGGGGCCTCATCATCTCTTCTGTGTTGCGTTCAGGTTTGACCAGAAGAACGTAACACTTGGGCAGAAAGATGCAGGTCAATAGGCCAAAGCTGGATGCAAGGATGGCAAAAATCTGGACGGCAACCATGAACTTGCCACGTGTGCTGAGGTAAGCCGGGACAAAGGAGATCCAAACGATGAAGAAGACCAGCATCCCAAAGGTCACGCACTTTGCTTCACTGAAAGACAGCATGTGGAACAAAAGCCATGCAGATTAAATTTGATTCTCAGTAACTTTTTCACAGGGAAGTAGATTTTTTTGTTCCTACTAATACCTGAGCTCACTCAAAAGTAGAGGAGGTAAAGATAGAACTTCATGATCCTTCTGCATGTTGCTTAAAATAATCTATAAAATTTGTATTTTCTATTGAAGAGGCGTATGTTTTCTAGACTCCAGTCTCTTTTGAGCAAAAATATTGAATCTAAGGATGACTCAAATGCAAATGTTTCCCTTTTTTTGACAAAATATCAGAATGGGTCTAAAATTTGATGAGATTTGTCATCCATCTAATTTATTCTGGGTTTAATCAAGATCAAATCATAAAAAGCTAAAAATAACTTAAATGCCTGAAACCACAAACTATTGCCAGAAAATCTTTTGGAGCTGAAATGTTTATTTCACTCACTCTTAACACCCCAAAAAATCAAAATGTCCTTAAAATGTAACAAATAGATATATTTATCTCATTTGATACATTAGATGTTTTGGAAACTGAGAAACCACAAGAAGACATTTTTATCATTTATTGGCCTGTATTCAGGTCTTTTTTTAGTAATTTGTTGATTATATTGATTTGATAGAGGTATCATAAAAATATGTATCAAATATGATATAAAAGTATAGCTACTTTTATTGTTTTTTATTTGCTATGTGTATCTATATTGTTGTTTTATGTTTTTTATATGTTTTACGCTTTTATTGTTTTTATTGTGGTCAGGCCACTGGCTGTTTTTAAATGTGCTATATACAGTAAATAAAGCTTACATTGACAAAAAGGCATTAGAAGGATAAGACCTTTTGGGATATCTTTAGCTTTGAAGTACAGTGACTCAAATGACCTAATGATACATATACCATATGTTTATTTGCACTTGATTTCTTCCTTGTTTTGTTTCATTCATGTTTTATCTTTTACACATTTTGATCTAGGGGATTTTTTTGCAGCTGGGTTTTTGTGTTTCCTACCTGAAGTGATCTTCTAGTTTGCGGGCGATGAAGGCAAAGACGAAAGCCAGGAGAGCCAGCAAGATGTCGTAGGCAAATATACAACAAATAAAGACCACAGAGCCCTCATCACACTCCAGGATGATCTTTATATTCTGTGCAGAGGTGTTCTTTACTGGATGTGGAGGGAGGGTGATTAGCCAGACTGTGCACGCTATTGCCTGGAAAGAGTGATGATGATAACTGAGATATCATTACAGGATCAGGATTGAGAGTTCACGGCAAGATCCTAGTTTTACCTCCTTGTACTTACCTGGATCAATGTTGCTGTAGTTGCTATTGCCCTCTGGTGGGCACATGTGAGAACGTCAACTTCAGGGTTTGCAAAAGCATTGGCATCATTGTTAATTGTATTGGTGGCAATTACATCAGGATTCCCGCTGTTTGCTGCTGCTTCAGCTGCAGCTTTGGCAGCTTTGGCAGCCGCTTTGTGTTTGGCCCGGGCCGCTTTCAGGGCCTGAGCTCTCAGCATCAACACTGCAGCTTTACCTGAAGTAAAGAAACATCAAATTAACTTATTATGAATTAATGTAACCAAATTTGATTCTTTGATTTTATTATCACTCTCCTTATCAAACACTATGGAATAAGAGTGTCCCAGGCTTTCATATTACACCAAAAACTAGAGTGAGAAATGTGTTGTACCCCACAGATGTTGTCTGTTTACTCACACATAAACACAGAAAAGAACAGTTAAAAGTTAGGTACCCACCCATTATAGAGGAAAGGCAGACAGCAAAGCCCAGAGCCAGGCCTACTTGGCTAGTCATGCAGCTCCAGTGCTGAGGTTCTCCCAGGAAGACGATGGAGCAGAGGAAGGTCACCACCAGCGAAAAAAGCAGTGAGAAACTCAACGTAGCATCATTTGCTTTCACCAGAGGGGTGCCGATATTCAGAACAAACACCACCTAAAATAGTCCAAATAGTAAAACACAACATTTAATCCGTTACTCACCGCAACAAAGGATCTATTTTAACAGTAATCAGGAATTAACTCTACTGAGTAAGTCTCACTCCAACAGCAATGGTGACTAGAGCTCCAAAAGCTGAAATGACAATGAGCGTGATCCCCAGTGGTTCTCCAAAGGCCAGGAACTCAATGATTTTTGGTACACAGGCATCATGAGCCTCGTTTGACCAGTCGTCACCACTGCACAAGACACATTCACGAGCATCTGTAACAGAAGAATGGGTTAGTAATAAGGCAGCGGGATTGTGTTTATATAAAGTTGTTTGTAGACTGTAGGTGTGAGGTAGTATTTGCTGTTCACACAAATTCATGTTTGTTTAGTGGTTTTATCTCTCACTTGTCTGGAAAATAAGTACACAAATGACCATTAGATAAACTTGAAATCCTGATACACACTAGTTGTGTTGCTGATCTCTCCGTCTGCACATGGGATACAGTCAAAACAGCAGACCGGCTCTCCCTGTCGGATTCCCTTCCTGGTGCCTGGCTGGCAGTTCTCACTGCACACTGACCGAGGAGGCTACAACACACACAGACAATGATACAAAAATTCAATAAATGGATTCATTCGTGAAATAATTTGTTCATGGTTGTTTTTATAAGTATGCTACAGACCTCTAAAACGTCATTGTTCCACACAATAGAGTCATTCATTATGATCATCCTATCCTCTAGTGCTGCTGAGCCGTTGTACTGTCCCACAGTGATGTAGGATATTCCCCCGTTGCTATCGACCTTCCAGTTGATGATGTCATAAAACGCCTCTACATCCCCATTATCAAAGTAGACCTCTTCATCTGTGTGCGGCACATTAAAACGCACATTCTTCAAATAGTACATCAGCTGTGGAATAGAAAGACGAAACAACATCCTGGTTACAAAGCGATGGTGTTCACTCACATATACACTCACCGGCCACTTTATTATACACGCACACAAGCTTTACCTGCCATGGCTCAAAGTTTGTGATGTCAGCACAGTCGTTTTTTCCATTGAACGGTCCCTGTCCAGCTTCGCAGTGCTCCAGGTTGTGCAGTGCATGGGCAACAGCATACACAGCTTTGTACACACTGAGGAGTCACACCATAAGTGCATGCATAAGTCCTATTCATCATTAACAATCATCATTAGTTCACATTTCATTGATTACATTTTTATCATTAGAGGCTAAATTCACTGAACTCACAAAAAAAACATACCTTTAATTAATATTTCTATCCTGCTGCTGAACTTTTGACCTCGCACAGATGTCACTACAGTCTCAACAAAGTCATGTGACTGACCACAAGAGGCCAACCCTGCAGCATAGAAGCATCCAGGACAGATGCATCCTCCTCTTTCCCTTTTTTTGTCTCATCTGAGACCAGTAAGTGTGCAAGCTAGAACTTAAATTCTGTCATATTATTAGACCAGTGCTTAACCTTCCTCCTGTGTTAGCTTTTACTACGCACCCACTATGTAAAGGGTCGGTTTTGACCCATGTCTTAAATCAGCTGTAAATTACACTAAAAACAATTCTCTTCATCCAATTTGGTTCTCATCTCTAGGTTACCTTGTTAGGCTTCATTATTCATGAAAATATTGTTTGTAATATTTTTGTAGTGGGCCTCTGGGCCTTTCTTTGTCACTATACCCCTCATACAGACATGCCCGACATTTTTTGTGCAGGGAAAAACATGGAAACATGTGAATTTCCTAAATCTCACATGATTGGAAGAGGATCTGACTGTCAGTGCAGTGCCTGCCAGTGCACTTATGATTTCGGTTTTTGCTCTAATTATTAGATATTGATCTAACCAGGTCATAATTTTAACGAGCATTTTATAATTTAGTCAATTTTATTTTTTATTTTGTTAAAATTGAGGTTCCTGGCTAAGTCAAAATTCTTGATGCAAAAAAGCTAATTTAAGTGGCTCTTTTAAGCATTTAAAATCAAAACAGGTCAGTACAGACCCTAACACAGGAGGAGGGTTAATTTCCTTTCCTGCTTGTTATAATTGCCTTTTGTTGTAGCTGGCTTGGGTTTTTGTTGCTGCTGCTGTTGTGACTGTGAATTTTATTTACATTTTTGGCTTTGTATCTCTGTCAGCACCATTAGCTGTGCACATGATCACCTTACTTGTCATTGTTTTGTTTCGGCAGTACAGTCCTGGGTTATGGTCTCCATAAGTAAGCCTATCGCCAATGTTTGGATAGGGCTCATCCTTTAGATGTCATCCACCACAAATTGTTGACTCAAGACAGCAGGGAGTTAAGGTACAATTACTCGAAAATTTGATGGTAGTGAACCCCTAAACCCCCTCTAATTACTTCTTTGCCCAACTAAAGTTTTTGAATAGCCCATTATTTTTGATGATCTAGAACCAGGCTTGCTATGCAACTACCTCAAAGTTACAGAATGTTCATAAGAGATGAAAATCAGAGTTCAAAAATGGTCTTTAAAATGCTACAAGAGACAGACCTCCATTAACAGCCTTTTATTTATTCATGTATTTTTCACCCCCAGCCTCCCAAACAGCCCAAACACAACACTGCTTAAAAAAGCATTATAGTAGCCAGAAAGGCAAGATTTATTTTTTAAATTGTGAAATAACTAGTGTTGTTGATACATTATAAAAGCGAGCTGAAAGAACTGACCTGTAAGTGATTCGTAACTGGGAAACATCAGAGTACGTGTTATTGAGCTGAGCCAGAGACTCGCGCCCTGTACACAGCCCATCAGGGACTCCCCTCACTGCTCTTGACAGTGTGCCATTAACCTCTTTGACCGTCTGCTTGGCCTGCCGCACAGCTTTTCTATAACTCAATGTGCAGTTAAAAACCTAAAAGATAAAGATACAGTGAAACGTTCATTTTCTTGTCACAAAAGAACCAGGCACATAATTCCATTGAATTTGGGCAGTATTAGATTTGATATTTGATCAATAGCCTCAAAAATGTCATTGCACTCACCGACTCCCAGAATTCTTCGGTGAGCTGATCATCATATGGATCCAGATCCAGTAGATGGCGCTGAAGACCCGGTATGTTTGCCCTTTTTATTCCAAAACCTAGAGTACCACCCAGAACTGAGCTCACCTGCATAATAACCACATGAACATCACAAACCTCAGGTCATGTCGTGACCTAAATACCTGTTTCTTACATCAGTCAGTCTGTTGATAACTGAGAGAACTGAGCTGGTCTTCAGACTCACCCCAGGCTGGTTGATGAGAGCAGAGGTCACCCAGGCCTCGCTTGCAATCCAGGTGCGGTTTGTCACGTTGTGATTGAGCAGCTCAGTAATGAGTGGACTGAGGTCAACATCTGAGGAGAAGACCACGATGATCTTGGTCGTGGCTTCAACTATGGTTTGAACAATGCGCCGGATATCTTCTGGGGAACTCACCTAAAATTAATTTCATACATCATATCTCTGAGAAGTGATATATCTATTTAAAAAAAAAGACTGGCATGGCATTATAGGAAACAGACACAATATCAGATGGAATATAAATGTTCACCTTCGGCAGGGTTTCAGAAAAGGCGATACAGACGCCAGCTTCCTCCACCTGCTCCTTGAAGTCTTTGATGCCATATTTGCCGTAATCGTCATCAGCAGCTATGGTGCCCACCCAAGTCCAGCCAAAGTGAAGCACCAGCTGGGCCATAGCTGTAGACTGATGCTTGTCATTGGGAATGGTCCTCAGGAAAGTGGGAAACTGGAACTTACTCTCCAGGGCAGAGCAAGATGAAGAATAGCCGACCTGAGGATAACAGCAGAGAGATGAGTTTCCCCCCCTTTAAGCTTATTTCCTTCAGCCTTCATGTTCTAAGCATCAGCTTACCTGTGGGAAATGATACAGTCCAAGTATCCTTGCGGTGGCAATGGAAAGATCAGACCCCCCGGAGCCCACCAGAGCTGCCAGAGGCGCCCCAGTCCCACAGCGGTAGTTGGGCACAGCCTCATCTTGGCCCGTGAGGTAAGTGAGGGTACCCTCCACGGCTTTTGAGATGGTAAAGCAGGAGTCATATATGACGTAGCCCAGGTCCGTGTTGGGCAGCAGATCGGTCCTCTTATTGATTTCGTAGATGGCAAACAGCATCGTCTGAGTCCAGCGAAAGGTTCGGAAGTTAAACCTGGACAATGAAGGGCGAGTAATGGCATAACTTACAAACAGTGACATTTTAATCTTTTATAACTTCAGTATATAGTTAAAAACTCAGTGCGACTTGTTAGTGAATTTTAAATCAGAAAAAAACAACCATGAAGAACAGATGGATATTCACTAAGTATGCAAAATATGAATGCATAATAAACCTACTCACTATTATTTAATGATTTCACCTAAATAGGCTACAAGAGCAAAGTTACAGACTTACTGATAATTGCTGTGTATAATGCACAAAGGCCTGCCATTGTGATCATTCAGACTGCAGTGACTAATTGGCCCCAGAGGTGATACCCTCTCTGTCCTCACTTTTGCAGTAAAATCAAATTTCAGAGATCTCTCAACTCAACTTTTTGGTTAAAACAATAATAAGGTCAGTTAGGTGAAATATATTTTTACTCAAGCAATAAATACTAGAAAGTTTAAACTCAACAAGCATACCTTACTATGCGTGATAAGTTCATTAAAGAAAATTAAACTAACACAGCCACAATAATGTGAAAGACACATGTGAATAGTTCACTGAATGCCCAACTCACCCATCACATCCTGAGGAGACAGGCACCCTTGAAGTGTTGGCATCACTGGAGGCGATACGCTTGTGTACAGGAAACATGCCCCCAATAACAACCTGCTTCTTTTCCACATTCTTGTAGCCGCTCAGGTTAAATTTTGCCTTCAACTTGCATGTCGAATCTGCTGAGACAGATCCGCAAAGGAAGAAAAAAACATGTAGTTCAAGCAAGAGGCGGATGATTTCCATGCTATGTAAGCTCAAAAGAAAGTCAAGAGAGCTGCCGCCGTGTAGACAGTTCAAGAAAAAGCAAAGTGTGACAGGTGTCCTACCTGCTCTCAGGGGAGATGAGCTTTGTGAGGTAACATGAGAACAGATTCACCTGTACAAGAGCAGGATGTTGTTTACTTTAAACTGAGAGGTTTATGCTTCTTAAATTCATGTAAAACACAAAGAGGATGGTCAATTTTTTGGTAAGTTCCCAAAGCACAATAATCTCATGAGAAATTTATAGAACAGAGGTGGTCTAAAAGGTGTATTCCCCACACTGCTAATGCAAAACATATACAAACATTACTTGGGCTTGCCAAATAGCTAAAAAAAAAAAAGAAGAAAATTCTAGCATTTAATTTTTCCTCTATTCTGTCTGTTTCTTTCAGTAAATAAAAACAGTGTACCTGTCATTATACAGGTCAGTTGCAGAGAATCAACTGCTTCAGGCTAAGAGTTAATTAGCAGATTCATGTGGTAACTTGTACAGTCGTTCTGCAGGGCTACTGTTCCAAAATCATTTCTTCTCCCAGGAGTTTGCACTGTGTTGATGTCTGACTGAACTTGTCTGCTCTTGTCCCAGTCAGCAGGGAGAAGCACGCACCTGAACCCCCCAGCACAATGAAACTACTGATGGGTACGGCAGTTCTTTTAGATGTACTGAATCACTAGAATCAGTTCACTGAAAAGATTTGTTCAAAAGATTCATTCACCAAATTACTGACTCATGTAGCGCTTGGTGGGAGAAGCCTGTGACTGCGACCCTCTGAACTGATACACAGCTGAACAGTTCAGGATTCAGTTCATTCCATAGCTTCTGGGACCGGGAGACGAGTGTTTGGCTGTGTTGCTTTGACAAACAGGTTTATAAAAATGAACTTGTCATGATAGTCATGATATTTTAAGTGTACTGTCCTATGGTATGCTATTTATCAGGTCTGCTCTGTAAATTTTGCTCAGTGAGTGATTCGTTCAATGAACGTTTAGAAGAATTCAAACTGAACATACACCGTTCCCTCACAAACCGCTGCAATGATAGGAGGCTGTGGGTTTAATGCACTACTTGTTACATGCTGTGTCCTATTGTATGCAAGTTGTTGTGGTGGCAATTTAGCAGTTAAAAAAACAAACAAAAGAAAAAAAAGGTAGTTTTGTCAGACAAAAATGATTCCAGAGAGTGTAGTTCAATGCCTGATTCGTTCACCAAGTGATTCAGGTGTTGGTGCATGCTGTTCGACTGGCAATGTTGTTTCTCACTTCAACTTAACTGAAGTCAGAAACAAACAAATCACTCAAGGAAGTGATTCGGTTTGGTATGTTCACTTAAAAGATTTGGTTCTTTTGAACGAATCGTTTGTGAACGACACAACACTAACTGAAAGACCTCTATGGGGCAACAAGGACTAACTGCACAAATGAGCCAAATATGACTAAATTAGTTGTGGAATAATACGACTAAACGCAGCTTTTTTGTGACAATGACTAAGCCACAGGATATCAAATAAAATGAAAAATCGTCACACAGAAAGTTTACTACAACTAACTACAAAAGCCAGGGCTCTGCATCTGGAGAAATTGAAATCAAGTGTGATTGAGTCCTCGTGATCCATCTCAACTGTGCTCATGTGAGTTGACTCATACTGATGAGTTCTGCAAGAAATCAATTATGTGTCATAGTGTCCTGCATGATGCACCGCGCAAAAGTTTGTAAAGAGGCACATGGTAGAATTATAAAAAGGGCAATACAGAAAAAACAATGTGTGTCTTTGTGAAGCTCCCCTGAGTACTTGAATCTGCTTTGTTTGACAGTCCTCTTAAGGTTGAGACCATTGTTATGGGTGATATTATATTACCCCCTATTGGATGTTCAGTTGCAGTGCACTTGACGTAAACCCTCGTAGTTTCTCAGCTTGCTTTACAACATGTTTTTATGTGCTTGTGAGTTACTCACAGTTGGCATCTAAGTGGTATTGCAGCCAATGTGTCTTATACTCCATAACAAGAAACCACCATCCCTGTTTCTTGTGTGGCTTTTCCAACCACTTTTCCCCTCCAGTCAACTTTTCCTTCATACGCCTCCATACGACACTGTGAACAGCCAGCCTTTCCAGCAATGATCTTTGGCTTACCCGCCTTGTGTGGAGGGAGTCAGTGAATGTCTTGTGGAGAACTGTTAAGTCTGTAGTCTTCTCAATGATTGTGGTTATGTGCACTGCACAGTTAACATTATCTGATTGTATAAGATTCTTGCAGGATTTTGAAGTATCTCGCTTACTTAGGGGAAAAAAAATAGAAAAACAGAAATTTAAAATAAAACTGTATGAAAAACAGAGTAAAAATGTATAAAACAGAAAAGAGGGGAAAACATATTACTACAAAAACAGAAGGAAAAAATAGTCAGAAAAACATTCCCCTTTTATGTCCCAGCGTGCAATATTTACTCAAAATTATTAGCTATTTTTCGTTCCCGGTTTCCCCCTGTACTTAACAAAACTGGTATGAAATAAATTAAACATAGCAATAATCAATTCTGAAAAAAATCAAAGGAGAAATAACACACACAAACTCATATTAAAAGCACAGAATATATATTCATGATGTAGGCCATACATGAATATATACAGGATATTAAAATGGAACCCGAAAACTTGAGTCATTGTTAGAATTCTTTGGATAAACTAGACGTCTATTATGTTAGGGCCAATAAGATTTTTGTGACTAGATCAATGAGAGGTTTGTTTGTGCCACTGAAACTGAAAGTAATATTTTATGACTCTTTCATTCTAATTGACTGGGAATAAAATAACAACCAAATATAACAGCTTAATAACTCTTCAATGATTTCTGTTTATAACATATAGCTCCCAAATAACTGTAAATGGAGGGGAATCAGGTGAAAGTCAAACAGTAAAAGATCAGTAGCTCATGATAGAAATAAGAAGTTTCAACATGACGATCTTTATTAAAGCTCATATTTCCATAGTACAAATGTAACTGTAGATGAAACTGCATGCAGTGGCTTAGTTTGAGGCACATTACTAAAGGAGAATGAGCGTTGTTGAACAACACTGAAGAAGACAAAAACAAAAAAACAAAACCATGAATTTGCATAACTTAATCTTATTGATATTGCAATTAAACTACAAAAAAATATCTCCATCACCTTCAGGCTGTTGTTTGCAATGGAGGCATACTGTGTGTAACAGAAAAAGAAATCACTTCAAAAAAGGCAGAAGAGAAGGAGAAACAATGACAGCAGTTAGGTGAGAAAAACTATTCATTTTGTATTGGGGTATTTTGCCACTAAAGATTAAGGATTCAACAGAGTATGAGAGGCACGAAAACAAGTTCTGGAGGCATGAGAACCACCGTATCTGGGTGAAATGTCTCTATTATGGGAACAATACACTCTTCACAACTCAGTTAAACCTGAGCGCTGATTCGCTGAGATCAAAATGACAAGGCTGAAGACTAGTGATATAATGTGCTCGATGTTTCGACCAAAAATGATAGATAAAAATTCAGACGTCTCAGACACTGAACTTCTGTTGGAGAGAGCGATAGCATCCCCTCCCCTTTAACTTGACCTTTGACACTAACAAAGTGACATGTTGTGTTATTGTTATGCCAGTAAAGCACCAATACATTAAGGGTGAAAACAAGTCTACAAGTGCAAAAAAATGTGCCCTTCTTCCACAAGCAGCCAAATGATGAAGAAATGACAACAGTAATTTACACAGTGTAGTTATAAACTCTACTGTACCTATGATTTCATTATTAGCTAGTCTCCTTGCTATGTATACTCTTCATGAAAAGTACACATATTGCGGCAGGAGAAAAAGTGTTGCATCCTCCTTTACAGAAACATCCAGTTTGGGTCACTCCAAAGGAATATCAACACAATTTAACAGGCACATACAAAAGTTATCCTTCATATTGGCCTCCAGCACAGCTGCGTAATAGTCCTCATAGTACAGCTTATCTTGGCTTGCTGTCCTCAGAGGGTTCAGCAACAAGTCAAAAGCTCTTGTCAACAAATGTAGCTTGGATATTATCAGAGGAGCCCACAATATCATACATCAATACAGCATGTTCTAAGTTTGGCAAAATAAGCTTTAAAAATATTGATTGGTCACAAGGTCTGTCCAGTTTTTACCTGAAACAGACACAACTTCTTCATAGCGCGTTATAGAGGCAGAAAGTGAAAAATTAACGAATAGAGAGGATCGTCTTCAGTTAAAAATGGTTTGACATACGATGGTGAGACAAACACTTCAGACACAAAAGTCAGAAAACAACTGCTCAAGATTTGTAGTCCCTCCTTCTGATGTTCATTTTTTTTTGATACTACTGTTTGTTTTCATGTTCAAGCTCATTCCATAACACAATCTGAGGCACAACATCAAAGTCCACATTCTGACCTTTCACAGCTTCTCGCTTCTTGCCTTCTAAGGTTGACGATACAAAAAGGAAGCAGCAATTTACCTTTTTACTATGGAGAATAAACACTGTTGTACATGGATCAAAAAATGACAATATAGTATCAATAACCAACGTTAATCAATCCCCATCGCCGAAAGTATTAAGACCAGGGAGGAGTTGTGGGGAGTGCAGAGTTAAAGTGCCTCCGCGTGTGCGCCTGTCACAGTTCGGTCTGCTTTTCCATGGGAATGTTGAAGAGAGGGGTGGAGGTACAGGAGAGAAGAAGAGGAGGAGAAGGGTGAGGAGAGTAGAAGGGAGGACTGAAAAGGAGAAGAGTTCACCAGCCCTCTCTGCTATCTGCTGAGTGTGTTTGTGCATTGTGTGTGTGAGTGTGTGTCCTTTAAGAACAATGCAATGAGGAGTTTCATTCCCACTCTGTGGTGCCGGGTGGCTTGGAGGTCAGATCGTACATGACTCTGGAAATGCCAGGGATCTTCTTTATTTCGTTTACCATCTTCAGAACCACCTGAGAAACAAGACAACAAGATTAATTACTCAAAATTTAACACTGCCTGTGAAGACTTAACAGAAACCATCTGAGGCCAAGCACAAAGGTGGATAATGGTTTACCTCCTCTGGGATGTGATTGCCTGGCATGGCAGGGATGCCAGTCATGAAATCGCTGGTGATAAAGGTGCGGACCACCACTGAGCGCCGGCAGGATGGCTGCTTTTGCAGTGGGTCACGGTCAAAGTGCAGGGGTGTCAGGATGACCGGCATCTGGCTGATCTTACCGGAATAGCCTATAAGAGGAAAAGTCAGAAGAGGACAAGGTGTTTATCACAGAATTGGCATTAACTTAAAGGGATATTCCAGCGTAAAATTAAGTTAGGGTCAAACATACAAGAACACCGAGTTAGACACCCCACCAAGAGATGAATGAATGAGCCACGCACTCAACCAAAACGCCACTCTATAGTCACAAATAATACTCAGAACAGCACCTAGTACTAGCCACCAATCATCTTTTCACCTTTGCCTAATTCCTTTAGCCAAGAGACTAAACACAACTTACCCACTCTCACCAACTCTAAAATTGGTTTAACTAGAGAAGAAAGCGACCGACAACATTCATCTCTCGACGGGTGCCTAACTCGGTGCTGCGGTGTGTTTGAACCTAACTTAATCTTATGCCAGAATATCCCTTTCAGTTTTTATGAGTATGAAAAGCAGTTCAACTTTGTTGAACTCCTCCCTGGTCTTAATCAGTTCTCAACACTACCAAGGTGGGGTGGGTAACCAACACATAGAAGACCACATGTTGCAGGTTTGCAAAGAGTGGCTATGATTATCCAGTGGGATGCAAGCCAAGCCTGTTTGGTTGTTCAGTTCAAATGACATTATTTTTAGATTTAATGAAAAGGGGTAAACGCACAATGACACAGATAAAACTCTGTGTTTTGTAAAAGTAACTTTTCAATTCAATATTGTGACATAATAATAATACAAATTTGTTGTTTTTCATCAAAATACTTTAACAATAATTTTGCCTTTTGTACATTTATGAATTTATAATTTCTATTGGTATAAGGGACTGTAAAAAAAAACACCCCCCCCCCCCCCAAAAAAAAAAAAAAAAAAAAACACCATCAAGTATTGCTCACACAATACTGTTTTTAAGAGCCAAGTTGTTCTTAACTAACTTATCACTGAGCTCCAGATCACCAAGTGTACATCTTATCTCCTGACACAGTGGAGTTAAGTCTCAAGGCGATAACAGTGTTACAGAAAACTGTATTTAACAGAAGCCCAAGGTTTTGATCATAGTTTTTCAAATTAAAGTTCATGCTAAAGGTAAATTAAAATATAATACTGGTCTTAAACGATCAACTGATTAATGGGCATGTGTGCACAGCTCTTGTTAAACAGTATAATGCTATGTTTATGTAACAGAAGTAAATGCCTCTACAGAAGCAACATTGGCAGGTGTACTGTGGGTTTTTTCCTCCCCATTTACTGAAGTACTAAAAATATATGATCTTATACACTTACCAGACTCTCTAAGGATAGACTGGGCTACAAAGTCAGCCTGTCTGAGCGTACTCAGAACGCCTGTGGTCAAGAAGGTTGGAGTAATGTCTGTTGGTGGTTCTTTCACGTGGGACCCAAATACATACACAACTCTGAAAAAAGAAAGACACAAACCAATGAACAAGTGACTGTGTGTTCAGATGCAGCAGCAGCAGCAAGTTTCTGAACCAGCATAATCGTTGGAAGGAAGAGTTTATGGACTACCTGTTGATGCTATGGCACATGCGAGGAATAAGTCTGGCCAAAAACATGAGGGATTCCCAGTGTGGAGATTCTTTACTTGTGACACCACAAACATAGCTGTAGGACCGGCAATCACCCTGTGACATAGAGAGTAAGTTTGAAGTTATAAACAAACAAGATTTATCTTTAAATCTAGGTAGAGTAAAAAAAGAAAAAAAAGAAAGAAAAAAAGAAAGAAAACAGGAAACAGACATTTTTAGTGAAACATACAGTCATGTTTTCATTTATAGAAAGATCTGCATTTTCTCCTGTTTTTTCATCCCAAAAAAACTAAGTGAAGTGAAATTTTCTTGTTTGTTTCTTTTACTGTCTCCTCCTGCCTGCCTCTCAGTCTGAGGTCTGGTGCTAAATTTGAACTATGGCCTCAAACAGGAAGTGACACAGGATTTGGAGACAGGCACAAAGTCAGGATCTGACAGAAGTATACAGCTAGATGGTAAATGGAATATGTTGACAAGAGTACACAGCACTTCAGGGCAGTATAAACGCATAACAGACAGTATTTTTCTTACCAACTTTAATATTAGAGAGAAGCTGATTAAGACTCTGTAAAAGAAGATGATTTAAATTGTGATGGTTTAGACAAATCCTTTTTTCTTATTTGCTGGGAAAAGCCAGCGAATGAGAAAAATGAGAGGCTTTGTGTGTGTGGGTGTGTCTTGTGGTTAACCTCATATTACAAACATACGACATGGCAAACATGGACATACTGTTTCTCCATTTCTGGATATCCACGTGCACTCCTACACACATCTGATTTCTCCTTAGCAGTTTTTAGCCTGCTACTACATGTAATTGATTGTGGTGCGCTGCCATGTCAAAATAAGTGCCGCCGCGCCTCCAGAATTACCACCTTTTTTTTCCCAGATGTTTCAAATGTAAATGATATTGTATGAATTGATCCATATAAACATGAAGTCTATATTTGCACATGTTTAAGGACCATATTAAGAGTGTGGAATTGTACACATGAAACGTGACACTGCTCTGAATATAACTTCATTTTGAAAAACGATCTCTGGAGTCTTAACTTTCTGTCTGCCTCTTCTCACTCTGTCACTCCAGACTGGCAGCAAAGAGTCGACAGAGCGGAGTAAAGGAAGAGGGACCAGAGAAGGATAAATGAAATGAATATTTGGTTTTGGGAATGATGCTTCAAGGTTCTTTCAGTTGGGTTCGAGTCTGGGCTCTGGCTGGGCCACTCAAGGACACTCACAGAGTTGTCCTGAAGCCACTGCTTTGTTTTTTTTGGCTGTGTGCTTAGGGTCATTGTCCTGTTGATAGATGAATACTAAATTGGAGAAAGATAAATGAAAGATAAATCTTCACCCCAGTCTGAGGTCCAGAGCGCTCTGGAGCAGGTTACTTCAAAGATATATTCATCTCTCCCTCCACTCTGACTAGTCTCCCAGTTCCTGCTGCTGAAAAACACCCCCACAGAATGATGGGATGGTATTGGAAAGCTGATGAGCTTTGCGTGGTGTCCTCCAGACATGAAGCTTGGCGTTTAGGCAAAAGAGTTCAATCTTCATTTCATCAGACCAGAGAATTTTGTTTCTCATGGTCTGAGAGTCCTTCAGGTGGCTTTAGGTAAACTCCAGGTGGGCTGTCTTGAGTCTTTTACTGAGGAGTGGCTTCTGTCGGGCAACCATACAAGCCTGAATAGTGGGGTGCCGAATGGTTGCCCTTCTGGAAGGTTTTCTTTTCCCCACACAGCAATGCTGGAGCTCTGTCCAAGTGACCACTGGCTTCTTGGTCACCTCCCTGACTAAGGCCCTACTACTGCAATCACTTAGGTCGGCCAGGCAGCCAGCTCGAGGAAGAGTCCGAGTGGGACCAAACTAGTCAGCCACTGTGCTCATTGGGACCTTCAATGCAGAAACTTTCTGTACCCTTCCCCAAATCTGTGCTTCAATACCATCCTCTCTTCCAGGTCTACGGACTACTCCTTAGGCTTGGTTTGTGCTCTGAGATGCACTGTCAACTATCGGACCTTATATAGACAGGTGTGTATCTTCCTCAATCAAGTCCAATCAACTAAATTGACCACAGGTGGACTCCAATCAAGTTGTGGAAACACCTGAAGCATGATGAGTGCAAACGAGATGCACCTGAGCTCAACTTTTAGTGTCATGGCAACACTGTTTTATCGATGTCAGGGGCAGCTATAGAGTCAGTGGACTGTTTGTCGACCTGAAAGCGAAAAAATTAAGGGTTACTTAATTTGAAGGAGTGATTACCTGGACACCAACAGTTTTGATGGGAAGCAGGAAGGCATTTAGTGAATGAAGGCTGGTGATCTGCATAAGCTCCTCTTCCTCCTCGTCTGATATGCACGACTTGACTCTCTGCAACAATGCATGGGGCTGCAGGAAAAAAAAAAAAAAAACAGTCATTTTGTATACGTTGCCACATTTAAAACAGCACATTAAACAGCACAGTGAACAGCTGTTCTCATGTCACTGCAAACACATTTATGCCTTGTCAGACAAAAGGCAGCAAGAAACATCTTTCACCAAACCTAACGACTCCTTTTGATGGGTTTCAGTCTGTCAGTCTGTCAAGAAAAGGTCTGGGTGTCAGACCTTTTCTTGACAGACTGAATTTCCTACAAGTCGCCAAAATTACTACAGGACAAAGTTCAATAGTTGTTTCACAAATACGACCAGTCCCGACAAAGTTTCGCCCCCTCAGCATTAATGAACAAATATTCTCAGATTATTTGGGCTTATTCCTTTCCGGGCTTCTTGAGGATAAAGAAGCTTGCCATGCTATCACTTGTTGGTGAGGAATTACTTCACTTAAAATACTTGCAGAGAACAATGTGAAGAAAGGGCGTGCTTACTGAGGACATCTACCTGCAAATTGTTGTATTATGTTAGGCTGCTAAATATAAACTAATTCATATCCCATCATCAGTCAGACAAAAACACCTTTCTTCACTGTTCTTACCTTTTTGACACTTGCTGAGAAGTCTGTGATAATTTTGAGAATGTTGTTTGTTTCAGCAAAGTCCTTGCAGATGTAGGGCTCCTCTGCACAAATCACCCTGATGGACAAACCAGGACCTGACATGGAAGAAAAAGAGAAAAAAGTTAATTTGTACATGAGAGAAAGAAGCATAACTAAATATTAACAGGCATATTGTGTAACTTGCCTGGGAAAGGATGTCGGGAGACGATCTCCTCTGGCAGGCCCAGCTCTCTCCCCAGTGCTCTGACCTCGTCTTTGTGGAAATCTTTCAAGGGTTCAATTACTTTTCCCTGAGGAACCCCAGAGCAGTGGGATTAGCTTTTTAACAGTGAGAGAATGACGAATAAACCCAACATTTATAGAAATGGATAAACCAAAAACAACAGATATACCATGTTTGGTGCTTTTTAGAGATATCAGCACTTAAAAAGCTAATGAAACAATGAGGACTGTGGAAGAGGGAGACCTTGAACACCTTTTCTGTTAGTTTGATATTATGTCATTTCAATCTCTTCAACAGAACATGTTATGCAAGGCTTGACTTAGATATAATGTAGTCCTGAAAACTTACAGCAGCACTAACTTTAAAGAACAAAAAGCACAGTTGTGTAAATGTCAACGCCGGAGCCTTCTGAGACAAATTGCGTGTCCATGCTGGCATGCTACATTAGCTGGAACTGATAAATAACAACACCCCTGAAGAAGACGGCGTGTTGCTCATTTAGTAATATATTTCCATAGATAATGTAAGACCATTTGTGTGTATGTGTGCGCTTCCCCCGTCAACCTTGTCTCCAGTCCTCAAGCGACCCAGTTACGGACAAGCAGATAAGGCTGACTGGCTGGCTGACATTACTTCCACCCTGTTTAAACTTTCGCCACTTTCTGTTGACCTAGCAAAACTTTGATTTGTATTCCGTTTCCCGTAACCACCATGCTTTGGCAATCACGACCCACCTTCATCTGCCTTTGATTGGCAAGAACTATGGCTCTCTCTTACTGGCTTTATTAATCCCTGTACAATTGCTAGATTGATGCATTAACAGGACTACAGTGCTTATGCAGGTATGTCCGTGAGTAACGTACCTCATCTCGGAGTTTGCGGATAAGCTCAGTGTCGTTGTGGTGTGTTTTGATAACCTCCGCCTTGCCGCTGGCAATATGAGAGGCACTTTCGATGAGATCGGGCCGCAGCGTACCCTGGGCCAGGAAAACCTCTTCTGGCTTGAGGTTCATCTCTCCTATTACCTCATTTGCCACCTGTGTAAACACACACCTCATTTAGACGGATACAAGAGTAAACACGTACATTACAGGCAAAAAAAGTTGTGTAATATTTACAGACGCTTGCACATGTGATGCTAAGTATTCAACTGAACTGATGGTGTGATGAATGATTGACTATTGCATGTACCCAGGTTGTACCCAGTATGTTAAATGACGTATGTAATATAGGTCCAAAATAAACTCCTGACTCATTGGCCAAGCTCATGGGTAGACAAACACGTTTGTTTCAGTACATTTAATTGAAATATTAAGGTATAATGTTGATTATGAAGCAAAATTACCTTTACTGTCCAATTATTGATGAGTTCATGACTTGATAAATGAAACTCAAGGGGTTTGTGTGTTATGAAGTCCTTTTTATAACCTTAAGGCTTCAAAGAGTTCCAACACTAACCCTCTAATATTTACTGATTTGAATTAATATGTTATAACATAGTCATTTACACACTTAAATTCTAAGAGTCAAGGTTTATAGCTTGTTTTAGCTTTTTAGTTCTGCCTCGACCAGACGTTTGTTTGATTGTTTTGCCTCTTGGCCTTTTTTAGAGCTAAAACAAGATTTTACTTTGGGATAAATAAACTAACTTTAAAACTAAGTGACTTTCTGCCTGCCTGCCTGCCTGTGTACCTTGCCTCTACACTCACTTTGACAAACGTGTCCCCAATAATTTTTCTTTTCTCCTCGGGGTTGGTAGTCATATTCAAAGTCTTGCTGATGCGTTTTCGAGGTGTCCTGTCTTCCTCAGAAATGGGAAGGGTTGTTGTTCCATTGTAGAAAGTGTGGGCTGCATTGACCACTAGAAAAGAAACACATGAGGGAGGAAATAGTTAAATTACGAGAACACAATGGGATTGTGAGCTAGGAGCTTTGAAATCAAATAAGGCAAAATTAATACAAGTACAAAACTACATCTTCTAAAGCAAAAAGTTTGTCTTTTTATAGGTTAAATGATTTAGTCTTTGAAAAAAAGGAGCAATGACCACGAAAAAAAGTATTGAATGCAATGAAAATATGTTGGATAGAATCATTGGTCTTCACAAATCTTTTATAATCATCAAAACAAAACTTCAACATGACAAAATTTGAATCACAACTAATTTCTCAGCAGTTGTTTCTTCGTCTCCCCACCTTTGAGTTTGATGCCCAGCTTAGTGAGAGCCTCCTCCACACTCTGACTTTCTCTCTTCCTCATGAAGCCATTGTCAATATGAACAGCAATCACCTGGTCCTGGTTCAACGCTTTGTTGAGAAGAGCTGTGCAAACTGTCGAGTCGACCCCACCGCTCAACAACACCTAAAGAATTCAGCAGTTACAGTTGTTAGACCAGACAGTTCAGTAGAGGCATGAGGCACTTCACTTGGGCTAATCTGCTCTCCTTTTCTTTTGAGTCAACTTAAACATGAAGTTTCTGTTGAAGTAAGCCTAACACTGTGTTTAACTTTTCATGTTATATGTTGTATAATGTCCGCTGTCAAGCAATAAAATATTAGACATTATGAACCCAAACCAAATGTTGTAAATAAGGTCGCTTTCACACCTGACCAAGCAGGCTCGGTTGGATTGGGGAGCTGAAAGTTGCAACATTGTTGCATTTATCACTTGTTTCGGTTCTGCTTTCACACTATGATTTCTAAAGCGCACTGAACTTTCCGAGCTGCATCACGTGGTTGAAAGGGGCGCTCGTCGATTGGACAAAGTAGGGGGGGAATCCCTCTATCCCGCTGCAGAAAAACAACCGTAAAGATGGAGCATCATGTGAAGTTGGCTGTTCTGGGGATGTCAGTGGATGTCAGAGTTAGGTTTATGCTTTCGTCTGACCATATATCAAGGAGAGCTTTATCCTCTTCGTCTGTCCACATCCGTCCTCTCGCCATGTTTGTTTTGGTTTGGAGTGTGCGCTGTGCTTCCTCTACCCAAGATGCACTGCGTATAGCGTCATTACGTACATTTGGTCCTGTGTTTGGTCCGGTGAGCTTTCACACTGCATATGAACCGAACCAGGGTTCACTTGCAAGCGAACCGAGACCCACTTTTTCAGGTGGACCAGAGTTCGCTTGTTTGGTCCGCACCAGAGTTCGGATGAGGTTTCACACCCGCCCAAACGAAGCGGACTATGCGAGGAAACGAACTCTGGCCCATTTAAAGCGGACCAAACAGCTCTGGTGTAAAAGCGACATAAGTATAAATTGGCATTTTATGTTGACAACCCACCAACAAGAAACAAACAATCAAACTGCCAAACTTGTTACAACAGCAGTGACTTAAAAGAAGGTTTAGTATCAAACAGTAATGATATACTTCACAGACTGTAGTTAAAGAGGTGGTTTTGTGCTTTTTTCATATCTCTAAAACATAAGTTTAAAAATTGGATGTCTGTACTTTGTATAAGTTAAGTTTCAGGTTGGACAGTGGCTTAAATGGCGTGTCTCAGGCAGTGGTTGAAAAGAGGGTTTTCAAAGACAGTAGGCTGAAATATGTTAGAAGTTTGTTAAACTGTAAATCATGTAAAGCTGCAAAGAAACTATCAGAAGGACAATATAATGCCCAAAAAAGACAACACCCCCTTTTTAAAGGAATACGAATATGCATGAATTTCTTTAACGCAACTCCTGTGCTTCAGTCTGTTTCCAACACTCATTTAACTCATTTCCCTCCTGAGATGAGACCCAGATTGAAGCTGCCTAGGGAGTTAGTTACCTCTTTTCAGATAAAACATGCTTCCATTTGAGATTTATTGGTTTTACTCAACTTCCCACCACTTCTGCTGCTGTTGCCAGTGCTGCCTAAGCAGCTACCCCAGCACACTTAGCACCCCGATCCATTTTTAAAAATCATCTCTCATCACAAGCTAAAAGCAGGGCAAAACTCTCTGCTATTTGTCCTTTCAATTATCTATGGTTTATGTTGTCTGTATGACATGGTAGTGGATGAAGTCAGAAACATGAAGAGTTAATGGTGAGGGTCAAACCTGAGGTCTCAGCCAGAACTGTAGCCTCTGCACTCTGTTTGGAAAGCAGCACTCATACAATCATGAAACACCAGTGCAGTTTTACTTACCAGGACTTTAGACTTGTCTACTTTTTCTCTGATCTCATCAATGCAGGACTGTTGGCGATTTTGTACAGTAAAGTTACTAGTGCATCCAGCAATCTCAAAAAGAAAGGCACGCAGCATCTCCATGCCTCTCTCTGTCAGGTCAACCTCAGGGTGAAACTGCGTCCCATACAGCTTCTTCTGTTCATTAGCGATTCCTGTGAGGAGGAACAGATCAGTTTGCCTGTTTATATTCTCAGAATGTCTGTTCGTGCAAAACCAGTAGAAAACAAGCCAAAGTCAAGATTTTCGATGGATGTTTTAGGAGACATTTAACAGCCTACTCAGAGGCAGTGTTGGCTACAAACGCATACAAACTTAGGCTTCATAACATACTGTGTACAAGAAGAATGAAATAAATGTTAACCATGTCCTTATCATCATTAGAGTTTAAAGTTTTATGTATGCTGTGCTCACAAAGATTAAATTCTGATTTCAAATCCATGTGTACTGCAGCTGTCTGAAATATGAAGAGGGATGCAAGATGGCTGCTGTCATGGTAGGAAAGAGAACATTCAAATACAGCATTTACACTAACTAAAGAGACTAGCTTGTCCAGGCTTTCCAGTCAAAATGAGTCAGCTTAAACATCCCAAACTTAAAAAGCCATTCTAGTTTTTGCACATCTGGCAAAATTCAATGGCTGCTGTCATGACACAGGTGAAGATACTTTAAATTACATATGTTTTTTAAAGAATTGTCCTGTTTCCTTTTCTAGGTTTGAGACAAAATTAGCCATAACATCAAACTTAAATAGTCATTCCAATGTTTGTTTTTCTGGCCACAATATTTCAGGTTGTTGATGATCCATTTCATGAAACAATATCTCTCTTGGGTCATTAGAATTTTGGATCATGTTAATGATACCCTTTCAACACTGAACTCACCAGCGATGATATTCCCTGACTGGGCCACAACTTTAAAGCCATCAGCCACCTTATCCACACTATCCCCATGGGTCAGCAGGACCAGTTCCTCCTTCTGTAGGCCTCTGATAAGATAAACACATGTGGTTTTATTGAGATGATATAAAATACTGTTCATATTCACAAACATCTATGATGTGAAAACACATGGAAAGATCCAACTGAGCAAACATACTACCTAAAGAGTGAGCAAGTGTTGTCCAGTCCAACCCTAAACACTCCATCTTCCCTTACACTCTTTTTATGGACTGTGCCACCAAAGACTTTATTCATCATCTGTCATAACAAACACAAAAACATACAGTTAGGTTAAGACATCAAACATGTATGAATCCAGATATACAACAGGTGTCTGATATATAGAGGAAGAATGTCAGTGAACTGATGGCTGCTGGTTTTAATGTGGGGAAAATTGAGTAAGTGACATCTCGTACCCTAACCTGGCAGTGCCAAACCCATCACTCACTTCGGGTTCTTTGTGTCTTTCCTCTATATGCTGCTGTTTGTTTACATTTTCTGTTGTAATGAGCTACATCATACTCATTAATCTTATTACAAGTGTTGCAACTCAGAGTCAAAGTGCAGCACAAACATTTCCTGAAACAATGTGGTGGAACATTAACACCAAAACCTTCTATCACTGAATTTTAAACATGTGCACAGATACCTGCATCCCATAGCAAATTCCAAGTACGGGTTTTCCGATAGTGAATATGGCAGGGTCAAACCAGGGGGCATCCTCTGCATACACAGACGCTGGACCTCCTGAAATTATGACTGCCCTAAAATTAAAGAGAGAGACAATAATCAAACCAAACTGCAAAGATCACCTACCTACATACCTGCCTATCTATCTTAATTAGATGTTAACATGAACACTTCTGTACGTATGTATGCATGGCTGCTGTCTTGGCCAGGGAACTCTTGAAAAAAAATTAAGAGACTTTTAATCTCAATGAGTTCTGTTTCTCCTGGTTAAATAAAAAAAGAAGAAAGTTATTGTATAAACATACATATATGATTTGAGAGAGTGTGCAAAAATCTGTCTCATATGCGTCTCTAGCTCACCTGTAGCCCTGCTCTCTGATAGCAAACGCCGGGGTCTCTAAAGGGAGGATCTCTGAGCGTACAAACAGCTCCCGAACCCGTCGGTCTATCACTTTACCATACTGTGCCCCAGCATCCAGGATTGCCACTGCTCCCTCACATGACCCATTCTGCTCTGCACTGCTGATCTCCAGCTGTGGACATACATTAGACAGAAAAAAAAAACATACATAGTTATAACTCAACCTCCTGAAGATGTCAGGTAGGAGGTAACCAACTACTCTGGATCTTAACAGTGTTACATCTCTGGCCAACCCGAGGAAAATGTGACATAAAAAGGGCCTTACATTATCATAGCCATGTGAGCTCTAATTCAGACAGACAGTCACTTGAGAGGAACGTGCTGTGACCATTCAGCTCATCAGTAAAATCACATGAAACCCACAAGCCACTCAGAGGTTATTAGTGAGAAGCCTTCTATCAATTTTCAAGGTTGCTCAGGGTACTCTGCCTCTCTCTGAAGCGCTGGCATTATCATTTGTAGTATTTTCAGGACAAAGAGATTGTTCAAAGTCCGTAAAAACTACCCTTAGTGGAAAACTTACAAAGAAGTCATAGCTACCTGGGTAGATATGGACGGGTGGTTAATGACAGTGAGCAAATGTGACTAAAATTCATTCTAATATTTATTACGTAAACACCACATTGGAACTATTTATAATAAACACACATAGTCATTTACAAAAAACGTTAACAACCACAGTGGTTGTTAGCAGTGAAATTAGGATAAGAAAAATACACGACAGTTTTTCAGCAGTTTTTTAGGTACGTAAGTTGGCAGACCGGTAAACGCAAGTTGCCTCATACTAGCTTGGTGACGACGTTAGCAAAACTGTCAGTTACTGTCAGTTAGTAGCAACAGCGGTGTGAAATAGATAAGTTTATACTGTGTTCAGACATTTTTCCAAAATGGGGGCAAAAACATTTTAATAAAAGGACTTTGGGTCGAATGAAACATTTCAAATATCAAATATAGTCGGTAGCTATAGCTAGCTATCACCGATAGCACGCTAGCTGACGGGTTGTGGACACAGAAAGCTAAAATCGCCGTTAGCCTGCTAGCAGTTGGCTAAATTAGCGTTGCTATGCTAAAACCCACGCGGTACTTGGAGGCAAAGGGGTGCTATGGGGATCCTCCATAAGAAGGCAACAGAGTACAGTGACGATATGTATCGAAAATTCCGCACACCAAAACCTGTGAGATTGTGTGCCCGGTTGGTGAGAAACTATGGGCAACATGTCAATCTAATACCGCAACAGACACACGGCTGTGGACTCAGTGCTCCTCAGAGTAACTGGTAGTAATGTTACATGTTGTCTAACTTTCCCCCTCGAGGTGCACACAGGCCGTAATTAGTCGAGAGACACTACACCAGCTACTAGGGTCCTACCGAAAAGTCAACCGGGCTACATTTTATCGAAGGACTAAGTAGTTCAAGCCCCACTGACCTTGCTGTCTCCGTTGCACAGAGCCATGGAGAACTGATGTGTTGTGGTATGAGCTCTCCCCTGCGCCTTGGCGTCCCAGGTCCAAGAGAGAAAGAGAGAGAGATAGAGGGCTCCTGCGTAGCTCCTGGATCAGCACGCCGACTACTGTTTCAAAAGCAGACTGTGTTGTTGGTTTGGAGATGGGCTGTCACAGCCTCTTCACTTCTGGGTGGAGAACGACTTTCTCTAAGGGAACAGACCAAATAAATGTGTCCGTACTTCGTGGGTGGAGCGCCAAGTTAAATTGGGTTTAGAAAAAAATTGAGTTACGGTCGTTGGTCTGTCTTGGTAAAGGTTTTGACAGCTGTGGAATTTCACTGATAATGTTCAGACATTTACAGGTTTTTGAGTTTATATTTATTCACACAATTAGACATATTGATATGATTTTAACAGAACTTGACTTACAATAATCAGATGTATGCAGCATTGGAGAGTTTACGTCTTGTTACATTAAAAGTTAGGGATATATTTGAATAGGGGAGAGTGGGGTAAGATGAGCCATTTTTCATATTTCAGATCACTACATTAAGGCAATCATAGTTTTGTCTCTAACTAGTGAATCTGCATATATTTCAAGATGTTGTGCATCTCTGCAAACCAACAGGATGAGTGTAAACATACTATAGCATGCCAAAAAAAAGTGGTCTCCTATGGTCAACCTACCCCGTGTATAGGGTAAGCTGACCATAGGAGCGGGGTAAGTTGAGCCGTATCCCCACTACCCCTCCACTATCCACCCCAGCCCTCCCTCCCCTTCTCTCTCCCTAAATAACAGTCACTTCTTCACATTCATGTGTATTTTTATTTATTTTACGCTATTCAACTGGTGAAATCATTATTTTTATTATTATTGCATATAACTGCTAAAAAGCTGTTTTGTAAAAAGCCATTTTAACATGAGAATGTCTTTAAGTGATTCAGAACATTCACAGCTGTAACTATAAAAAGAAAAAATAACACATTTGAACAATCTGAACTGAAACTCTGATCCTCTCATCAGATTCCTTTACTTTCTCAGTTAAGCCACTGACTTAACTTACCCCTGAACTACTATCATGACTTTATTAGTCCTCTGAACCAAAATGGTGGACTTTTATACCAGGTTTTTCGACCTCATGTTGTAGTTCATAGATACCACAATTGATGTATAAAACAAATTTAAAATGATCTTTTTTGATTTGAACACAATTCTAACAAAACTTATGACAGACTAAATTCACTTTCAAGAGTGAATTTTTTTTTTTTTTTTTTTTTTTTAATAAATGTCTATCTCCTAAATATTTGGTCACATTATCAATTTCTTTTACCGTTTCCAAGCAACAGGGGGTGGCTCAACTTACCCTTTGGCTCAACTGACCCCACTCTCCCCTATTTGACATACAAATTAGGCCGGTAAGCTACAGACTATTGACATTATGGTATTTGTGAGTCACACAGGGCAGGTGAGTGATCTTTAAAAACAATATGAAACAGACCTACAAAAAACTTTTAATATCCTGAAACAAAGTTTGAAAGAAAAACTGTACAGCTGACAAATGCCAATGGTGCCATAGTATCTTAGGTCATATCACCATGGTCCTGGCTATGTGAAGCAAGTAAAATGGCATAGAATCCTGTTGCTGTACGATCAACAGAAAGAATGAATCTGCAAACCTAACACCCCTCAGACTCTGGAGGTTAAAACAGCAAGTATGTGAGAAGATCCCCTTGTACTATAGCATGTCTACTCTACTGGTCTATTTGAAGGTGACGGTACACTGTCAGGATTTTTTGTGTGTCCCATTAATACAACACAAATATGTTTCCCAGATCAGGGTCCAGATGATGCATTTATGCTTGCCTTTGACATGGATTTTCAGTATTTGCCTGTAAAGTCACATCAAAAAAGTTACACAATACATGTTTCCTTTAGGCTATAAGAGAAATATTGCTATAACATAAATCTAAGCTAAATTCCCCAGAGTATAATTTGGAATGTCACATTAAGACAGATTTGACAGATTTCTAAAATAGAGAAATGTGAAGGTCTACTTTGTTGAGACCATTTTTTGGCTGTTTGTCAAATGTAAAAAGATTAGTGCCACCCTGTGGGGAATTTAGTTACCAACATTTGTAAAACAGAGCTGACTATCTTCATTGGTATGAAAAATGGTAGGAATTAACACAAAGGCACTATCCCTATCATTATCACTACAGAAAAAGAGTAATTACCGTAAACTCTAATTTTCTGGTGACATCGGTAATAAATGTATCTGATGCAATACAATCTCTTGGGTTTTTATTGATGAAGGTTTACAAACTTTTTTTCTTTAAGTTAGACTTATGGGTCCTCTGCGTGTCTTTAGAATGTACCAGTTTGGTGCAGTCAATTATCTAGCTATGAATCTTGCCTGTGGTTGGCAATTACTTCTGATACTTCCTCTACTCAAAGAATACACTTTTCATAGACATTGATGCTCTTATCGACCTCACATGATTCCAACTGCAGCTTCCAGTGCTCCAGATATCTCATGCTGAACTACCCAGCTGTGACTGTTGAACTATCACGTGTCTTCAGTAAGGATAAGTAGCCTCACATGTACTCATGGCAACCACAAGGCACAGCATGCTGTTACTCATTACCTCCAACTCCAATATGGTTAAATGAGTGCTTCATGACTTTTGGCAAAAGTTCCTTATAACATTAAGAAGCTTTCAACGTAATTTTTGTTCAAGGCTGGGCTACAACATTTTTTATGTCAATTTAATTTCAAATGCATTTCTTTTGTCAGTTTACGTTTCTATCCTTTAAGTCACAAGGCAGCCGTCACTGCTTTCCGGTATTTGGATGTGGATATTTTCTGTTGACCATCTCTATCATGTTTGTGATCAGCATTGTGATTTAAGTTTTGTGGCCCTCCATATTATAGGTCCTTGGCCTATATTAAATATAGCATTTATAGATCAAATGTATGTAACATACCACAGACAACAATGGAGCATGAATTGTATGCATATAATCGGGTGCGCACTTTTTGATTTTGATTATTCTGAAATTGTTGAAAGTGAATCCCTCCCCCTTTTTAATTCTAAGAGACCAGCTCTATGAAGTCCTCTTTTCATAACCACACATGAGTATCCCCCTTCTCCCGGTGTTTCGTTTAGGGGAGACCGGGGCTTGTTGTCACACTTTTTACACTCTTATATATTTCTTGGAATTTCTTGGAATCAATGCATTATATATAAACAAAATGTGTACCAGGTGAAAGACCAAGGTCTCAGGTATATATTTCGTATTCATGTTATTTTCATATCTTGTGTCAGTGCAGAGTTATAAGCAATCACAGAGAGAGTGTGAACATGTGACATGTTGCCCCATTATGGGGTAAGTTGTCTCACAACATAGGGTAAGATGTCACAGTGGATTTTGCAACTAATAAAACAAGGACAAAATTATTGTTGCTCTCATTTTTTTAGTGAACATCAAAGTCAGGCACAGAAAATGTTTATCATTGAGCTAGAAAAAGTCACTGAACATAGCCATTGAACAAACATTAACCTAAAATATTTTGCAACATGCTCTGGAGTTTGGAGAGCTGTCTGACTCTGTATTTCAGCTGGGGTGAATGTTTTGCAGTACCGAGACAAGATATAGTAGTTGACATTAAAGTCCTTTATTGTCCTCCAGATTGTTTTATTAGCGAGGGTCACCTGTCTGACTGCCCTCAGCATCATGTCAGGCATTGCACTGCCATGTTCTGTTTTTCTTTTGAAATTCCTGACCATGTCTTTAAACCACTCTTTTTTTTCTGTAAAAATAAAGTCAAAATTTCTCTGTTGATTTTAATCCATTTTAAACATGTGACAACTAACCCCAAAATGACTAAGACATGTTGCCCCAAACTACCATGTTTGCTAATTAACTAATTTGCTTAAAGTTAGCTTAAAACAGAACAATGACTGAGGTATGACCGGATGCCTTAATCTCTCCTTTATCAAGTCCACATTTATCACTGCTGGGATTTTTATCTGGAATAAGCTTAATCTAAAATATATGAAGTAATTTTTTTTACTTTGGGTTGTGCAAAGTGGTTGCTTGGCGCTCATTTCAGCTCACAGTGTGCTCTTCAGACAGGATATCACCCCTAACCATGTAAAGGAAGAAAACTGGTATTCCACTTTTTAGTTGCGCCCTCTGGTGGCAAAGATAATTGCAATGTGACAACCTACCCATGCGACAACAACCCCCGGTCTCCCCTAATGTTACACACCTTTTTCAGTGTTCGCTGACCCTGTAAATTAGCGTAAATATTTTTATTGAACAATGTAACAAAGGCAATATTTAATGATTGTCTTTGCGCTAATTTAAATAAATCTAAGGTTATTATGACTTGCAAAACATCTAAAACCACTATCAACATTTTACAGTAACAGTCCCACTTTTTTGGAGTTAGAATAGTGATTTTTAGTCAAATTTCTGTTAAATGTCCTCCTGACCCTCTGTTCATTTAATATAAATGAGATATTTGATGTCTTAGGTGGTCATGTTTGCGGCTGCTGTGACTTGAGCGGAACTACGTTTAACTGTGTTTTAGCCACGTCATCTTTTAGTGCTGGACACAATTCGGCGTCGCACACATTTCGCTTCCTGGTTCTTCTGTGTTGTTGATGTCCGCCGATCTAATCTGTTTTATGGTCAACGGTAGTAATTTTGTTACCTAAATGAAATCGTTATGATTCGGAAAACTTGTGCGATTCACTAACAGCCGAAGAGAGTCGATTATCACTGCTCGGTTAGTCAGTGCTTTCTAATGTTGTTTGAATCAGCATGCTGTCATCACCTCTAGGTATGCATGTGTTCATCCACTTACTGCGATTTAAAAAAAATATTACCATCATGCATGTTCCTATCATGATTTACTGTTTCAGTGTCTGATCTGACATGAAGTATTCATTGATTTTGATTTGATTTTAATGCTTCACAATCTGGCTTTACTGATTACTGTGATATCTGATTGTGCTTTCCCTTTCAATTTAATGTGCAGTTGTTTTAACCACATGTCCGTCAATTGTGTCTCAAAAATCATGAGAACTTAATTATTTACTTGTTTCGGTTCAAAGAGTGACCTGTTAACTGGCTACTCTCAGCTTACTGCAACTGTTCTTGTCATAGTCATAGCAGCTGTTGAAACACAGAAATGGTCATGGATGAATCTATGTCTCTCAGTGTACTTTACTATTATATTCATTAAAATATTCAGCACATGTGCATCACTTACGTCTTTACAGCAAAATGAGGATAAAACCGAAGCAGTCTAAGTAAGTAGGGGAGAGTGGGGTAAGTTGAGCCACCCCCTGTTGCTTGGAAATGGTGAAAGAAATTGATCATGTGACCAAATATTTAGGAGATGGGCATCAATTCATGGAGTCTGTGAAGGTTAGACGCACATGGGTGAAGGGATAAGACATTTATTTCCAAAAAAACATTTTTGACCCTTGAAAGTGAATTTAGTCTGTCATAAGATTTATTAGAATTGTGTTCAGACCTAAAAAGATCATTTTAAATTTGTTTTATACATCAATTGTGGTATATATGAGCTTCAACATGAGGTCCAAAAGTCCAACATTTTAGCTTAGAGGACTAATAAAGTCATAAAAGTAGTTCAGGGGTAAATTAAGCCAGTGGTTCAACTGAGAAAGTAAAGGAGTCTGATGAGAGGATCAGAGTTTCAGTTCAGATTGTTGAAATGTGTAACTTTTTTGTTTCAAAAATACAGCTGTGAATGTTCTGAATCACTTAAAGCAGTGGTTCTCAAGTCCAGTCCTCGAGGCCCACTGTCCTGCATGTTTTGGATGTTTACCTGCTCCAACACACCTGATTCAAATGATCAGCTCGTTATCAAGCTATTACAGAGCTTGATAACGAGCTGATCATTTGAATCAGGTGTGTTGGAGCAGGGAAACATCCAAAACATGCAGAACAGTGGGCCTCGAGGACTGGACTTGAGAACCACTGACTTAAAGGCATTCTTATGTTAAAATGTTTTTTCTTTACAAAACAGCTTGTTAGCAGTTATATGCAATAATAATAAAACGAATTATTGTACCAGTTGAATAGCATATAATAGTTAAAAATACACATGAATGTGAAGAAGTGATTGTTATTTTGGGAGAGAGTAAGTGAGGGAGGGCTGGGGTGGAGAGTTGGGGGGGTAGTAGGGATACGGCTCAACTTACCCCGCTCCTATAGTCAACTTACCCCATACACAGGGTAAGTTGACCACAGGAGACCCCTTATTTGGTATGCTATACTATCAAGACAGTTCTGTTTACACTCATTCTGTTGGTTTGCAGGGATGAACAACATCTTGAAATATATGCAGATACACTAGTTAGAGACAAAACTATGATTGCCTTAATGTAGTGATCTGAAATATGAAAAATGGCTCATCTTACCCCACTCTCCCCTATTGGCAGCATTTAACACAGTCAATTCATCAGCTTTAATTAGTGAATCAATCTTTATTTACAGTATATAGTGCCAATCCACTACAAGTGTTATCCCAAAGCTTCAATAATCACGTCTCTTCTTCTGTGCAGGTTGGCTGAGGGCACAGCTGGTTTGATGCCCATACTCCAACATGGAGCACCCTGATTTAATCACGCACAAGAACGGGCGGCAGAGGAAGCTGGCGGATTCCACCGTCCCACGTGAAGATATGGGAGGCAAGGACAGAGGAGAATCTAGCGCCTCCGAACCAGAAGTAGAGGGGGATGCAGTGGGCCTTATCAGAGGGTCAGACTCTGAAGGCAAGAGGAACAGAGTCCAGTCTGGGATTCACCGCGAGTTGGGCAACGTGTCACTTCTTCTGTTCCTTTATGTACTACAAGGGATTCCACTGGGACTGGCTGGTAGCATTCCTCTAATTTTACAGAGTAAGAGTGTCAGTTATAAGGATCAAGCATTCTTCAGCTTTGTATTCTGGCCATTTAGTCTCAAACTCCTCTGGGCACCACTAGTGGACGCTCTCTACTTCAGTCGATTTGGTAGAAGGTAAGAAGGAAGTTTGTGTGCTATGTTGACGTTTAATCACCTTTAATTATTTCCTTACTCTACTCATGTTCTTCTCGTTTCATCTCCCACAATTCTGCAGGAAGTCATGGCTAGTGCCTACGCAGTATCTGCTCGGCCTTTTTATGCTGTACCTCTCGATGTCGGTTGATTCGCTGCTGCAGAGTGAAGGAGGCCCCAAGGTGGCCACACTTACTGGAGTTTTCTTCATGCTTGCCTTCCTGGCAGCAACACAGGTAGGGAAACATTAACACGGTGACAAAAAACATATCAGGTTAGGGACATACAGCAGAGTGAACTTGATAAAATCTCTTTCATTCTCCAACTGCTCCATCTTCTCTGAATTCAAGGACATAGCTGTGGATGGTTGGGCCCTGACCATGTTATCCAGACAAAATGTGGGCTATGCTTCTACGTGCAACTCTGTGGGTCAGACAGCTGGTTATTTCTTGGGAAATGTGCTTTTCCTGGCTCTGGAGTCTGCTGACTTCTGCAACAGATACCTCAGAGTGGTGCCCAAGGACACAGGCATTGTCACTTTGTCAGGTACTTCCAATTCCTGATGCAAGTTCAGAAAAATATGATATTTTTAAACGGATAACTGTTGTTTGTGAAATCAGTGTTTTCCTGCTAAATAGTGTCTGCTCTTCTGATACAGACTTCTTGTTATTCTGGGGGACGGTGTTCCTGGTTTCCACCACATTGGTTGCTATCATTAAAAAGGAAAATGAACAGGGCAAAGGAAAGAGGAGAGTACATGAAGAGACACACGGTGTGACAGAGACCTACAAGCAGCTGTTCTCTATCATAAAAATGCCCACGGTCTTCACCTTTTGTTCGCTGCTCCTCACTGCTAAAGTACTTAAATACCAAATATTCAGTATGCCTTTTGACATTGAACTGATTTTGCCTTTTTGCTGTGAGCATTGTCATCCATAAATAAAATGCCTTGTGTGTCTTCTGTGTTTGTTTCAGATTGGTTTCTCTGCAGCTGATGCAGTTACAGGTCTTAAACTAGTTGAAGCAGGAGTTCCCAAGGAGCAGCTGGCATTGCTGGCAGTGCCCATGGTACCTCTACAGATCCTGCTACCTTTAGTCATCAGTAAATACACAGCAGGGCCCAGACCTCTGGATGTCTTCTATAAAGCATTCCCCTTCAGGTTGGTACTCCAAACACGCTGCCACACAGACCCATGAATGCGCACATTCAATAAACCAAAAGCTAAGAAATTTGTTGTGTATTGTTCACAGGTTGCTGATAGGATTGGGGTATGCGTTGCTGGTGTGGTGGACCCCCAGTGTAAAACAAGAAGGAGGGTTCCCTGTTTATTACTACGCCATTGTGCTGCTTAGCTACGCATTGCACCAGGTTTGGTCTATATGTCCTTTTTTTTCTTTTACAGTGTTTTGTAGTGCTGGTCAGATTGATTGTTATTTGGTCAGTCTACTATTCTGGTGAATGGCAGATTAAGAGAATTATGGAAAAATCTCTTTTTACAAAAATGACAAGGCAGGTAACTGATACTGGATGGAGGTGATACAACATGTTAAACACACCCTTATTGCAACCGTGTTGCTGAAATCACATTTCAAACCAGCCTATATTACTCAATATCATTTTTCAGTTTCGACATTTGACTCGCTGTTGTTTCAGCATTTATAGTGAAGTATGTAAGCTTTAAATGATTTAAAAAGCATCAAATCCTTTTTTTAATTGAAATTTCACACAGCATCCCATCTCTTATGCAATTGGGGCTGTAAGTAGAAATGATCCCTTGGATCTATGGACAGGTCAATTTAAAGCCAGCAAGTTGGGGCGCACAGATGGCCGAGCGGGTTAGCATGCCTCATGTATGGGGACCACGATCCCTGCTGTGGTCGCAAGCCATTGTATATTTAAATATATATTTAAAATCACTCATTATTTTTATGCATTATGTCTGCATGCCCTTTCTTTCAGCTCGCAAGGCCTTATCAATAATAAGAAATAAAATTAACCAGAAAAAAAAAAAAAAAAAACATTTTTAGGTGTCTGATGTCTGAGAAGTAAACTGCTAAGACGAATGATTTCCTTGTTTCTACAGGTGGCATTGTACAGTATGTATGTGGCCTGCATGGCCTTCCATGCCAAAGTAAGTGACCCCCTCATTGGAGGAACCTATATGACCCTGCTGAACACCGTCACTAATCTTGGTGGTAACTGGCCGTCCACTGTGGCTCTATGGTTGGTGGATCCACTGACCTCGAAGGAGTGTCAGGGGGCTGTGGGGCAGAGTTGTGGCTCTGTGGAGGAGTCAGGGGTAAGTAAGTGTATGTGTGTGGCGGGGGATATGAGAATATATTGAAAGTATAGTATGTAACTAAATTTAATTTATTTTACTTTCTGTCCCCAGCTCTGCGTAAAGGAGGGCGGCGTTTGTGTGACAACAATGGATGGGTACTATGTGGAGTCTGTGGTTTGTGTTGTGATTGGTTTAGCTTGGTGGCTGTGGTTAGGGAAGAAAATGAGGCAGCTTCAGGAGAGGAGTCCAGCTGCATGGAGATGCAGAATTCATCAGTAATAACATGAATTATGAGTCCCTCTGACTCTTTCCTTTCTCGCGTTCTTCTTCCCAACAATGACTGGAAAATTGGTCACTTCTCTCTCATCCATCTGTTGTGTCACACTCCAACGTCTACGCACAGAAAACACTGTTTCTTACACTTGTCACCGTGAAGTACATAAATCTGATGAAGTGTAACATTGTCTTTGAGAGTGTAAATCCTTATTGTTACTCTTTCCAGGTGTACCATATGCTTCGAATGTGAGCAACCTGTCAAACTGGCTAAGAATAAATATATATATATTACTTTGCTGCTCCAAACAACCCACCAAACCATAGCTAAGTCTAGTTTAACTTGCTGTCCAGATCGTTGAGTTCATTTACTGACAGCACACAGTTTGTGCAGGTTTTGCATGTAGCATCAAATAGCAACAAGAGGAACTTCTCTGAAACATGAGCCTTTACCTCCCGGTTTTACAGCTTCTGAATTATAAAAGGATACTCAAAGGAAATTCCAGGCAAAACACACAGATGCATACTGACACTGACTCATCTGTCAACAAAGCAAGTTATGGAAAAGAAATTTGTGTGCTGTCAATGACCCGTGTCTTAGGTTTTAAACATCTTTTACTTTGAAGTAATTTGTGCCTTGGTAAGTTTTTCTATTGTGCAACATTGACATGATCCTGCTCTTACTGCAGATTAAGTGTAAACCCGGTTATTTTCCATATACAGCTGGATACACATTCCTTTTAACAGCTCCAGTTCGTACAATGCTTTAATGAAGTACAACGATTATCATCAACGGTATCTATCTGTCTTCAAATGAACCAGGATATCTGGAACAATATACTGTATACTGTAACAAGCTTTTGTCTCAGACTTTCCTGGAACCTGGTCAGTCTTACATATCATAAGACAATCGGATCTTTCAAAGCAATGTTGAACAGTGCAGCTTTTGAATGCTCATCTTAGTCATCCAAAGGATTTAGCTGATTATTTTGAATAAGTTTTTCTTGAGTTGCAACAATAAAAGTAACTTGCTGGTCTAGTAGGTTTCACAACATCTACAAGTTATAGAGATGAACTTTGTGTTAATACCAGTGTAATGAATTCCATCATCTATCCCATCAGACGTTTTAATTCTTCCATAAATAGTAGATTACATGTGATTCCAGGCAGAATGAATTTCCCTTTGGGGACCAATAAAGTTCTTGTATTATCTTCTCTCATACTACATTTTGTAAAGTTCCTAATTTCAGGAAAAAAATGCAGTTTAGAGTAAAGATTCTATCTGAGAAGATCATTAAAACCAGCCTAAAATAAAAACACAGTTTGTTTTTATAGCCCTGAAACACTAATCAGATCCCTGCAGCCTGCATGTCAATATGACAAACAAATACTTGGTTAATGTTTGGCAAACTGTACATAGAAGTTGATGTCTCAGTATTTTCTCTAAAGCCAGCACTGAACATCCAACTCTTTTCTCAAATATTCATATTGAAGCACACAATCAAGATAGATTTTGGGATTTCTTATGCCTTATTTGTGAACTTAATGTTAAAGGTAAATATGTTTTCACTACTGTCTAGACATAGCTGTTATGTGTAATAGAGCTGTCATGTCTATTTTTTTTTTGCCAACAGGCTACTGTGGTATGACATTTCATAATAAAAGCCATGTTAGAGCACAGTATGTAACAACAATCGGAAATGGAATTAACAAAATGCGATAAAACCAAAAATGTAAAAACTGACCCAAAATGTAACAAAATGGTGAACCCAAAATGTGACAATTTGCTACATTTTTTTGATTACATTTTGTGTCGTTACATATCGGGCCCTAACAAGCCTTTTTGCCATAATCATGGCAGTATATTTATTTCTTTGACCAATCGACTGCTTACTCTACCTATGAGCTTAAATTGTTATATTTTGGTTGGGGTTGAAGCTCACTCAAGTCTGCTTGATTTACTTTGCATTTATAATTATCTCCGGTTCATAAATTGCAACGTTTTAATCACTATGTTTTTCACATAACCTCACAAATATATCTATATTTTTCACTTTGCATAACTTTTGATTTACATCCAAATCTGAAATCAGTTAAGAAAAGGTTCAGCACAGGGTAATGGAAGAGAGAAATTAAGGGATGCTTTAAGCAGTACTGTAATTTTCTGAGGGATTAACTTTGACATTCGTGGGATGTTATGTTCATAAAATTTGAAATAAATTTTGCATACCAAAAAAGAAATGTGTTCACTTGTGAGGCTCTAGGATGATTTCCCTTCAACTTTGAATACATGTGTGGCAACACAAAATAAACACAAGGTACTCTGTATTTTTTTTTCAAACATTTTATTATAATTTCCTTGCTTTCCAGGAACTCTAAAATTGATCTCCCATAGATGTGAATGCTGATGCGAGAGGTTAAATGCTTCCCCAACATTTTGGAGCTTCAAACCTCAACTGCAGACAGTGTCCAGATCAACTGGCGTCACCGTCTCTCAGTTACATCATTCCCAGGGGTCTGACTATCTGTTGCTGATTTGCCCACAGTCAGAGTGGGATCTTGCAAAGCAGTGGCGAGACCACTTTCATGTGTTAGGTAATGATGGTGATCAAGCTAAAGTATGTCTTTTGATGCATCAAGAGACACACCCCGAAGCACTGTACGCCTATAGAGTGGATAATTGACATATGGTTCCCACATCAAATAAACGTCCAATATTTCATCCACAACACCAATGTCAGAAGAATGTAAATAGTCCTCATTTTCTTTTTTGTTTAATTTAGGTGGGAATAGCACAATTAATGCATCCATTTCCTTGAACATTGTTAGACATAAAGCTATAGTCATCAATATCAGAACACCAATTTATCCACTGCTCAAAATGAATTTTTTTTATCATTTTTTTTTCTCAAAAGACCTGATTGACATTATTTTGTTCAGAAGCAGGGAGCATTTTCATCTAACAAGACCAGTAAGAATCTCCCAATGGCAGCGATGTCCTTGCTGGCAATCACATAGCAGAAAGCACTTAAGAATCATCTTCTACTGGAGACTGACTGCATTTCTAGCTACAGCTGCTTACATACCGCGTGATACATAACCACTTTTAATTCCTCGGTTAAACAAAGGTCTTAAATCCTCCAAGATTTTCTGTCTTACCAGTCCATTTCAGAGAAGGGGTCAGAAGACAAAGGTCATGTGACCTGAGGTGTCAAAGTAGAAGAGGTGAGATGGTGATATTGCCAGTAGCACTTAAACTGAAGCACGCTGGAGTTCCAGACTCACGTACAAACTCCAGCCGTGACAGTGTATGTAGTGTGTGGATGTGCAATTTTGAAATTTAATTGTCTTTAGCATCCATATATTTTTGCTTGGTTTCTTAAAAAATATCAACAAAAGAAAAAAAAAGAGTCAAGAAATAAACTCTCCTAAAGAGGTGCAGTGGGTCATAGGTTCATACGTAGATGCTCGGGCCGTTTAGCCACAACAGGATAGGCCTGCTGTTTCATCTGAGCCAAGTTGACCCCAGCAGGCTGTCGGATGGGTAAAGGAGCAGAGGCCTCGGAGCTTGTTGTGACATCCATTTGCTCTGGTGTGGACAGCTCCATGGCCTGATCTTGTGGTGACTGGAGGACACTTGGTCCAACTCCAGGGAGGAGGGGGCTCCGGGCCCAGCATTCCCCAGCTGAGAACTTCACAGGGCTGAAAAGAGGAGAGGCATTGATCAAATTAACCAACACAGACAGACAAGGACACTGTACTTGATAAAATAACCAGAGTTTAACAGAGACACAGACATACCTGAGAGGTGTTCTTGGACTGCCCATGATTCGACGTGGTGAGCGGATTTTTGGCTCAAAAGAGAACTTTTCTTTAATGTTTTCCAGGACTGACGGAGCTACATATGTGAAACCCTAGAAAGATAAAAACACCAGAAACAGGTAGACCACTTAAGAGAGGCAGGTTGGGAGCATAGGAAACACGAGTAAAGGGTCAAAAGCAGTCATGCCATTCAGATCCAGTTAGTGGTGCACTGACTGAACTTTCCAGACTTTATTAGGTACACCATTTCAATCACTTGATAACACAAATAACTCATTAGCCAATCACAGGAGAGCAACTTAATGCTTGTAGACATCAAGGCCACTTGCTAGAGTTGTTCAAACCGAATATCAGAGTGGGAAAGAAAGGGGATTTAAGAGACTTTAAATATGATATGGTTGTTGGTGCCAGACGGGCGGGTCTGAGTATTTCAGAAACAGCTGATCTACTGGGAATTTCACACACAGCCATCTCCAGGGTTTACAGAGAAGGGTCCAAAGAGGAGGAAATATTCAGTTTGCGGCAGTGTTTTAGAGTTCAGAGGAGAATGGACAGACTGGTTCAAGATGATAGAAAAGCAACAGAGCCTGGCCTGATGAACTGAGCATCGTTTGCTGCAGTCTACCTGGGTATTGCTGCTGACCATGTCCCTTTAGAACCACGGTGTACTTTTCTTTTGATGGCTACTTCCAGCAGGATAATGCACCATGTCACAAAGCTCAAATTATCTCATTGATTTCTCGAACATGATCATGAGTTCACTGTACTCCACGGGCCTCCAGTTACCAGATCTCAATACAACAGAGCACACTTTTGGCGTGTGGTGGAATGGACACTAATAAAGCGTCCAGTGAGTGTACTTATTGTACCACAATACTTGATCATTGTGGCTTGTCCTAAAGGAGCTTTTATCCCTTTTTTTCTGCTTTGAGATGGAAAATCTCACTAGAACTGTTCTTCAAATTCAATTGGAGACACAAGCACAAGTTCCCATTAAATTTTTTCTAAAAGTATTTAAAAATTAGCTGAATTTCTCTTTTGATCAAGATGCTCATTTAAAATGACAACAGTAAAAGATAAACAGGAAGGATTACCAGGAAGGCTTGGTTGGCACTCTCACTGAGGGTCGAGTCATCAGGGCTGTCGACTGGTGTCTGACTAGTAAACTTTGAGTCAAACTGACTCACATCTTCAGCTGATTGCTGGAAACATCAAGAAGAGGGTGACACAAGTGGTGAGGTTGTCACAAGAGAAGACTTACAACTAAAGCTGAATTATACTTTCAGCTGTTATTCTAACACTCAGCTCATTACTAATCTACAACTACATCAGATATCTGACTCAATCGTTGGATCTGCAACTGTCATCCTCACCAGAAAGGGTTTAAAGGGAGGCTCCACTTTCCGAGCTAACAGATCCTCCCAGTTTATTTGTCGAAAGAAGGGATGAGCCTATGAGACACCAAATAGAAAAGGAGTGTTAATATATAAAAAGGGTGCTTTTTAGCATGAATATGATACAAGATAAATTCTGTGTGTTCATCTATCACTACAAACAATTTCAGAATGTATTTCTCCCAGATAATGTTGCTTTATAGTTGATTTTTATGTAATCATACAGTGTTTGTCAATATTTTCGTCTTCTGGGTGAGAGTAGCATAATGCTGCGGAGACCTCACATGCCGGGTCCATTGACTTTTGTCCAGCCTCTTCTTGGACTCACCTGAACCTCTGTGGCATCTCCTACTCCAGCTCCTAGTCGTGATGAGGCATTCCTCTTCAGCAGCTGCAACCATCAGTCTTTTGTCAAAACTCAAAGCTTATATTTCAACAAAGATACAGCATTTTTAAACAAAGAGGAAGATACCCGTTTCAAGAGATCCCTTGCTTCTTGCGTGAGGTAGGGCGGGAGGCTAAGCTTACACTTGAGGATCTTGTCGATAGTCTTCTTTCTGTTTTCACCTGTAAATGGTGGCTACCAAATGCAAAGACAAGAAGAAGTTATTCAAACATTCCCGGCTGAGATTTACATTTCAGAAGAACTCAAAACAAATCGTCTTCAATGTTGTTTTCGGCAGCTTGGAAATTTCAAACTGACCGCTCCTGTGAGCATGTCGTACATCAAAGCGCCCAGGCTCCACCAGTCCACGGCTCTGTTGTGTCCACTTCTCATCAAGATTTCTGGGGCCCTGCATCACAGAGAATACACACTTATTACAACTACACTAATGTGAAGAAGCAGTGGCATTTCACTGAGTAGTCAGGGGAGGCCAGACTGTGCTTGTCACTTGAACCGTCATCGCCATTCTTATTGTGGTGCCATCTTTAATCATTTAACGATGACAGTGACCACATCCTTCTATACAATGTGTGGTAGATGTGTGTGAAACTGCGGTTGTGTATTAGAAAGTTTCCATTACATTTCCAAGGAAGCCAAGTGAAAATTTGCACCCCTTGTTTAGAGCAGTGGTTCTCAAGTCCAGTCCTCGAGGCCCACTGTCCTGCATGTTTTGGATGGTTCTCTGCTCCAACACACCTGATTCAAATGATCAGCTCGTTATCAAGCTCTGTACTGGCTTAATAACGAGCTGATCATTTGAATCAGGTGTGTTGGAGCAGGGAAACATCCAAAACATGCAGGACAGTGGGCCTCAAAGACTGGACTTGAGAACTACTGGTTTAGAGTATTAACCAATCAGATGAGGCTATGTACATGTCACTGCTAAAATGTGATCAGTCAGCAGCACTTTTGGACACACATCAACCACGCCAAAGCATGGTATCAATGTAAGTGAAATTCAATATCAGGAGATGGCCCTGAGACCACTGCTAACATTACTAAGCGCAGTTATGGAGAATAGTGATTTGTAGTTTACACTGAAAGCAATCTTAACTTAACACTTAAAATTCAATCCTCCAAGTTCACAAAGCATCTGTATAATACAACAGTATGTAAAATAAGAGCTAAAACAGCACATCTGGTTATGTTGTCAAAAAAGTGACATGTCTGTGACACCTCTTCAAAATAAGCACAGATTAGAGTTCTTGTTCCACTCAAAAAATGTACTACTGTTTTTCATGTGGGGTTATAAGACGTCCTTGTCCTAAGTAAGTTTGTAACCCATAGAGCAGTGGTTCTCAACTGGTGGGACCTGACTCAAAAGTGGGTTGCGGACACATTCTGGATGGGTCGCAAAAGTAAATAATTAATGCGTGTCTAATGTTTGACATGTCTTTTATTTTGAAAAATATCTTATTTTGTGCAATTTGATATTTATTTGATATTTTCTGTATATGCAACTTCAGCAGTTGTCGTCGTCAGTTCATGTGCTCGGAAATGCACTTCACCCAATAAAACGGGTGAAGTTGTGTTAAAGATTTGAGTCTTAAAAAGGTTTTTTTTAATTAAAAAAAAAAAAAATTTGCTTGGTTTGAATTCTATAAAAGTGGGTCGCGACTTAGGGACCATGGGGAAATGTGGGTCCCAGAGTGAGACCAGTTGAGAACCACTGCCATAGGGAATCCATGTCTGCTTGGCGCCTTTGTTGAGAAACCAGGCAGAAAACTGTAATGGTAGCTTGATGACGAGGTTTACATCACAATACGATTTGACTAGTTTTAGGACTTACATGTACTCAATGGTGCCACAGAACGTGTGGGTGACTGTGCCATCATGAATAGACTCTTTACAAAGCCCAAAGTCTGTCAACTTAACATGGCCTGGAAGAAAAGCAACACCGTGTGACATTTACAATTCCCATACCACCATGTAGCAGAAATCAATAAAACAGCTACAGTAAGTCAAACAAGGTGATTACATTTTTGATTTCATTAATGGGACATGCATTGATTTACACTGGATGTAATTTTTTTTTAAATGTTGGAAAATTTCTAAACAAATTCAGCAACACAGAGTTAATTTTCAGGTTAATATAAAACACACACCTTGACTATTGAGCATTATGTTTTCAGGTTTTAGGTCTCTGTAGATGATGCCTTTCTGGTGCAGGTGGCCCAAAGCCATGGAGATCTCTGCTAAGTAGAAACTATTCAAAAACACAAAAACTTGCATTTATTAGTTTCCCTTTATGCAAAATATTCCTCTAAAAAGGTGCCATCAGTCTCAAACCAATGTAAGTGTGTCAATTTTCAACCATTCAATCAAAAGTCACAAGATAGATTTCAACTAACACCTAAAAATCTTTTATAAGTAAGTCTTTTGCATTGTGATATTATCTACAATGAATATCTCTCACCAGGCTGTGTCTTCCATGAAGATGCCTTCTCTCTCCAGCTGCATGAAAAGCTCTCCTCCTGCAGGGAACAAATGTTTATGTTATCAACAAGTTATTCTGCTGGCCCACAAACACACAGTGGGCTACAAGTAGAGTGCTTTTGTGTTTTTCCATAAATGCTATGCCTAAAGAGTGTATACTGTATACTAAGTGTGTATTTGTGTACCATTTCAGACTCACCGCTCAGATACTCAAGAATGAGATACAGCTTCCCTCCAGTCTGGAAGGCGTAGATAAGATCAACGATGAATGGATGCTTCACTTCCTCCAGGATGTTCCTCTCTGCCTTGGTGTGAGCTGTGTCCTTGGCGTTGCGTACAATCATAGCCTTTTGTGTTTCGATTGAAAGACAAAACCCACATTAGTTCAGAAAGTTGCACAGCACCAACAATAGTCATATTTTACTCACACCAATACAATCCACTTTCTTTGTTGTCATGCTAGAGTATAAGACGGTAAAAGGACAGTTGGAAGTATTTCCATCCTCAACATGGGAGAGGTTGAACTGTGTTATGTAAGCAATTATCTTATCTGGTTAATGAATAAATAACATTTAATAACTTATTAATGCCGTGGCATAAATTTCCCTACTACTACTTGCTTGAAAAAAGTGTCACACTAAAGCTTTGTAACGCACAGTGGGCCCTAGAATATATCCATCAGAGTAGATTTCTCATCTGTACGCCAAAGTTCTATGTATGCACCTCTGTCACTGTTCAAAGCATCTCTGCTGAATCACTTTAGGGTCTGTTCATGTTTGTTGAGCACTTTTGTCACAAAGCTATAGAGCTGCCTGTTCACAACAATGTTGTGTTAGTTTAGGATGTTAAAAACTGTGATGGAGCATCAACAGGAAGACTGGGGCCATCACAAAAACCCTGACTCTAAAGGATGCTGTACAAACATCTGAAGTCTGAAAACTTCTGTAATGAGTTACTGGAGTATTTACACACTCAATTCGAAAATTTGAGAAAAAAAAAAAAAAACGTGAAGAAGGGCTAGGCAAAATGGGAAAAAGTTTATCACAATAGATTTTTTTCATATCAGTCAATATCGAAATGTTCCCTGTTACTCTTAAATGAAATGTAACAGTGCTTATTGGCAGCATGTCTTTTGCAATACAATAAGCTACTGCATCTGTGAGGTCTTTGTGTCTCTCTAACGTTTTGTTGTAAGGCGTTGCGCTAGAGAAAGCGGACTGAATGGTCGGCTGTTTCGGCTGCACAGGCCCCATGGGATCCTTGCTCCACTCGGGTTTGTAACCTTTTGCATTGTGTGTGCTCTACTGTGTGGCACTGCTGTAGGTGGTGAAAAAGATCTGAGGGATTCCCCGACTTTGCGAGAACATGTACTCAACATATTTTCTTTTTTTCTCCCTGACAGTGCTGTCAGCTTCATGTGTTAAAGTGCGATGGTTGCGTGTAGCTGCAGCCTGCCACTACGCGATTGTTTGCTACTTGGTTCTAATTCGGCACATGATTGGTTCAGCTCAAAGTGGACCCGTACAACTCCCATTTTAATTGGCTATACGTATAGTCTACCAAAACATGGCAGAATGTTGACTATAGTAAAGCATATCGACCATGTTTTATATTAATATTGAGGGAAGTTAATTTTTTATATATATCCGTCATCGTTTTATCGCCCAGCCCTAAAAGAAGATAAACCAAATTATTTACTGTATAAAATATGATAATTAGGCACATAGAAAGATTAGAGAATATACTTGGTCCAAAAATAAAAAAAAAGGTAAACATTTTTCATGTCAACATTACATGTAATTTAAAGAAGTAATCACAAAATCCAAAGCTGTAAAATTATATATGTTTGTGTGTGAGTATGTGTTAAGTTAATGAAGTGTTTATTATTGTTAGAAAAGAAATTAATATTGCATATTTATATTATCATTGCCCACCTCCACAGACACTGATCAGGACAGTCTTGTTACTTCTTGAAGAATATCCTGGTTTGGCAAACTGATGAAGTACTTTCTCTTTTGAGAATGCTTTCAGGAATGCACGTGTCACTGACAATTTTGGGCAAGTCAGGACACATGTCTTACTCTTACTTGTCTTATGCTTCAGAAATATGGGCTCTTGATGGTGGGTCTCAGTCGCAGCTGTATTACAAAAAGACTAAATGGTTGCAAGTTTGGAGCTTCACCTTTAAGACCATTGGTGCTAGGGTCACTTTAGCCTATCAAAAATAGCAGTGTGAAAATCAAGCTGAAATTCATGGGCTGAGGAAGAGCGTTTCAAGTGCCAATGCTGCAGCAGCACATCACAAATGGCAATCTACCAACTCAAGGTAAAACTTTACCCCACAGCTGGCTTCAAGGACAGCAGATATTTGCAGGCAATGTTTGTTTGTATTCCAGGCAAGCAATTATATTCACTGGAGAAACTGACTGACTGTACAGCACTTCGATTCAAGCAGAAAGATTTTTTTGTGTGCATTAATGAGGGAAAAGTTGAATACCTTTTTCAAAACTTTCATGGCAAATATTTTGCCTGATGCGGCTCCAACCACTTTTCGTACTTGAAAAACCTGCATAAAAGAAAAATGATCAAATGAAACAATTCAATAAAGTACAGAATACATGGAAAGTACTCCAAAAAGTATCCATGAGAAGTTTCAGTGCATTGCAACAGTACTTTCATGATGTGCTACTTTGAGGGACTCAACGGTACCTTTCCATAACCGCCCTTCCCCAGTACCCGCAGCAGCTCAAAGCACTCTGGTCTTATGTTTTCAGTTCCCTGATTGACGTTGTCTTCTGATATCTCAATCTTCTCACAGTCATCCATGTTGCTGCAGAGATATGTTGCATCACACTCATTATGTTTTTTTTTCTAAGGTTGATACCATAGACTGTATATAGAATGGACGCCATCTGCCTCCTTGCTGGGTGAAGCCACTCCGAGAACAGCACCCTCTGTTGACGGGTTGCAGTATAGGTCATAAAGCCCACCTCTGCCAGCAAAGCTTATGGGGCTGTAGACAAACTTAAGAAATTTATTACACAAAACATAAATTTTTCTCCCCCCTGCTTGTGATGTTGACATGTAGTTACTGTCAGGCTGGTTTTTGCTCAAGTCCTCTTTTTTTCAGTGAAGCTCCGTTTTTAAAAGTTATTCAGGGGTTCATGTTTACTTTGATTGACACTTGATACAGCCTATTGGCGTTCAGGGATTGCGTAGCTCACCCGGGGGATACGCTGTTTGAGCCGAGCGTCATCACAGCGACTCTCCCACCGAATGCGCACAACGCTACTACGCAGCGCTGGTTCTAGGAAATGAAGAAAAATCCCGGAAATACAGAGAGCTTTTTGGCTTCAAATCCGTATACAAGCAGGAGGCGGAACCAAGTTGTCCATAGTATATACAGTCTATGGTTGATACTCAAATCAATGCATGAACCCAATCCCAGTTTAGCTTTGACTAAATACTTACAACTCAAACCCACTGCACTGGTCCATGATATCATTGAGCTGGTCCTGAAAAGAAAAAAAAACAATAGGTTAATTAAATTTGATATGAAACGCAGCATAAATGAATCTAACCAAAGCATTAATGCGACATTACACTGTTTCCTTTTCTGTTTTTTACTACCTTAGTGTCCTTAAAATTTGTATACAAATAAAAGACACAAAGACTGGTAAGATTTCAGAGAACTTGAGAGAGTAGATTAGTTGCAGGTGAACATTTATTATCGCTTTTATTGCAGTAAACTTTGCCAAAACATCTGCTTGATTGTGTTCGTACAGATACTGTGATTTCAAACTGCAAAACAAGAGCATGATCACTAAGTTGCTCACTCTACAAGGTATGAAGCAATAGGTCCTCTGTAGTTTAATCTGTTAAGCAATATGTGAATATGTTTTACTGAACACTCCAGTCTAGAAAATAAAGTTTACTGGCATCTACTACTGTACTGCTCCTCTAACAGCATGATAGGTTTATAAAGCATAAAAAATAAGTAATTTTTTGTATTCAATTGACATAGTAATGTTTAGTTGTTATGCTGCTGCATGTAGGAGTCAACATGAACAGTCACACTCTGATATGGACTTGCCAAAATAAACTGTTGCACACCAAGCTACATTTACCCCGCAGCAGCTCTGGTTAAGCAAGGCTGTGCTTGCTCACCACCACTAACATGACAGCCTGCTCTTTAAACAGTGACAGTGTAAACAATGCATGGATAATGTCGCCAGCTATCGTTACTTGTAAAACAAAAACAGACCAAATGACAGTTCTATCACGGTCGCTGTCAGTCTCACGGTGGCGAAGTAGCATTAGCCTCAGCTAACCGAGTTTGTAAAGGCCTAAATGCTCCGGCTGCCGTAGAGGCCTGTGGTGGTGGTGGCTGCTGGTAGGCTAGCAGGCTAATAGCTAGCTGGCTGCTGCTGTGCATGAACAGTTCTTGCTTTGACAACTCTTGCAATGACGTTTAACAGCATCCATTCAAGTACCTCCTCATTCTCATCGTCGGAGACAGTGTCCTCCGGCTGATCCAGATCGATGTCAAACACTCCAGCCATGGCAGCGCCTCGCACGGATCTCTCTGTCACAGACTGCAAGAATAGCAGGCGTCCCCCACCTCATGGACAAACACACACCGCCGCCATAACCGGCTACTGTACTGAGGATGCGCACTGCAACACTCGAGGAGTGGGGGCGGTGACTGGAGAGGTTAACTCTTATTTAGATACAATTTTTAAAGACAAGGAAAATGTTCACCGAATTTTAACCGTAAAAACCAAATTTGACAAATATGAATGATTATTAGGGCGACATTAACAAAGATTAAACTATTTGAGTTATTTTCGCTCGAGAATAAAGTCGTAGTATTTTTTTTCTCATGCTTTATCGTTGTAAAGTCATTAAATTATGTGAATATGGTATTAAGTGAATCAAATAATAATGTTTCCTGATTAAAGTCATCTTGCAACGAGAATGAAGCATAGACTACAAATTCTAAATACAGTCAATGGAATAAAGTCGTGGTCAAGTCACCATAATACAATGATTTAGTCATTATGTCTTGAGAATATATATGCCATGTAATGGGCTTCATATCACAATAAACTAACTAAACTACATAAAGTGGTGATTAAATAAAAAATGGTGATAAAGTCTTCATTCTGGTTTTAAGATTGCAGTCAGCTGCCTGCACCAAAATTACTGATGAGTTATTATTATTATTATTATCAACAATAATAAAATAAATAATAATAATAATAATAATAATAATAATAATAATAATAATAATAATAATAAGAAGAAGAAGAAGAAGAAGAAGAAGAAAAGGAAGAAAAAAAGAAAAAGAAACAGAGACATTATCAATTATAATAAAAAATTATAATAATAATAATAAGAAGAAGAAGAAAGGAAAAGAAGAGGAAAAAAGAAGAAAAAAGAAGAACACAACAACAACAACAACAACAATAATAATAATAATAATAATAATAATAATAATAATAATAATAATAATAATAATAATTATTATTATTATTATTATTATTATTATTATTATTATTATTATTATTATTATTATTATTATTATTATTATTATCTTTTTCATTTTGGGCCTCAACAATCTTTCCACTTTACACCCACTTGCTTTATTTTGAAAACTTTGACGGTCGTGACCGGAAATATAGTTTTTCCTTCGTATGGCGGCAAACTGACAGCGCTTCTGTAGCTTCTGAATGTGGATGTCAGTTGTGCAGCGAAGCGCTGCTTACAAAGTGGTGGAGTTTTGACTTTGCTTTAATTTCCTCACTAGACTACAGCTTGACCTTTAACAAAGTGTCGACTGTGTAGCTGTTGGAAAAATGTCCGTAGTAACAGTTCAGCTGGGTCAGTGCGGTAACCAGGTGGGCCACGAGCTTTTTGATGTTATCTGTAGTGACGCTCTGGAGGATCAGAGGAAGGGGTACAGTACAGCCAGCTGTGAGCGATTCTTCCACCAAACTGCACATGGAGGTATAAATATGACCCATTATACAGATATGTCTTTTCTGTCTTAACTCTTCATGTGTTGACGTCTTTCTGTCTGTTGACTAGAGCTTGTAGCTCGGGCTGTGCTTGTTGACATGGAGCCCAAAGTTATAAACCAGACTATCTGCAGATCTGCTAAATCTGGCAGGTGGAGGTATGGAGAAACTTCACATTTCAGTCAGAAGCAGGGCTGTGGAAACAACTGGGCTCATGGGTAAGAAAATGCTGTATTTATAGTATCGTTATTATCGTTTTAGTATCGTTACAGTTAAGCAATCATACTGACTGTCATTAATCCCAATCAGTTAAATAAAAAACTATCCATACAGAATCAAGTGTTAGTTTGCTCAGTTGTTATGGTGATTAACTTGTTGACCTAAATACTCAGTAAATGTAACCGTTTTCATTGCGGCACATGTGTTGTGACACCCAGGATTGAATAAAATGTTTACTTTTTTCCCTTTACTCATCAATTGTTTATAAAGTTGAATGAACTTTTTTTGTTAAAAACGTATGGTTGAAGATCAGAGGTCCTTGCTGATCTCAAATATGGGATTTTAACATTGAAGGCTACCAACTTTGGCTCCTTGAAGCATCAAAATGGAAACCTGCTACACATAACCTCATACAGAAAGAAGAGGTGTTGCACAGTGTACAATGAAAAGCCATTATAAGATAAATATCAACAATCATGAAGCACTTTCTGGCACCATACAATTTATTGAGTGGCTTTTATAAATCAGAGAACCCCAGGGAAAAGATACACAAGTACCAGAAAGAAAAAAAAGAGCTATGGAAGGATAAGTAAAAAAAATAAACTCAGTTACAAATTGAAACAGTCCTGTTAAACTTTTTGTTGAAGCCTTGAAGGGCATTTTGATCTCCTATTTTTGGAGATCAAAAGGGAGTCAGTAGAAGCTATTTAGCTTATTTGTACCTATCCTCATTCCTTCCTATTTGTTGACTTTTTACATGTCTTTAGATTTTTAGGATTTCTTAAGTCGTCAAAAAGTAACCAAAGCTCCAAAGTCTAACATAAGTAACAAATCATTAATACTGAGACAAAGACCTTATATATACATATACACCCATACCTTTATACACGTAGATACACACAAATATGCACTTCATATATATACCTATGAAACTTCAAATCTCTCATTTGTACCAAGCTGTTCCACAGCTTCACCCCCATAACAGAAAGACACATGCTTTTTAGTGTTGTACGAACACCTGGTTGTTTTAAATTTCATTCCCCTCTTAATGCATACCTGCCCTCTCTTCCACCAAACATTTTCTGTATATTACTAGGGAGTAGATTGTTGCTTGCTTTGTACATTATCTGTGCAGTTCTAAATTCAAGTAGATCGACAAATTTTAGTACTATTAATTTCAGAAATAGTTCATTAGTATGATGGAAGAATCCTACCTTGTTAACAACTCTTATTGCTCTCTTTTGCATATTATATAAAGGTTGTAAATTCGTTATGTGTTTCCAAAGTTTGTGTCGGGTTGAGCAGTGGTTTTCCCAATGCATCAGAAATAAATGGTATAAAATGTATGTTAATACATAAATTGTCCTCAACAGGTTTTGTGTTCATGGTCCTCGTCATAGAGATGTGGTGGAGGAGCTGGTGAGGCGAGAGGTGGAGCGCTGCGACAGGTTGGCTGGGCTAATGGCCATGATGAGTGTGGCAGGGGGCACGGGATCTGGAGTTGGTGCTTATATAACCAGGTATCTCAGAGATGTCTACCCCAAGTCCTTCATCCTCAACCATCTCACTTGGCCATACGGGACAGGGGAGGTACTCAGATACTCAGTAACTAGTTGTTTTGATCCAATAACATCATGCTATTTTAACCTCACTCCTTGAACTGTCTTTTCAGGTAATTGTCCAGAATTACAACTCTGTTCTCACACTCGCTCATCTCTATCACCACTCCGACGCCATCCTTGTGCATGAGAATGACACAGTGCACAGAATCTGTAGCCAGTTGCTCAACATCAAACATATCTCATTTACTGATGTCAATCGGGTCATTGCTCACCAGCTGGGCAGCATTCTGCAGCCGGCTCTCACTACTGACTCTAACGGGATCTACAGCAGAAATCCTCTGGGTGAGACAGGACAAGACGCAAATACAAACTGACTGCGGGTTCCTTTATTCCATAGTTTATCTTGCAATTCGCAATCCGAAAACAAACTCTGCTTTACAGAAAGAAAGCTGAAAAACAAAGAGTCAACACATATTATCCCATGATGTTTCTGTTCCTTAGGTGAATTGGTGGGCAGTCTTGCATGCCACCCTGAGTACAAGCTGCTCAGTGTGAGTACCATCCCTCAGATGCCAAGCTCCTCCATAGCCTACAGCACCTTCAGTTGGCCAGGCCTGCTTAAACACCTGCGACAGATGCTGATCTCCAACAGCAAGATGGAAGAATGCAAGTTCTCGAAACATTTTGAATGCACTTAAATTGAGTGTATTTTGCAAACAATGTCTAGTAAGAGGGTCGCTTTTGCTGAAAGGAACCCTGGAAGAGGGTGCAGGACCCAGAATCAAGAATTAAAGAGAGCTGTGTTACAAACACAATAATAACATTCAAGCATAACTTATGCTTTAAAAACTAGGACCTATCTTTTTTCTGCCCTGTGGTAGGTATAGACTGGCAGGTGCAGCTACCCTCTGCATCAGAACGGACCCGGACTCTCCTAGGATCCAGCTTCAACACCTCTCTAGCTAACTTACTCATACTGAGAGGGAAAGACGTGTACAGCGCAGAAACAGGTCAGCGTGTTTGCAATGTTTTGATTTTTTTGTTATGAATTGCAAAACTGTGAATTGATGCCTTCATTACTCATTGATTTGACTTTAACATTTGATGAAATTCCCAAAGATAATTTTCTTAAATTATAGTACATCATCGTTATATTCCTCAAGGCCAGAGTGAAGGATGTAGCATTGCAAAACTTTTTTTTCAGTTAACTTTTTAGGTAGAGATATTTGAATTTGTCAGATATTGCAGAATATGGCTGAAAATTTTGACCTGTCCACAGGTAGCTTTGAAGACCCAGCCCTATACTCCTCCTGGCTCTCACCAGAAGAAGCTTTCAATGTGTGGAAGTCCCCTGTCATTTTTAATAAGTATGAAAAATCAGCCACGCTGGTCAGTAACAGTAAGGCTCTGCTCAGACCCTTGGATAACATGTTGGGAAAAGCCTGGAATATGTTTGCATCCAGGTAAGTTACTCATATAACTCAAAAAAGATGAGAAAAAATAATTGTAATCCTTAGGAGATTTATTGTGCAGCAGGGGCAATACAAAGCTAAATGAAATATGTTTGGCTTGACATATGCCAATGGCCAAAAGGGGGTGAAATCAGCAGAATAACTCTTTAACGGTTCATCTGAGAAAAAAGTCCAGGTGCACAAAATCAAAGACCTTGTTAAGATACACGTGCCTGTAAAGTTTTGGGCAGATCTGACAAAGTCGACGTTCATGGCGCTCTGTAGAGGGCGCTAGCAAGCCATTTTAATCGCTTTTGTCGGGTCACTTTAAAACATTGCGATTTTCGCTGGGCCCGACCTGCCTGCCAATTTTCGTGAATTCTCGAGGTCGTTCAGGGGGTCAAATTTGCGTTATTGGAGGCAGTAAAATAATAAAATTAATAATTGAGAACCCCTTGGATTACAGTAGGGCTTCGCTGCAGAGCTGCGCTCTCAGCTCGGGCCCTAATGAAAGCAAAGTGAAATCAAGAATGGAGACTACTGAAAAAATAACAATGTTTCTGATGTGTAAATGAAATAATTAGAAGTAATTATGTAACCTATGAAACAATTATGTCAATGACGATACTCTTGATGATAAAAAAATGAAACATAAGTGTATCGACTGTTTGTGTATGTGCATATTTGTTCACGTAAAACTGATCAGTTAAGTACTTCTTCACTTACTGTTTCCCATATTCTCTGTTACAGGGCCTATATTCATCAGTATGTTAAATTCGGGATCTCAGAGGAGGATTTTCTGGACAGCTTTACATTTCTTGAGCAGGTCATCTCAAGCTATAATCAGCTGTAAATCAATAAAAAAAAATAAAAAAAACTTTTCTGATAGCCTCTCCTTGCCTCTGGACTGTGTGCAGTTGGGAGAAAGCTACAAGTGAGGCACTGAAGATAAGAAGCAAGAGGATTTTTATTCACTGAGAGTAACACAGGGATTGAGTCCAAGGGAAAAAGTTAATCATTCTATATACAGGTGCATCTCAATAAATTAGAGTATCATTAAAAAGTTGATTTCAGAAATTCAGTTCAAAAAGTGAAACTCGTATCAAATCATTACACACAGACTGATAATTTCAAGTGTTCATTTCAGTTATGATCATCAAAATGTAAAGAAATAAACACGTAGAATATATCAGTCTGTGTAATTTGATTGATTGAAGCATATTTTGAATATGCAAACTAAAAATATAAAAAATAAAACAAGGCAAAACATTTAAACATAAAACATAGAAATACATTCGAAAAAGAGTGAGAAAAAGAACTTATGAACTCCCACCCTGTCCCTTTAAATAATTATTACCCACACCAAGCTTCCTTGCAACTTGTTTAAATGTACTTGATGCTTATAAAGTACATTTATGACTTTGTATTACAAAACAAAATCTATATCCACTTAATACAGAACACAAATAAACAAAACACGAAAGAAACAAAATACCAAAAACAAAACAAAAGAAACACTTGGTGCTACCCAACACCTTTATCCCTGTACCTCTTCAAAATAGTATTTATACCTCATTTTAAACTGTGTCATGTTTGAACATTGCTTTAACATCCACAGACAACCTAGTGAATCTGAGTCTCACTTTTTGAATTGAATTACTGAAATAAATCAACTTTTTGGTATTTTAATGTATTAAGATACACCTGTATAAAATGAAAAAGCATCTTAAGTCCTTCAAAAATGTTTACACCCTGATCTTTTAACCACACTAAATATTTTCACTGCCCATCACGCCACATTTACCGATCACAGTTTGATAAGGCTTCTTTGTAAAACAGCAGCACAGCCAACAGGGCAAGGGTTCAGTGTCTTGCCCCCAAACACTTCAGCACATGGTCAAAACCCCAACCTTCCAATTGAGAAATGACTCAAGTATGCTGAAACTTACAAAATATCAGCACTGCATAAAGAAATGTAGCAACAGCATCAATTGAAGTATTCAGTTACTTTATTGATCAATAATTTTATTTTACATTAATGTATTCAAGTGCAACTGGCATGAGCATTAAGCAGTTATGCCGATGACAAACGGTTGGAAAAGTAGTTCAAATTCACAGATGAAATGTTGAGGACCCACAACTTCAGCCAGCCTACAGACAGCTGTTGTCATGAAAATTGAACAGCCAACACCAGTCTGATAAGCTAGCTGATGGGATGGAAAAGTGGTGTTTATGGGGACAGAACTTCAATAATAGAGAGGGACCTCTCCTTTCCAAAAAGCTGAAGTCCACCAGAATCCATGCCCTGTGGGACTTTTCCCCAAACGCAGCCGGGACACAGGAGCAATGAGTCAGTTTGAAAATTCTGAACCAACAAGTTGATATCCAGATTTGACAGTAAAATGAAAAATTAGCTGCGACTCAAAGGGTACAATATAACATTCTGTACAAAAAAGTTATTAAATGAAAACTGTACAAGTGACGGGCATTTCACTTACCTCAGATGAATATTTCAAAGAGAAGATTGGAATTGCTGTGATGGTTTAAAAAAAATTACAGCTTTTCATGAACGTTACAAGATCACCATAAAGCTTATCGGTTTTAACAAAAGTTCAGCTTGTCCTACAAGAATACAAAAATGACAAAACAAGTGCAATGATTTACATATTTTATATATGATCCAATCTGAGGTTTAACCTAAATGTACAGAATAGAAATGGGACTAGTCAGCTGAGAGTACAACGTCACTTTACAAATGATATCTTTTTTTGTTGTTGTTTAAGTTCAAGTCAACTCATGTTTTTACGAACACATCTGCTGATACCGTCAAAAAGATATTTACACCACGTGCAAACTATCAATACCACACTGTTTTTGTTGATATTGCTTTTTTACCGTCACTCCAAACCGACAATTTCCGAAACAAAAAGAAGTTCTTACTGTTTGATAGGACAAGATCATGAGGAAAGTCAAACCCTTAAAGAAAAAAACATCCGCATCAGTTACCTCAGCAGCACATAGCATGAACAAGTCAAAATTCATCCATACATTAATGGTACAAAACTAAATAAAAATCAAGTGTATAAGTCAAGAACTTTATTTAAGGGAGGAGACCCTCCTTTCTTGCATAAGGCATAGCATCTGATGGGCACTGCCCAAACACAGCAGTCACTGCCAAACTGCTGCTTATCATCTGAGGTCAATGAATGGGTTAATTTAATATTAAAGTAACATCTTAAGATCAAAAATAGAACCAATCACACTATACACATCTACAGAGTGGCATGAGATGAAAGAAACAACAAAACCTGAAGATGAGGGATGAACAGTGAGAACACACATCCTTACAAGCACACACCAACAAGTCGTGCCATGTTTTCCGAGCACTCAGCCTCTGAGAATGAACGAGGTGTGGGGTGAGGTTTGTTGTTCGTTAAGTTGAAGTTGGCTGGGGCTGAGTCCACGGCTCTCAGCAGCAGCAAACAGTCACTTGGATGTTGGTACTGCTTTTGTGTCGTCATCACTTGGTTTTCTCCTCTGAGTGCCTCTGCTGCTGCAGACGTTTGGCATAGCTCTGAGCCATGGAGTTTACAATGGAAATGACAAAGTAGCAAACCATGACCAGCACCACCTTCTCAAACACCCACGACAGCCAGTTCTCATCCTGGAAAGCCAAAATTAGCATCCATGAATTTAGCTTGTCACATATAATCTAGTATCTACATGCAAGATTTGTTCACGGTCGTTTAAATCTGGTTTTAAGTTACATACTTTGTCCAACAGGGACTACTCTTACCCAATTATTTTAACTAATCTAATTACAATTTGAAGGTTAATATAAAAATTAGGCCAACCCTTAGATTACTTATGTCATATTGCAGTGTTTTTGAAGACTGTTGGCGTTACCAAGACAGCTTTTTATCTGATAGCATCCTCCAATGTATTGTTTAAATAAACTAATTTAAACAGATGAATAAAGCTCACATTTAAAAGAACAGGGTTGACCATGGAACAATCCATTGTTCTACATTGTTCTTACCGCTGGTGCACTTCCTCCAGCATGGTGCAGCTTGTTCCTCTGTGCTTCCAGGTACTGACTGAAGGGTTTCTGAAGTGCTGGTCCCACTTTGGGCACAGAGCTGACATGAGAAGCCCCCATAGATACAGCCATAGAGAAGGGTAGAGAGAAAACAGAAGAATAAAGAAGATTAATTCACTTACCCTTTGAGAAAAAGTCTCCTCACCATGGAGAACAAAACTGAACCTTCAGCCTCTCTAAAAATGTCCCCCTTAAGAGGAGTGTATTCCTCCATGAACACTGATCCAGCACTCAACCAGCATCCTTGCAACAACCCTCCATGTTTGGCCCTATCTGGGGCTTCTCCTCTGTGAGCAGAAGCAGGCAGCAGGGAAAATGAAGCAGATACTCCTCAGTCCTCTTTTTATACTCTCTATAAGGAGCTTGTGTCAGCCCTTCAATCAGGAAGTGAGTCAAAATGATATCATCACCTTTACCACCAATGCTGCTTTCTGGGTGGAGAGCTATCAGATCAGGGCGTGCTCATATCCTTATTAGGCAATGTAGATTAGCTCACTATGGGGCCAATCATAACGGATGCCATTCTGTTAATTCATGTGGTATTAAGACATTGGTGTAACAGTTGTACCATTTTGCCAGCAGAGATACAGCTCAGCAGAATCTTGACAGGATGTGAAATTTATTACCATGGGAAGAAACCGAGACACAAGGATAACAATTCATAAGTTAAATAGTATCTCTGGTCAAGATAAAGAAGAGGCAGGCTGGACTTAACAGGGCTTAGCAAAAAAGGGGAAGAAAACCCAGATAGAAAACTGGTACTGCTGATTTAAAATAGGCCTGGCTAGTTTGATTGACTTCGTTTGGTTCTCTTTCCCAAATTACAGCACACATGGTTACACAAACATCCACAGCCCAACAAGTCAATGCTGTATCAGCACAGTTTGCATGAATTATAGTGAGTTACTGAGAGCTGACTCGTTTTATTTCATGGGAAAGAACTTCGGTTTTAATCAAAGAGCAATAGGATTTGTTCTCCTAAATTCATATTCAAACATAACATCAAACGTTGTTGCCTGAATATGAAAAAAGGAAAGCCAATAGATCAAATCCAACTGAGCAGCTTTGTTAATGGTTGCAAAAGTTCAATCACTGTTTATTTATCGATGAAACTTTTTCATATAACGCCAATTCACAAAAGGTTTTATCCCAAGATGCTTGACGGAAAAAAAAAATGGTCTAGACCAGACTTCAAGCTCTGTTAGATTTCAATAATTGTGTTTCCCACCTCACTGGGGCCAACATCCTATGTCAAAGCTAAACTTGGTGAGTCAGATCAATGTGTGTGTGTATGTGTGTGTAAATGGGGGATGGTGGTGATAGGCCTGCAGAGACATTAAATCATTTAGGATCCCCAGGTGTCTGCAAGTGTTGAGAAAAGTACTAGCTACCATGAAACCAGGGTGTACACGCCAGTTTTTGTGATAGCCATGATCTTTAAGAGTATTTGTGTATTGTGTGGTTATATACAGTGATGAGAGTCACGTGGTGGGTGTGGAGGTAGTACGTCAGCACCAGTAGTAGTATAGTCAGCTGTTCACCTGGTGGGTCTTGTGGATGAATGGAGAGGGGTTGAATGGGGAAGTCCTACTTTTTGCTGACCGCTTTTTCGCTTATGTTTCGCCTGATATTGAACGACTGCCCTTTTTGTTTTTTATGTAAGGGCTTCGTCTTTTTTGCATAACAAAACGACAAACGGAGATACAGCCTGTTCATTGAAGCTTATACAGCCAGCACGTCAGGCATGGTATCGTTTTCCCCTACTCAGCCTCTCGGCGACTAAGTTGTTTTGGGTGGTCGCCATACACAGGGTAAAAACACTAATGCTACAAGGTCTCTGTCTCTTTTAGCCATGCACACCACATTAACCCACACTTACCCTATGAGTGACACCATTTGCTCCACTATGTGCTTGCTGAAGGTGATGATCACAAACAGTTTCTGTGAGAAAACAAGGAAAAAATGATCAAGCTTTAGAGTCCGCTGACTCATTTTCAAGAAATTTAAAAAAACACTCAATTTTAATGAAAACCAGCTGAAATATTAAGGAATGAATAAGCTACAAAGACATGTCAACGTAAGCATTCAGTACATCTAAAGGAGTTATGAATAGATATTGTAATTCTTGGTGGCACAGCTGTGAACCAACAAGGCCATATCTGCTACTGTCCACAGAGATACTATTTACAGTATTCAGACCTGGCAGTAAGCTAAATTTCGGGCAGTGAGGACCTACGTGGGGTTTGTAAAGCAGCCCAGCGGGGGAGCAAAACCGCAATATTTGTCTCTGGTCCTGAAACTAATCAGCTTCAAACTGCATGAGGCATGACCCCCTGGACAAAATCAGACAGGATATGACACGCAATGTCCAAGTAGTTGATGTAAGCAGACCTTTCTTTTTTTTTTTAAAGACTCCCTCCTGCAGACTCTTACCAACGATTCAATTTCCTTCCCTGACATCTACCTTCTCATGTCCACTCTATATAACCCTTAAGTCTGTAAAATCTCATAGTGAGATCATCAGTTGGTTCCACCAAGAGATGGATGGGTTTAAATTGTTAAGACATGCAGTTACTCACTTACAGATGTAGACAGCCTCTCTCAGTACAGGCTCATATTAGTCACTCATGTGGCAGACTAAACAATACACACCGCAATCAAAACTTTCCTTTGTTTGATCTTGCGAGTGAAAAAAATAAAACTTTTGTTTAAATCATCTTATAAGCGTCCCTCTTTCCCCCTGAAGCTAGTGTATAAAGTTTGGATATATTCCCAATATTTCCCAAAGGAATGCCATAAGTAGAAGTCAAAGTAAACCATTACAAGTTTCTCACAGTCCCCACCTCATTCCTAGGACAGTGAGTCTCATCTTTGCTTCAGAACATGTTTCCAAGTCGCATGGATTGTTCAAACTGAATCATCCAAACGAGCACCATACTATTTTTATTTTTTAGTATTAATTTTCTGCAATGCATTATCACACTGTGCACAGAGAATTGTAATGACTTGTCATATGGAACGCACAGCTGCTGGGACTCTGATTAATGACTGCATTGTCTACATTAAAATGGAAAACGAGGGGTTATTTGAGGTCAGCTGGTGCTTGTTACTTTGTAACTACCACTAATAACTTTCAATAAAATAATCTACCAACCTGTATATGCATCTTGATGATGGCCTTCCCAATCAGAGTTGCTCCAAAGAACGTCCAGAAGGGAACCAGGAAATGACCACAAGTTATCCCAGCCAAGTCAAAGAGGGGATTGGGAATCTGTAAGATAAAAATAAGACAATATAATCATTTCACATTTCTATCAGTTAAAAGATTGATTTTGGTAAATGTCCCTCAATTCCCCCTCTACCAGTTTTCATCCACTGTGGAAAATGTTTCTTAAATAAGGCAGCACATCTTCAATAGGACAATAGTCATGGAACATATATTTATATACTTTAAACAATGTGAAAAAGTTTTAAAACTTACAGAAGCGCAAGCCAGGATCCCAAAGAATCCCACTTTCTGCACCATATGTTGAACTCCCAGTTTGGCTCTTGTGACAAAATCCTGTGAACAGAGAAATAATCACAAAATTTGAATAAAGATAGTAAGGACAGTAGTAGATAGTAGAACAGTAAGGACATTCACATCAAAATTGTCACTTGACTTTCATGACTCAGCATTTGTAATCACACACATATACCTTACTGCAATACATCTTTATCAAACCGTAAGTGTATTTAAAGACATATTACATTTTTAGTCTTAGCTTGAAATAAGCAGCTTGTACTTGTTATAGATGTGTTTTTTTAACCAAACCAAAGTCTACCTGTTATATAGACAGAAGAAATAGACCTGAGTGAGAGTACTATGGTCGATACCTACTGTTTCTGAACATTGTGACTTTTTTATTGTTGATGAATTTGTTGCATTTATTTAAGGTCTGTGTTACACAAAAAGGTGCCAGGAGTTAGTTGGATCCAATCTGTATCTTTGTAGGATGAAATGTGAGTAACTGCTCGAGAACATGGTGGATATCACAGCTTAGTTTGAGGTAGTTTGAGAGGTCGTTTCAACAATTGGCATCTACTGATGTATTTCTCAAATACTGTTTACTGTTATTTTGTTAAATTACTGAATATATTTATTTGCATGAACAATGTGAGCTTTGACTCGTCTGGTAAATGTTGCTTAGAAAACCTCTGACAAACACCCATACAAGCACATCCTGGATACAGTCTCATGATTAAAGACGTTATCTGAGGTTAGCCCTGTTGGTCTATTCAGCTGAGAAACCATGAAATGAGAAGAGGTGATAGAGGTGACACACAAAGTTTGTGTGATTTCTGCTCAGCTTACTCAGCATCTAAGTCATCTCAAGTCGTGTGAAATTGGTTCCTGAAAGAATAGTCTGTCATTCAAATTAGAGGCTGGTGAGTGGAGAGAAAGAGGAAGGGAAGGAGGGAGGGAGGTACAGAAAGCAAAGCCTGAGAGATGATTGAGGGGGGGGGCTGTGCACAGAATGAGTCACCCCCTAACCAGGCAGATTTACTGGAAGTCTAAAGAAGGAGTGGCTTCACTGAAGTCATACGTTACAGTGGAGCCAATCACTGAAGAGTGAATGCCAGTTTATAAAGACAAGACAAAATCACATCATATTTGATGGGTTTTCAGGTGTTAACAAACACCTATGCTAAGGACAACAGGGAAACATAGACACTCCAATATGAAGTGTTGTTACCCTGTCATCAGTGATCAGCAGGAGGCGATGCTTTACACTAGAAATCTAAAGAAAAGCACACCTTACGAGGACAAAACTTCTAAAGCAACTTTTATGAGAGTGCCTACAAGTGTCTCTGTGTGTGACACTCTCACCTGAGCACCCTCCGCCTGCTCCAGCATCTCCTCAAACTCCTCGTAGTCTTCATCATCTGGATCAGCTCCTGACTGGCGAGCTGCTCTGGCCATGAAATATGGAGGAAGCTCTCCGATGGCCGTGCCTGCCCCCTAAATAAAAAAATATATATTTATATCTATATTTCCTCTAATTCAGCATTTGGTCATTGTATCACACTGACACAATTTTCATGCCGCCATGACACCAACTTAAGCTTTGACGAAAGTAGAGGAGAAGCACAAGGATTACAACATTTCTATCCTTGCAGAGACTTGTTCAAATGAGGAAGTGGTTAATATTAGACTGTTTAGTAACATCATTACTTTCTGTCCAAAACTCACCCACATGCAGGCCTCCAAGCGAACTTTTGACATGATTGAGAGGAGGGAGATACTGCTCTCTGCTCCTCCACTTGGAGGGCAGATGATCTGGTCTGGGTAAGGAGGCTCTGGAAAGTCTGTCGAACCGCACTCATATGCTGCCAGGGTTACTGACGCTATGTGAGGACCCTAAAGAACAAGTGGAAAAGAGAGAAAGAAAGAGCTGCTTTAATTGATTGAAAGGCATATACTGGACCACCTGGCCCATAAAATTTAACCGTCCATGTCATTTTAATATAACAGATATTGTATGTGATCATGAACTTCCACTAAGTGTATCAGCTTATCACCTAGCTTAAAACTTTACAATCTCTTGCACTTCTCCCTCATAAAACCTCTCAAAAGTTTGAATGTACAGTTATTTCAATCGTTTTACTGCTCAAGAGGTTGCCATTTGTGGTGCTTGAATTGCACTGGGTACAAACGGTGGCTGAATCACCTGTTAATGAGGCTTCTCTTATTGATGAAGTCTGTTACAAATTAAAGAGAAAGTCATCTGATAGTGTCTCTTCATGTGTCAGCGTTAGCGGAAAAGAAACTTAAGTTTGCACTGGATGGCTTATCCCCAAACCAGATTTTAAAATATTATTCCAGTACGTTCTGAACTGAGGATGGCTTATTATAGAAGTTATTGGGTGTCGTAATTGCAACTCACTACTAACAGTACAGTAAATATTAAACTAACTTTCAGCATCGTCAAATGTTTTTTTATTTGAAAATAGTCTGGATCACTTTTTGGGAACACTAGAAAGAGAAATGGGAAAGATAGATCGCTAGATTGACATATCTATCTATACATCCATCTAGGTAGGTAGATATAGACAGAAAGGTAGATGGATAGAAAGATGGGTACTCAAAGGAGTGTTGAAAAGCTGTTTTGTCTGGCAGCAACAAGTTCTACACAGCTGCAGTCTGTTTCAAATCAACAAATCTCTTGGTCAAAGCAGAAACTTAAGAGTGTAATTTTATCTTAAGTTTGACCACAATGTCATTCCTCCAGTCCAGGACTTTCTTAACCTCCTTAACACTGTGATGAATCATACAATCATATTGGTGGTTGAATCCCCCTTTCCCATTAGCAGGATGACCTCATCCTCTCTATGGGGCTTTCTATAAATGCTTCAAGCTTGAGGTAAAGTCACAGTACAACTCTGGTGATGGGACATGTAAAATGGAGTTTTCTGTCTTTCTGTCATTATTACTAAGCAGAGAGAAGTAAGGGGAGCAGTTTTACTGTGATCATGAAGTATGTTTTGGTGCAGAACCTTTTCCCATCATTAAAAATGCTCTTAAGTAGAGGTTTTATATCACTCATGGGGGTACCTAAAAAGACATTCCAAGTAGTAATGCGAATGCTCATGCAGAGTAAAGGTGATAAGATTATTCCAATTGTCTCTCTACAGTCAATGTCCCTAAGCAGTCTTAGTCCTCCTTATTGAGCTAAATCAAAGTTAAGTCAAGTGCAGCTCACAGTAAGCTGAAAAACTTGTGCAAGAACTACAACCCGGTCCAGTTACCTTAGAGATAGACTTTGTTTCAGTGTCGTTTTCACTGTCAAGATATTGCTTGTGGGTCAGCTGATACTGACCCACTCACAGAAATGTATTCATTAAGTGGCCCATACCCAAATAACAACACAGAAGATCCAGATAGTAAACTGCCTCTGCCAGTAAGGTAACCTAATTACATGCTCTATATGGTTAAAATGTATAAATAAGCAGCACGAGAGTGGTTTCCCCTCACTGATGTGGCTTTCCTCTGTTCAATGTCAGCATGTGTATTATAGTGCCTGCACATTTTAGAAATGTGTATTTCTTGTGGTAACTATTTCTACTCCACTTGTTTAGCTCTGGAACTCTTGACATGTAATATTAAGAGTATTTGCTTACCAAATAGAGTAGGAATGTGTGCAGGCCAGTACCAAGGCCTACTGAGGACAGAATCCCAAGGCCGACCCAGTAGGCACACCACAGGAACTTCTTCTCCAGATAATCAACATACTACAGTGAAGAAAGTGGACAGGTAGGACAGCAAAATATACAGTAAATGCTCAGCAAATTCACTTTTTTTAAACTGGGGTGATTCTTTCATTGACTGTCCGAGACAAAATATAATACTATTTATTTAAAGGGATATTCCAGCGTAAAATTAGCACCTAACTTCAGTTCATCAACAGTGCATATAGGGTCCCAGCCACAGTACTAGCCAACAAACATCTTTTTAACTTTGCCTGATTTCTTTAGCAAAGAGACTAAACACAACTCACCTACTCTCTTCCAGCAGCCGTTTGTTTGTAGCGAGAACTCGAGCCAGTCCATCACGGACTACTGCGGGGTGACGCAGCTCAAGGAAGAACATTTATGATCATTTCTTCATGGAAATACAATCAGACCGAGGCGCTAAGGCAGAAGAACTACCGGCTCTGCAGTGCAAAATGATTAATATGGTGATTATTACTTCAAGGAAATGATAAAGTAATGATCATAAATGTTCTTCCTTGAGTTGTGTCACCCCGCTGTAGTCCATAATAGACTGGCTTGAGGTCTAACTACAAACGGCTGCTGGAAGAGAGTGGGTGAGTTGAATTAGTCTCTTTGCTACAGAAATTAGGCAAAGTAAAAAGATGTTTGGTGGCTAGTGCTATGGCTGGGACCCTATATGTACTGTTGATGAAGTTATGTGCTGTTCTGAGCATTATTTGTGGCTATAGAGGGGCATTTTGGTTGAGGTTTGTTTATGGCTCCTCGGACCGCTGTGTATTGCTATTGTTCGGTCCTTTCTAAAGTTGGTATAACTAGAGAAGTAAGCGGTTGGCAACATTCATCTCTTGGGGGTTATCTAACTCGGTGTTACGGTGTGTTTGACCCTAAATTAATTTTACGTCAGAAAATCCCTTTAACAGGTTGTCTTGGTTATGGCCATAAATTAATAATAATAGCAGACTCTAAATCAAGTTCAGCGCTTTGTTTAGGAAATATAACAGTTTGCCTTTTTTTTTTTAAATCATCCCCCTGATAACCTGCAGAGAGCTGAAAACAGTCAACAGTAGAACATGTATATTATCTATAGCTCTACATTGAAGAAAGCTGATGCTGAACTGTTAAAGATAGTGAGACAGAGGGATTTGTAAACACAACTTTCAGCTAACTATCAGGAGGATCAAAGGTTGCCTGACAACAGTGCACATGTCATTACAACCCGAGTTTAGCTTTCTACTAGAAAAGATTTAATGTAGATAAAGAGTGACTTATTCAAACAGGTTAGAAATTAAGCAATTGTGTTGATTATTAACATCACTAAAAAAATTAAATCAGTCCAGCCTTACTTGTTGGTGATCTCCCTCAGTGGAGTAGGCAATGGAAAACAGAGCACATAACACCAAAACCACAAACACTGCACCTCGTCGTTGCCAAAGCCTGACAAGAACAAAAAAATAACATGTAAATTATTTAATTCTATTTTAAATAATGAGATTTACAACTACAGTCTCTCAAAGATAAAGAAATTATTTTTCAGTGAAAATATCTAGGCAAGAGGTCATGGCTAGTTCTCTGACAGTTGAGTAGAATGACAAGATAAATGAAGGGACCAAACAGTTTAACGCATAAATACACACCCTGGGAAATAAAGCAAAAACAACAGCACTCTAGTTAAAACCTGTAGAAGTTCTTACTTAAACGTCCACTCCTTTAGCTTGATTAGGGTCTCCAGGAGAAAATACTGCAGAGTGGTCACAGGCCTCCTCCATAACACAAGGGACAGGCGATCCTCCTTATCTTTCTGCCGCCTCTCCCTTACTGAGAAGTCTGAACAATAAAGAGAATCGCAGTCACCCTGATATTCTGTAATACTTACATCTAGAGAAATACTTTCTTGTTGTTGAACTGGTACAGGCAAGCACATGGTAAATCTCACATCAACAAAAATGGTTAATCTCATTAACTATGGGTCATCTTGATGTTCGCAATGCTGTACGTCCTTTAAGAACCGAAAGTAAGCTGGAAGTAATTCACTTGAGTCTTTTTTATGACTCGTTCAACCCGTTAGGCGGGAGTAATCAGTTTGTGTGAGAGATTTGGGAGAGTAGAGTAAGTTGAGCCAAAGGGTAAATTAAGCCAACCCCAGTTGCTTGAAAAAGTTTAAAGAAATTGATCATGTGACCAAATATTTAGGAGATGGGGTCTTGGGGTCTGTGAAGATTAGAAGCACATGGGTGAAGGGGTTAGACATCTATTTCATAAAAAAACATTTTTCCCTCTTGAAAGTGAATTTAGTCTGTCATAAGTTTGATTAGAATTGTGTTCAGACCAAAATAAGATCATTTTAAATTTGTTTAATATATCGTTTTCGGACCAGAGGAGACCGATCCTTCCAGGCTTTAGAATGATCTTCCTCTCTCTCAATAAGCTTAATTGACTCTGTTGACTCTTTTAAAAGCCAACTCAAAACTTAATTATTTGCTTAGGCTTTTGTTTAATTGTTTTGGGGCTGCTATGACAGTTAAATGTTTTTGTATTGGCCTTTTAATTTGTAAGTACATTTTTATATTTGTCTATGTGAGGCACTTTGTGACTTTTTTGTCTGTGAAAAGTGCTATACAAATAAAGTTTACTTACTTACTTATCTACAATGGTGGCATCTAAGAGTTACAACATAGGGTCAAAAACCTACCATAAAAGTCCACCATATACCGCTATATAGGCGACTCAAAATTTCCCATGAAGCATTGCAAAATGTAGTGACCATCCGATGGTCACTCACAGGTGGTGGGCATTCCTTCATGCATTGCGTCTTGCCATGTAGTGTCCGAAACCTTTGGTGATTGATTTCACCACATAGTCAACTATCTAGTGAAACCCCATATGGGGATTAGGGATCGAGTGATTCATTTCGGACACAGTCATAGTAATCACAGTTATTCTGGGGTAGACGAAAATAGATCATTTTCAATTTGTTTTATACATCAAATGTGGTCCCTATGAGCTACAACATGAACATAGAAGTCCACCATTTTAGCTTAGAGGACTAATAAAGTCATCATAGTAGTTCAGGGGTAAGTTAAGTCACTGGCTCAACTGAGAAAGTAAAAGGGTCTGATGAGAGGATCAGAGTTTCAGTTTAGATTGTTGAAATGTGTTACTTTTTCTTTTCAAAAATACAGCTGTGAATGTTCTGAATCACTTAAAGGCTTTCTCATGTTACAATGTCATGCTATATTATCAAGACAGTTATGTTTACACTCATTCTGTTGGTTTGCAGGGATGCACAACATCTTGAAATAAATGCAGAAACACTAGTTAGAGACAAAACTATGATCGCCTTGATGTAGTGATCCGAAACATGAAGAATGACTCATCTGACCCCACTCTCCCCTAATGAAACTCTTACTTTACTAGTGTTCTTCACCCATGACAGTCAACTTCACTAATATGCACATTTAAAGACGTGAAACTAACCTGTTGACTTGCCATTCTGTCTGTCTTTGGCTCCTGCTCGTTTCTGGGGCCGCTCACAGCTTGCTCCATTGGCTGCCATATCAGTCAAGGTTTGGCAGGTCAGGCGATGAGCTGAGGGAAGAAAAGGACAAGCTGCTGAGGGCTGGTGTCTTCCCCTGCTGTCGTTGTTCTCTTCCGTAATGGCCCCGCAGAAGTAAGGAAGACGCAGCGGGTTCTCAAGTCACATACAAACCCCTTATGAAACGCCTTGAAGCGATAAGATAGCAGATTGACAAGTCGACAACAAGCCAGCTGACATTCAAATCACATGGTTTAAGTCTGAACAACATCCCACACCAGGCTGGTGGAACAATGCGAATATATCACCCACAGACTCGAGACAAAGGGGAGATTGTTAACTGAAATAGCCACCATTCTGTGGTTAAATCAACTTGTAACATACAGTGAAGATGCTAAATACGATACACATTTCATCACCCTCGTGCTAACCGGTTAGCCAACATGCTAATGGCACTTAACATCAAAGTAAAGGTTTTAAAACCAACAGGCGGACTTTTAACCGGGGGGAAGCGTAAAACACGTTACATGATGCCGTGTTATTAGATTCATAAGATCAGTCGCCAAAGACAGTTAAAAACTAATCGATGTAGATCAGAATTGTATGATATTCGTACCACTTGCGTGTCCTCTTCACCCGGAAACAAATGATTCATTCGTCAAGTCGAAATGTCAGTTGTTTGTCAGGTCAAATTTATATTGGAAAGTTTGATATCAAATCGGTGTGATAATAATATTGTGTCTGGATGTGAAAAGAAGCTTTTTTACGAATACATTTTTATTCTTGCCTTCGGTTTCTATTCATAATGTTCAGCTTTGATAGGGAACTTTTATTGTGAAATTCAGTTACTGACGTATTTCCGGAGTCTCTTTCGTCAGCCAATCGGAGGTTGCCAGATTTGCCAAAAAAAAACAAACGGGACAGTCATCATTTGTTTCCACATAATTCAATCTCACGGTTTTCACCTATATAACTTACTTATTATTGAATTGTCTGCTCTTAAGCTTGCCACAGACCAGGATGGTTCAACTGAGAAAAAGGCAAAGTATGTGATCCTTTTTCCTCCAGGTCACCACATTACCAAAACCTCTGCTTAAAAATGCACTCTTGCAATTACTGCGCTGTCATTCGCGATTTGTTCAAAAGAACCGAATCTTTTAAGTGAACATACTGAACAGAAACACTTCCTCAAGTGATTCGATCGCTTCTCACTCACATTTTAATCTATTACACACAGTTCAACTGGTACATAGTATGAACGTATCGTTCAAAGGAACCGAATCTTTTAAGTGAACAGACTGAACCAAATCCCTTTCTCAAGTGATTCGTGTGTTTCTCACGTCAGTTGAGCTGAAATATGACTTTTAAACAAGTTCATTTTTACAAACCTGTTTGCCAAAGCAACACAGCCAAACACAAGCGCTACATAATTCGTGATTTGGCGAACAAATCTTTTTAGTAAGTTCTAGTGATTCAGTACATCTAAAGGAAATGTAGTGCCCATCGCTGATTGCAATACATACAGGCAATTAACCGAAAATCAAATGTCTCAGTTACCGCACTTAATGTTTAACATGTACCAAATATTGTAATGTTTTAAGAGATTCCCCCACATCTTGATAGTAAAGTAAATCTAATGCTTTACTTTACTATACTAGTTACCTTTACTTTTGAGAAAACACGTTAAAAAATAAATTAACCCCATAATACACACAATTACTCAGATATAAATATAATGTGAATTGACACAAAAAATTGTTATTTTTTTAATTCCATCACATAAAGAAACATTGGTATGCATATTTAAACAGCTGCAGCCAATTTTGAGTTGGCTATGCCTTTTTGAGACAAAAATAATCTTATACACTACGAAATTTAACCTTTCGCTGCATTAGCTTCACAAATGTCTGATCTTTAAAAGCTTAAATCAATGAGAGCACTTCATTTTGTGAAACTAATAAAAATGTTTAAAAATGTATTTTAATACACAACCTGTCAGTCGGTTTTTGTTGAATTCTTAAACCTACAGCCAAATATTGACCAAAGTATTGCTTTGAACTCCCTTTTTTTACAACAGGCATCCATCATGTCTAAGTGCCCAAAACACATTTGTGTTTGCTTTGCTGTAGTTCAAACAATGAGGTTTTTGAGAGAAAAATGAAAAGGAAAAAAAAGTTAACATACAAGAAAAAAAAAAAAAAAAAAGACAACAAAGTGCCATGGTTGTGACAGGATGTAAAGTCAATCATGGAAACAAGTCAATCGAATCAAGGTCACTCATTGGCTGAAGGAGCTGAGAAGTTCCTGGGTTAAGTTACCCTACGGAACCAGAGGCCCAGGCTTAGTTCATGGCTTATTCTATTCCCAGATAGTAACATTTTCAAATAATAATATGGTGGCCCATCCTCTTTCCGTGTCCAATTTCATTCATCGTAGTGAAGCGAGGACAGGAACTTGTCTACGTCCAGGTCATGAGGAAAGCAATCCATAAGTTTCTTACGTTCCTGCAGAATAAGAAATAACAGTTACAAAGCTAGAAAAGAATTGAAATCACCTGTCGCTAAAATCATCATTTGTCGCTAACAAAATCATGTTCATTATTTAATCAACACAGAATCTCAATAAAGTTGCATTTGATTCCATGGTAAAAATACCATCACTGGCCCTCATCATTTAATTGAATCTGAAAACATAATATTGTTACAACAGAGCATGTCCAGTGCAGGAGAATGGATAGTTGAACAGTAAATAATCATGTTGTACTCACTCGATCTTTCTTTGCAGGTGGGCTCACTGTGGAAGAAGGCTGTTTACGCTTCTTAGAGTTCTTTGAGTCTGTGGCCGTCTTTTCTTCGACTCCCTGACGCAAACTGTTCTTTAGTGGAGTGCCAGTCCTAGCTATGGCAGCGCGCGAAAGAATCATGAGCGTGTGAGCAGCCATGTTAATACTGTTCTCACTGCCAGCCTCACTGGCAGGGCTGCAGGTCGGAGCATCTGGGGTGTTGGATGGCAGTAGATGCTTTGGAGTCCCCTCTCTATCTCTACCTTTGCGTATTCGAGAAGGAGTCTTGGCACAGTCGGTAAACTCGTCTTCATTAAGGCTAGTCCCTGGGGTTCGGGGAAGATTAAGGTCTGAACTACCAGCTCCTGGTCTCTTGACTGGAGTACAAGGGGAGTTGTGCCCCTGGATGTCCTGAAGCATCTCAGCTGCCTGTTTGGCAAGAGAACTGGTCTTTGAGGGGGTCTTTGTAGCCTTGGACTGGGTATTAGATGAAGACTGGGTTACAGTAAGAGAACTGAGGTCTCTCAATGTTGAAGTTGGCTGCACTGAATGATCCTGTAGGCCGCCCTTAATTTCATTCTCTTTGTTTGCTGTCACATTTGGCAACTCCTGAGAGGGATTCTTCTCCATATGCCACTCACGTGATTTGGTAGTAGCCTTTTCTGCGAGTTCTTTTTTGCTGCTGTCCTCTTTTTCTTTTCTAGCTCCTGGTTTTAGCACAATACCAGAGGACATCAACTTGGACTTTTGAGAATCCCTTCCTGTTGTTCCCTCATCAGCCTTATCATGACTGTGTATCCTGTCAATAGACTGTGATTTTCTACCCGAGTCTGAGTTTTCTAAAGACTCAAGCCATAAATCATCTGCTTTACTGGTACTTTCACTGACAGGCTCTTGGTTTTGTGTGCTGTCCTGTTTACCAGGGTTCTTTTTTTCACAATCTTTATGCTGCTGTTGTGGAGGTATTAATTTCTCCACCTCCTTCACAAAGCCAACTCCAGTCTGAGGTTCTGTTGTACATCGGACTGGCTGCACCCGCCTTTTGGGCCTGCTGCCGCCCAAGATATTAGGCTTGGTTCGAGTGGCTGGGTGTGGGTTACTCTTCTTAGTCTGCTGAACAGGTTGTGATGCGGAAATATTGGTGGCTTGAGGTGAAGCACTTTTAGTATTTTGTGGTTGAACCTCTGCGGCAGAGTCAAAACACAAAATTCTCCTGTGTTTAGGACCACCGTCTGTTTCCTGTTGGCTTGTGTTTTCAGCTGACGCAGGTTGACACAACTTATCAGACAGATGTTGTGTTGAACCTATAATGCGGAAAATAGGGTCAGTAAATGAGGAAATAGCACAAAAAACCTTAAACAGAGCAGCACTGAGGACACTGTATAGTCAAATAAGTACTGGGGACATTTGTTATCAATAAAATATTTCTAGCTAGAAAGTATCACCTCTCATGTGTTAACTGTTGCTTACCTGGATTTGTCGACTGTTTACTTGCCAGTGTTGAATGTTTGGGCTTGACAGTTTGTGACTGTTGCACAGGAACTGGGTTTGGAATGGCAACAAGCTGTAGATACAAAAATATGTTAAATTTTTACTGTCCTGGACATTGCTGAGAGTCTACACAATTGGGTTCAAGGTTCAGGATTCAGAAATAACTGAATTATTATTTGAACCTTTCCGATTTAAAAACTAAAAGTGACTTGCTTTGTTGTGGTCCCAGGGAGACAGAATACTATTAAAAGATATAAAGTATCAAACACAGATGTTCTCATGGGAGCAATACAAGCAAGAGGAAAACTAAAATGAAGATCTTCACTCTCAGTCTGGTGGAAATAAAGAGACAAGGTTGGTTAAAGAAGTTGATGAATGTTACCTGATTTGACACCATCTGAACCCTTCCTAGAGTTTTCTGGCCCACAACAGAAACAGGGAGCATCATGGGCTTAACTGATGATGGTACGATAAGTGCTGACCCTGCAGACAGAAAGCACAGTTTTAAATAACAAATATCTAAACCCATAATGATGAACTCCTACTCATACAAAAAAGAACAGAACAGAAAAAGTGACCTATGCACCTGTAATACCATTGTACTTGATTGTTAATTCTACAGACTCCCATCACCTTTCTTGTGTCCTGCTTGGTATGAATTCAAACATTTTAATGACTTGTAATTTGTTCATAAAAAAGTTACACTTCAAATTGTTATCACAATTTTAGCCTACAAATGACCCATGAAAAGTGGGTTGGATTTTATTTTATATTTCAAATTTGATGTTACTTTACTCTGAAAACTGACTCTCCTCTCTAACACACTATCTTCATACCTTGGGTCCAACGTCTTAACGTATAATCTCAGTATTTATCACTTCCAGTTTTCTACCTATGTATTTTATATAATTAGAATATTAGCTAGAGTAATTACACAACTTTAATTCATGCATATTTTGTATTTTTGCACTGAAGGTTTGCCCTAACAATATATTTAGAGGGGCAATAAAGATGTCTTAATGGGTAGACCGATGGTATTTGGCATTAGGACAACTGTATTGGCTTTTTGTGCTACAGATAGTAAATAACATTAATTATCTCACTGAACCGTGTGATACTTTGGCTCTACTGCTGGTGTGTCTTTCTCCCTACGTCTGTTTTCTGGCACTACTTTCGGTATCACTCACAATACTATCCAATTGGTCTGACGTTATAAGAACTGTATGTGGCTGTAAAGTTTTGTTAACTGACAAGTGTTAACTCCCATATGATGTTGAACACATCAGTTTTGAGTAAAGGTTTGATAAGAGCATTTAAGTATTTTTGATGAAGTTTATAAGATTTTAATTCTAAATGTTGAAGTTTTTCATTTTTCAGTTCTGGATATCTAATGTTTTATAAACTACCAATAATTAGTATTGGTCCTGAAAAACCTGTATCAGTCAGTTCATATGTGTGTTATCTATCTTATTATGTATCGCACATGCCTCATAAAAATGTAGCTCTATATGATCACCTGCTGAAGTGCTAAAGAGATGTAGTCTCTGGTATGTGTAGCCCAAAGTGGTGTCAACCAAAAGGCCATTTAAAACCAAACATAAATGGCAAAGATCTATTTTCTCTTACCAGGGGAAAAGCCTTGAGAGCAAGTTGGTGAAGACACCTCACACTGGTTGGTAGCCATAGACTGTCCTTTGGAGACTACAGGAGACAGCAGCACCTGCCTATTTTGAGCATCTGAGGCAGGAGGTTCAGTTACCAGGAAATAGTTAGCAGTAGCTGCTTGGATGGGATGGTTAGCGGTGTCCAGGGGTAGTTGGATGATGTAGTTTTGCTGGGTCTGTGATGTCCCAGTTAATGGGGATGCAATGACCGCTCCAGTTTTAATGTTCAGTAGACTTGCTGAATGTCCCTCAGAGCTTTGCAGACCACTAACTGCCAGCGCAGCCTCATCCAAGTTGGCTTTTTGTGTGTAAGGGCTTGCGGGACACTTAGCAGGTGACGAGAGATAGATGGTGGGTATCTTTTCTCCTGATATACTAGAAATTGCCTGATTCAAGGCTGTCTCACTAGACGACGAAGGCTCCTCCTGGTTATCACTGATGATGATCTTTAAAGAAACTATATTGGAGTCAGCTACAGCCTTACTTGGGGAAGTGCGGATGTCACTTATCTGATTAGTTGGAACAACAACGGGGGCACAGGAGGAAATGGATGCTGGTGATGCAGGTATGGATGAGGAATGTGTAGCTGTTGGCGTTGTAGAGGTAGAAACAGTTGTGGGTGAAGAAGATTTTGTGATAAGAGATGCAGTAAAAGGTGCTGATGAGGGCAGGACAGGCACAGCTGCAACTGTGGTACAGCTGAAAGCAGACGTGGACGCCAAAGGTTCAGTAGCTGAAAGAGTTAACACTGGTTGGGTGTCGCGTCCACTTTTTGAGACGGACACAAGAGGCAGGTCAGCAGTCTGCTTTTGAAGGTTGTTTACTTCATCCAGTACAGAAGACAAATATGAAGGTAGATTTCTTGGGGCTGGTGAGCAGACAGCAGCAGGTTGTTCCTCAGATCCCTGCGCTTGTTGTTTCTTTTGCTCATCAGAGGTTGGTGTCCCTTTTGGTAGAGCGAATGCAGCAGAGGCTTTTGGAAAGGAAACTGTCAAGTCACTGGAGGCAACTGTGGTCAAAGCCCTGTCCTTTGTGGTAAACTCCTGACTTGGTATTATTTCTAAAGGAGCAGAATATGTATTCGGAGGTTTGTTGGTATCCATTGAAATTTCAAGAACACTGTTGACAGGTGAGGCTTTTTGTATTCTGTTTGAGTCCCTTGTAGCATTCAGCACTTCTCGGTGCTCCCCATGACTGACTAATAACCTGGCAGAGCTATTTTCAATTCTGGATGCTTTGCTGCGAGGACCAAGAATTGTTTTCTTTAACAAAGTGGAAGTTGTTGACTTTCTGGTCTTGCGCTCTCTCTGTTCCGGTGTTCCTGTCTTTGCAGCGTTTAGCGTTTGATCCAAGCAGTTTGCCTCTTTTTGTGCCATGCCTGAAAAATTAAAAAGAACATTTTATTCTGAGTACAACGCTATATTCAAAACAGCTCATTTGTAAATTAGTGCACAGTGCAACTGGTTCAACAGTGTGATACATAAAAAGCTGTGAGAATCTTTTAACTCGTGTAGAGCATGTCGATAGTTGTCCTTCAAATAGCAGAAAACTTAAACATTTTCAAAACAGAGAAGAGATGAAAGGGCTGAGTTATGAGATGTCCAGAATCCCGAAGCGTCCCCTATCATTTTATGATGACCCAGCTTTTTAGCTCTGTCCGGGTGGTCTACCTCCTTTTTAAGTGCCCATTAATCCGCCAGAGTCTCTGGTATTTACTTTGACTGATATTAAAAACCTTTTTGTACATACACAAAAAAGATGCTTCTTTAACGAATTCCTGCCTACCCCACCTTTAAGACATTTTATTCAATTTTAAGAGAATTTTAGACATTTTACGGCCTTAAATTCAAATTATTGAATTTGAGACATTTGGAGACCCCGTGGATACCCTGTAACAAAACCAGGCCAGTTATAGAGTTATGAGTGTAATGGTGTCTCGTTCTTCTAAATATTTGAAAGTGTGACAAGTGGAGCTTCGGACAGGTCAGTTTAGCACCTGAATTCTTCTACTACAAACTCATGTTGTTGTAATATTTGCAAAATATGGTTTGGCATTTCCCTTCTGAAATATTTAAGGGCCTCCCTCCCACAACGCATTGTCTTGATCGTTGTATATGTTGCTTCAAATCGTAACTGTTCAGCATTAATGGTGCCTTCCCATATGTGTTTGCAACCTGTGTCATGCACACACGATGCTGGCGTTTAAGGCGCCAGACAGTTTCCATATATATAACAACTTTGTCTTCTATCAGTAAGAGTGTACAGCTGATCACTTCTGGAGTGTAAGCACATACCTGGATTAATACTCTGAAGAGGTCTGACTGCAGTTGAAGGTCCAGCTGTGTCCATCTCTTCTGGGATACTGTTAAGATTTTCATCTTCTGGTTCTCCCTCGGGGAACTTGTTTTTATCTGAAAATACAAGAACTGTCATAAAGCAGCCTTTTTCTCTAATTCAAGACAACTGAGAACACTTTTTTGTAATCTGTGCAAAAAAAAAGGTCATAGTTACTGCAATCAAAGAGGTCAAAGAGAGCCTGAAAAGCTGGGTCGGACTCTGTTTGCTCCAGAATGTCGTGAATGGCATCATCACTCATGTGGATTTCCCCCTGAGTCGGATAACACATGTCAGAAAAATTAAGTGACATAAGTGAAAAATTTTACTGAAAAAGAAAAAAATTATAACTTTTTGTACCTGTAATCCCAGGATTTCATCTATGGACTGATCTGCCTCTACTGTACTTGAAGAAGGCTTTTGTGTTGGGGGTGTCGGATCACTGATGTTAGAGAAAAAAGGAAACAGACATGTCATAAGTCTCCCATAACATGGTGGTTCTTAGATCTGGTTCCAATAATGTAGGACACTTCCAACTCCATACCTACCTAGCGAGGATTTTGTTGATGTTTTCAGCGAGCTTCTCTTGCAGCAATTTGTCTCCCAATATCTTGTCACGTGCATTTTGTATCACAAGTTGCTAAGGAGATAAGCAATTTTTTAAGTCAGATTTGATAAAGCCTGTATCTAACAAAACCTTGACAGTTGTCCCATAAAAGCTGACCCATGAAAATAATTTTAAAATAGGCATGAGGACTAGATTAAACTCATTAACATGCAGTGTTTAAGGCCTTTCTCTGTCTTGAGCATCTTGTTGTTCAATAACAACAAAATATTCACGTGTCAAACAAAAAGCCGTTATTTTCTTACACGATAAACAAACAGTTCTGTAGAAATGGAAACCAGACTTCAAAAGCACACATCTAACTTACAGGAAAGTTCTCATCAACAGCGTCTTCAGGTTGGGATTCCACACTCTGGCTACTAACAGCCGTGGCGCATCTGCCACCAGTCCCACTTGGGGCGCCACTTCTTTTTCGTGGAGTGTCCCTGATTGCAGCAGAAATTAAACAGGGTTGGTTATCACTGCCGACATTTACAAAATATGTGAGCACTCTTGAAATGTTAAAGAAAAACAGTCACAGACTCAAATGTTACGTATAATTAGGCAATATGTTGTGTTGTGTAACAAAATTTTGCATTACTGTGCTGAGGAAAGCACTTCATTGTCTGTTCTTATCTCTTTTTTCTCAGGCTGTTAACATGAAATGTACTACAGTAACGATTATTCTTACCATTTCCTTCGTCCAGGAGACATTTGACCTGGATTAAATCGCTGCTCTGGAAAAGCTATCTGTACAGGTAAAGCTCCTGAAAATAAGAAAGATCGCACGTTAGGAAAACCCAGACTTTTCTGTGGTTAATGTTAACTCAAAAATACTCCTTAATACTTTAGCCAGAAAATAAAAAAAACTTCACCAGAATATAAGATATCTATTAAAAGTATGCATAAAGTTAAATATTCTCAGATTAGTTTTTTTTCACTAACATGAGTAGAAAGCAAAATAAAACAACATTATTATCTCAACTGCCTAAAAATAACAGCTCATCAAAGATAAAACAAATATTTGTATCTTGTGGTACTTACTTGGAATATTTACTAATCGGCTGCCATCGTGGGTCTGCTGTTGGGTACTTCCAGTCGCTGGTCTGGTGTGGATAGTACTGTGGCTAACAGAAGTGGAGTGGCCCAGCATGCCAGCATGGGAGGTGTGGGAAGGGCCGATGATGGAGCTCACCTCGGAAATGGTCGAACAGACAACAGCACCGGCTGAAGTGACAGCCAAGACTCGCTCTCTGGCCATGTTTGCCAATCCAACCCGTGAACGAGCTGTAATAAACAGAAGTGATAAGATTAATCCTCGATATAAAGCCCTGTGAAAACACTGAGCATAACACAGTCTCACTGACGTTATATCAGCGTTTCTATACCAGTTCATTTATTCTACTACTTCAACTGGATTCACAAGATAAATTTCACAATTTTCAATTGGGGTGAAATACACTCCTTTGAATTGAATGTAATTTTATGAAAGAATATGTTTGTTTGGGATTATCTATCATCCAAACGCTCCAGTAGAAACACCAGCTGTTCCGGCTGCACAAGCGTCATGGGCTCCTTGCTTTGTAACCTTTTGCATTGAGCGTGCTCTGCCACGTGGCACTGCTTCAGGTGGTCGAAAAGATTTGAGGTATTTCTCAACTTTGCGAGAACATGTGCTTGACATAATTTGCAGTGACCCGGAGCAACTCCTCTTTTCATTGGCTATTCATATTATCAAAACATGGTAGAATGTGGACTATCGAAAAGCATATTGACCCTGTTTCATATTTATTGAGGGAAATTAATTTTCGATATATATTGTTATCGTTTTATCGCCCAGCCCCAAGTCAGGGTTATTTTTACACCAGGCACTGATGCTCATGCTTTAAATGCATCACTGTAAGAGAAGTGTCCTGAACTTTCACTTAATACTATCAACTGTACTTTCAAGCATGCATCCTAAAGACAAATATCTCATAAAAACTCACACTACGAACAAACTTACTTCTTTGGCATGCTGATAATGATGGGGAGTTTTGCAATGATCTATGGAAAGATAAAAAAAAACAATGATAAAATCTCATTAGACATTTTCCACAAATATCAGTTTTAGGATGAAAGAAAAACAGAGTGTCTTCTAATGTCAAAGCTTATTACTTGATCTGGTTGAGTGTAAAATCCAGCTTCTTCCACAAGGAAGTCATCATAGCAGGGACCTCACGACATGACTCTGTATAAGAGTGACAGGGTAGTTTTATTAATAGTTATTGCAAAGGACTATTTTTAATGCTCACCATGTCAGATTAACTTACCTTTACTTTTGGCAGCCACATACTCGTTCAGGATAGTTGTTAGGCCTTTCCCAAAGACGGACTAAGTGTGGAAGACAAATTATGAGACATGGGTACAAGTTTAGTCTACAATGGTTGGACATTTTCTTGAGAGACAGAAAGAGGGTTTACTTACTAGCACGCAGGCAGGGATTGTTCCGTCTCCTGTAGCGTGATCAGCATATTCTTTCAAGCTTGGACTTTCATGAATGAAAGCTTGACTTGTAGAGATCAGTCCCTCATCTTGGAGGTATCCTGTGTATGGGTTTGGGGGGGTAGTTGTCAATACACTTTTACAAAGAGACACGAAAAGCGCTGAAATAACGCTTCAGCGACGACTGGTAACACCCATATTGTGAAACATGAATACAACTAGCTAGCAAAACCATTTTAGCTTCAGGTTTTTACAGGTGATAGCATCATCGGTTCGAGCTCGAGCTACAGCTGTGCTTCACCACATATGAACAACAGAATACAAACCCAAAACAAGCCGGGCGACGTCCGATGGGAGCAACATTGTCAGCTTGTTTGTTTGTTCACAGCGCTCATCGACGAACAGTTAGCTATACTTGGCGTGAAAGTGTCCAAAATTCGCCATAAAGCCTCAAATTAAAACCGTCAGCGTATTCAAATGAAGAAAAACGTCCTAACCGAGGACACCACTACTTCTCAAAAGGCGGGGAACTCGGGTACGTATGACCCGGAAGTTGGAAATAAATCTACTGTAGGCTAACGTGGGAGTTGTAGTCCAGCGTCGAGCGTCAAACTTCCATAAACCCGATAAACTTAAATGTTTATATGAATTACTGTTAAGTATCGTGTATAACTTCCCACTAATTTTCACACCATAATCGATATTAAACCGGTAAAGCAGTGTTGTTTTGTGTTATTGTGGCCTGAGGGCCTTGAACGGAGTTTGTTAGAGACTACAATGAAGGAAAAAGGTAGGGTTAATCTGGTTAGTGAGTTTAGTACGGTGGCCGAGAACCATCACTGCTGCAAAAAAATAAATAAATAAATAAAATAAAATAAATAAATAAACACAAAGCCCTCTGCAAATAAAAAAAGAAATGGTGCAGATATTTAAAAAAAAAATAAAAAGCCACAACGACACAAAATAAAAGTGTCGATGCTAAAAAAATAAAAAAAAATAAAAAGGTACTTGCTGAGAAAATAAAAGGCTGCAAATAAAAAAAACACAACAGAAGTGAGCTGCCGGGGACCAATAATGATGATGCACCAGGGTTTTACAATCTCGGCATGGAAGACTACGGCATGAAGACGAGCAAAAACTATTACTGGCAGCTCACCTCTGTTGTGGCTTTTTTAAAATTTGCATCCTTTTATTGTCGCAGTAAGTATCTTTTTTTTTTTTTTGCATTGCCACTTTTTTTTGCGTTGTTAACTTCCATTATGGCCTTTTTTTTTTAATCTGCACGGTTTCTTTTTTTTAATTGCAGCAAGCTTTGGTTTCTTTCTCTTTTTTTTTTTGTAGCTTCTTCATTATTTATTTTTTTTCCTTTTTTAAAAAAATTTGCAGCAGTGGCGGTTCTCGGCCACCATAGTTTAGATGTCATGTAATGCTGGAGTACAGTGATTTTACACACGTTTACACAGATGGTGCTAAACAACCTGAGACAGGGGTGACAGGATTCCGGGTGGCAGTACCAGAAAAAGGAATTGGGATTAATAGAAGAACATCTGATAAATTAGGAGTGTACACAGTGGAAATGGTGGCAGTGCTGGTTGCATTGCAGTAGGTGGAGAAAGTGGGTCTTGATAAGGCATTGCTATGTTCAGATTCATCATCAGTGCTAGCGAGTTTAAGGTCATTCCATTCAAAGAGCCATCAAGACATACTATACTCAGTCCTTCAGTCAATTACTAGAATAGTTAATCAGGGAGATCGGTTAGTTTCCTAAAGCGCACGTAGGGGTGAGGGGCAATGAGAGGGCCGATGAGTTGGCTAAGAGAGCTTTGTTTAAAGGAAGTGTAGATATGCAGGTCAGTATAAGCAAGGCAGAAATTAAAAGTGTAATCTGGGAAAAGGCAAATGTAATATGGCAGAGAGAGTGGGATGAAGAGGAGAAAGGGAGGCATCTGTAGCAAATTAAAAAGAGCGTTAGAGATGAGAGGAAGAGCAGTGGGTACAGGAGAGAAGGGGTTGTGTTGACAAGATTAAGTTTGGGGCATAGTGCACTAAATAAAACATTCAAACTGATAAGGAAGCACCAGACAGGCTTGTGTGAGGGCTGTCAGGAGGAGGAGGAGTTGGTGGAGCATGTAGTTCTGAGGTGTAGGAGATATAAAGTGCAGAGAGAGGAGATGATGAATAGGATGAAGGAATTAAGGATACAGGAATTCACATGAAAAAGACTTCTAAGTATGAAAGAGAGGGGACGGGTTCGGGGAACAGGGCCTGATGGATAAGCAGGGATAAAAGGATAGGGGTGGTAGGGGACATGGGTGTGGAGGGTTTATTATAAGTTTTTTTGTTCATGTATCTATTTTTATAATAATTATTATTGTGTGTATAATTTGCTTTGGTAGAGAATCAAGGACAGGGATAAGATTGTAAGTCTACGGTTTGATTTACACTCCGAAACAGCAGGTGGCGGTAATGCATCAAAAAGCTGGATGCCAAACACGAAGAAGAAGATGATGGTGCAGGAGTGGATGCGGCGTACTCATAGACATAATAAAGGATAGACCCCGCTGGGGGTGCTGCGCGGCGAGAAATGCGGCCGCCATCTTGGTCAGGTCAAGCTTCCCATACGCTCCGGTCAATCATATTCATTCATTCAGCGATGCCGGAGCACTGTGCGGCGTATTCCTGTGCCAACAGGCGGACAGCAGAGAACAGGGCTCAAGAAATAACTTTTCACAGTTATGATTAAACGTTTTTTAAACATTACACTTGACTGTAGAGTCATTTGTAGGCCAAAGAGGAAGACTATCGGTCAACTCCAAAAAAGAAACAGCATTTGCGAACAGCTAGCTTATTCACAATAATAGCAACTTTGGTCGATTATCAACAGATTTGCATTAGATTGAAAAACTTTTGTTTGAGAGAGGTTCTAAGAAACGTTAAGAAATAAAATAGAAAGAAAAAGGAAGAAAGTGAGCTCTGTTTTATTATCTGTTTTATTAAAGATTTCTTTGTGGTGATCTCCTGTTTCATTTTGAAGATTTCCTAAGGACAAAAACTTGAGGAAGAAGTGGGAGATTGCTGTTAGAGGGAGAAATTCGCAGCAAGTGATTCCTCTGTGCTGTGTAGCCAACAAGCAAATTGATATGTAGTTTAGATGCTGTCCTGTCATGCTGTTCTTGTGTTTAAATCTTTTTGATATGTAGGCTATATATTTGTGTGTATTTTCCAGTTATTAAAATAGTGCTTCTATATGACATTATTTGTGTGTGTCTACAAATGGATAAATAAAATTAAACTATACAAAAAATTATAATCAAATCAATATATATTGAATTGGCCTATTAATACCGCCAGTTATTAATAATTATTGAGACATAGCAGGAACCTAGCTCTAAACCTAAATATATCCTTGATTAATTGTTATACTATAATACAGCCACTGCTGCCATGTTCTAAAATATCATTTTATTCATTCTGAGTATTTGAAAACGCCAAAAAAAAATATGGCCTCTATCATGCCTCTTTGAATGGCGTTTGCAGAGAAGAAAATTACGTAGTATTGAGCGAACTATGATTCATTAATGCGCTCAGACTTCATTCCGCCGGTTAAACAGCGGTGCAGAGTGAGGCGGATGACCGGACCAAGATGGCGGCCGCATTTCTCGACAGCGCCCATTCGTGGTAGCAGGAGTGGATGCGGCGTACTCGTCAGAACCTCTGGGGCGGGAATTTCCTGCGTGTACTTCATGTGGGCTAGTGCATCTGCTAATCTATGGTGCTAAGTTACGGGGTTGTCAGGGCCAAAACGTAATGCTCCCCGCACAGCAAAGGACCACAGCGAGAAATAACAACTCTACATATTTATACAGTGCAGACATCAGAGGTTTGTGAACTGAGTCTTTAAAAATAATGTGTTTAAATCAAGTTCTGACAGTTCTGTTGCAGTAGCAGCAGGTGTAAACCACTCTGATCAGAGTCTGTTTCGGTTTCAGTTCACCGGAAATTATGAAGGCAGTTCCTCAGACAGCATTTACATAGGCAACGCTCTTACTGCAGGCACATTGTAGTTGAACAACTTTAATGTTCATTCTTATTTTCCAGTCAGTGAAATAGGTCTATGTGGATGCAGACTGTGCCCTCATACACACTGAAGCATGACTCTTGCCCTTCATGAGCTTCTGGTCTGCTGCAGGGGATTGGAGAATGACAAAGTCACCGAGAGGAAGGTAGTCATGTATTAAAATACTCTGATGGTCTAGCTACTGCAATATTCTCTTCAGTATGTGCTCTGTAAATCCTGTCCTGTAACAGTTGTGTCCTCTCTCCACACCTCAGAAAGAAGTTGAACGCTTCAGGCGGATAATAAGAACTCCAGAGGTTGTGCAGGAGCTGGATCGCACCTCTGGAAAGAAAGATAAAGGATCCAAGCAACTCACATGGGATGCTGTTTTCAGGTAGACGACTATGCATGTTTTTATTGTTTTACAAGTCCCCAAAACTCAAACAAAAATCCTTCATTCCAGTTTGAGTCGTAAAATAACAGTATTGTTAAATGCACATATTGGGGCATCCTCACCCAACCATGGAGTTTGTTGTTCATAATTTGCCCTCCATAACAATGGACCTGTTGAATGTTTTGCCTCCTTCCCAATTTAGTTTCAATCAAAATCATTTTAAAATCCTTTTTAGACCTAGTTAGTGACATGATCAAAAAATACTCATATAAAGGAGCTTCTATAAGAGGAGCAGTCAGTGGAGACTGTAAACCTGCAAAGCGCAGGACAGGCCAGTCTTCCTTCTCATTCAAAGGTCCACAGTTCGGAATATATCACCATCAGAAATGAAATCATTAAAGGACCCCAAAGCCTTCAATATTAATATCAAAACAAAATTATGGCTGAAGCAAAGACAAATCTGTGAACACTAACTTACATATACGTATGTTATGGCATGTATGTGTGTCTATGTATCTGTATCTATGTGTGTGCGTCTGTATGTATGTATGTATATGTAAGTCTCTGGATTTTTGTGCATCGAAGAAACTGCTTGTTCTGTCTGCTTTCTTGTTGTTTTTTATGCAAACATATGATTGTCTGTCTGCACCTGCTATAATGTAAGATTTTATGTAGTGGTTTATGTATTATGTGCTGTATTTTCCGCTGTCTAACCAGGGACAAGGACAGCAAATTAGCCACGTCTGGAAGTCCTGCATACACAGCATTGGTTGCTATATAATAAGATGCAACAATGCCTGATGTACTGTCCCTGTCAAATAAACAAATAATTAAAAAAAATTGCAGGAATAACAGATTTGCCAAAGTTGGTCGCACAAAAGTTTTGTAATTGAATATTGTGCATGTAAATTCAACATTAAAAATCAACTAATTACTGAGACACTTGATTGTCTTTGGCTAAGCCAAAACAAGTCGTCTGAATTGAAACATTTTTGTTTTTACATCAGATTCCTGCAGCATTATGTCCAGAAGGAGACGGAAAGCATGCAATCCAGTAAATCCAATGTTTCCGCAAATACAGTGGCGATGCGTAAGAAGAAGATGGCTGATGTGTGCAGCTTGATCAAATACTTCATACGCTATGCAAACAAACGTAAGAGCGTTGTCTTTACTAGATCAAAATATTGAAAGACAAGAACAGCTTTAAGCTTAATGCTTTAACTATTGATTATTATGTTACAGTCACATGTTTAAATCATATACTGTACGTTGTAACCTTTTCTGACACATTCACCAGAGCAGAAAGATGCAAAAATTTTGAGTTAGTAATTTGAACATCATGCTGATACTGTTTTTTTTTTGTGTGCAGGTGGACCTTATCTTAAGTGTAGTGAGCTGCTGAAACATGTGATGGATGTCCTGCAGAATTCATACAGCTGTTCAGCCTATGGAGAAGATTACAGCAGCATTTTATTGAAGGATATCCTCTCTGTTCGCAAGTACTGGTGTGACATCACTCCACAGCAGTGGAACAGTCAGTGTGATATCAATCTAAATGATATAACAGTTTCAGGAAAATACCATAAATAATAAAGTACTCTTACTTTTGTTCTCTTAGTGCTGTCATATGAGGATGTAACACCATCCTGTCTTAGCTGACTGCATTTTTGTTCTGTTTTTGTTTCTCTCAATATTGTGACTCTCAGGTCTTTTGGAACTGTACTGTGGCTTTTTCAACTCCTCATCCAAACCTATTAACCGTGTGTTGGTGAGCAGAGTCATCCACGCCTTGGTACAGGGCTACAGCATGCAGACTGATGGATTCAATAACCTTCTGTTTAGCTTTTTCTCCAAAGTACTGCTAAATGCCAGGTGATGACTTCTACTGCCAGTATCCAGTTTGTTGTGAATATGACATATACCGGTTGAATTAAAACATAAAAACACAGTTCACTCTTTTTCTTACTTCATGATTCGTTAGGCAGGAGAAACACCTGGCTGTTTTGGAGCACCTCATCTCAGCTCTTAACGTCTTCTCAAGATCTGCTGCGTTGAACTGTCGGATGAAGGTGTGTCAACTCGGAGAGGAGCTTTTGCCTTCCATACTGAACGTTTGGGCGGACATGAGGCCCAGTGTGGCTCTCAAAGAGGAGATTGTGGAGTTCTTTAACCTGCAAATTCATGTGCATCACCCCAAAGGAGCCAAGACACAGGACACAGGTAGCAAGACCTTCAGCCTCAAGTAACCAATAATGCACAAAGATGGATTACATATCTAGACAGTCTTTAGTTCAAATGTGCTGATTCAAGAGAGGACACAGCTATCACAGAACAGGATTTATATTTATACAGCACTTACTGAAATACCTCTAAATGAAGTCTCCGAATTAATGGGATATTCCGCCATGAAATTAATATAGGGTCAAACACCATAACACCGAGCTAGACACCCCCTGGAGAGATGAATGTTGCCGACCGCTTGCTTCTCTAGTTATACCAACTTAAGTAAGGACCGCACGATAGCAATACACAGCAGTCTGAGGAGCCATAATCAAACCTCAACCATAAAGCCACTCTATAGCCACAAAAAATGCTCAGAACAGCATCTAACTTCATCAACAATACGTATAGGGTCCTAGCTTTGCCTGATTTCTTTAGCAAAGAGACTAAACACGACTCACCTACTCTCTTCCAGCAGCTGCTTGTTTGCAGCGAGACCTCAGGGCAGTCCATTACGGACTGCTGTGGGTTGCCACAGCTCAAGGAAGAACATTTATGATCATTTCTTCATGGAGATGCAGTCAGACCAAGACACTAAGGCAAAAGAACTACAGCATCTGTAATGCAAAATGATTAATATGGTGATTATTACAGAACTGAAGTTGGTATAACTAGAGAAGCAAGCATTCGGCAACATTCATCTCTTGAGGGGGTATCTAACTCGGTGTTATGGTGTGTTTGACCCTAAATTAATTTTACGCTGGAATATCCCTTTAAGCACTTAAAAACCAATGGTTGATATCAAAGTCTTTTTTGTGTTTGATGTTTCAAAAGTTAAACTTTTAAAGCACATAGGTCCATAAGCTACAAACCAATGACCTGTTCTTTCTTATATATCTTAGGTGCTCATGCTGAGGACTGGGTGAAATGGCAGAGTTTGCTTTACAACCTTTATGATGCCCTGATCAGAGAAATCAGCCAAATAGGCAGCAGAGGGAAATATGTGACAGGAACACGGCACATCGCTGTCAAAGACAATCTCATTGAGCTCACAGCTGACATTTGTCACCAGGTAATGGAGATCAAGTCTTAAGTACAGAGTTTTTGTTTCATGTAACTATATTACCAACTTGAAGTAATTAGACTATTCAAAGCTGAATGTATCAAAAAGAGTAACAACTTGATTTGATTCAATATAGCTGCTCAGAGATGAAACTGTCCCTGATGTCATGGAGGTGACCCAGAACTCCCTCAGAGCCACACTTAGTCCTACACATGGAGCAGCTGCCAAGCGACGGCGTGTTGAACTGGGTTGGAGGGTCCTTAGGGACTATCTGCAGCCTCATCATAATGACTTTGATGTCATACCGTGGTATGAAAATCTGAATTGATATCAAAACATTCGCAGGCGAACAACATAGTAAAGAGTCCAATCTAAAAAAAGATATATTATTTTTTTACGTTTGAAAGTAGAAAGAGAAAATATCCTGTTTATATAAAGATTTTTGATTAAATATCATTTATTCAAACACTTTTCTCGACAGGCTGCAGATAACCTCAGTGCTCACCTTTAAGTATCCGTCCATGGTGCCCAGCCAGGAGCTGGTCCCGCTGCTGTCGGTGTTGTACCAGCTCCTGGCAGAGCACCGTAAAGGGGAGAGAGGACTGTACGTGCTGCGCTGTTTAAAGGATCTGGCCCGTTGTCAGGCTCGTAACCCAGAGAGGGCTGAAGAACACAGGACAGAATTAAGCAGGCTGTGGGGTCGGGTATGGGCCCTTGCACTGCGAGGGGTCAGTTCACCCCAGACAGAGGTCCACAGCCTAGACCTGCTCAGCTCCATCGTCCATGGAGGGCTGATTAATGTGGACAGAGAATTCTGGAAGCTCTACTCGGGTTCAGCACTTAAACCCTCTCAGTGAGTGTCTCACAAATCTCAGTGATTAACTACTCCATGTTTATGATGAAAATGTGTCGTCGCATTCACTCGCTTTTTTTTTTTCCACACAGGAGTGCCGCTCTCTGTCTAGCTCAAGCACTGCTGAAGTTCCCGGTTCCTAAAAGACTGATCTCGGGTTCAATCCCAGAGAACGGGGGAGTCACAGATGGCTTCGCATCACCTACTCTAAAGGAGACTCTCACAGCCTGGTTGCTGATGACAGACCAGAGTAATGAGATGGAGGACAGCTCCAGACCCCACCCCATCATTAGCGGGTTTGTACTGTATTGCCTCTTCACGTGAATGCCATTTATCTGACTTGACTCTACTTTTTTTTTCACTTATTTGGTATTTGTTAAATTTGTGTTTTATGTTTTGTTTTAGCCTAAAAATTCCTTTTTGAATTCTGTATCAAGATATCATAAATTCTCTTTGGTTGAAAGAAGAAGCCCTGTAATTAAATGTTTTGTTGTGTTTGCAGAGAGTTTCCTCATATTCTGATGGCAAACATCCTGGTTTCTCTGACTCTGAAAGACACAAGAAGTGGCTTAAAGTTTCTGCTGGGCTCTGATGGAGAAGAAAGGTGAGGGGAATGAACCTGAGTCCAACAAAAACCACCCACCGTAAAATCATTGTTCATTCTTATAACCCTTTATTACCCCCGATCTCCTTTTTTGTCCTATCACAAATACACATCCTGATATTTTAAATATTAAAAGTCATTTTATGTCGGTTTCTGTTTTTTCTGTACATAATAATTTATTCTGAAGATTAAATTATCAAATTTTCTGCCGTTTTAAGTTCTATTTTCCAAGAGAAACCTTCACTGGACACCAAAGACAATTTGAAGGAGATTGAAAAGCTGTACCTGCAGTTTAGCTTCAACCTGCCGAACTCTGCCACACAAGAGACCAAGAGCTCAGAGGAGGTGCCTTTGACCGACAGCCAGTTCGCCATCATCCCCAGCCTCAGAAACAAATTGGAACAATCACTGCTCAATGTCGCCGACAATCTCCTCAACTGCTACTCTCCTGATGTAAGAGGAGTACTTTGCTTACTTATCTGTGTTGTTGTGCAGAAAATAATGGAAATCATTCTGATTCTCTGTCAATTCAGTCTCAGTCCATCCCACCGGAGTGTTTGGTGCGCTGTTCCAGTCTGCTAACCGGGGTTCTGGCAGGTTATGTCCTCACTGAGTGTCTGACTGAGGAGGAGGCCTGCCGCTCACAGCTCTTCATTAAAGCCAAAGTATTACGCTTATACGTCTTTATTTATAAAATTAAATTTGTAGTCGTTCATCACTCAATGGTTTGGTGATTGATCATCTGAGGTGTGTTGTTCTTGTGTCACCAGGCTCTGGCCCAGGAACTCAGCGGGTTTGTTTCTGGTGTGAAAGTGAAAATTACAGAGGAAGGAACAATGAGCGCACTACAGTCCATCATGAAACTCTGCACACAGTACGCCTGCAGAAAAAGCAAGGTGACAAAAGCAACCGTCATGACGATGTCCAAAATATAGCAACAGCACATTAGTTTATATAGATAAAGTCACATGAAAAAAATCCAGTCAACTCTTGTCATGTTTTTGCAGGATGTTTGTCCTGTTGCCTCCACGCTGTTCATTATGATTCTGCCAGGCAGTCTCCTCAGTGATCTGGCAGAAATCTGCAAAATGTTGGTAAGGAGCACTTACAGTTTATTGCAAAAATAAGATTTCTTTGTTGTCCAAAGAGAAAATGTCGAATTAATCTCATTACTTCTCCTTTTTAGTTGAATAGTGCTTCTAAAAGAGTGAGTGTTGTGGAAGAAGACAGTCATCTAGACGCTGACTGGGAGGAGACCAGAACCCAACAAGGGGATGGCATTGACCTGTTTGAAGACAGTGAGGAGTCTCACAGCAGTGCCTCAGGGACCCAAAGACAGAGGGGAGATAACAGTGACAATACCTGTCGGCCAGGTGATGAACCTGTCAATCTATTAATCAGTTTTGGTTGTAAAAGTAGGAGTTAGTTGTCATCTCATGAAACTTCACACAAAGAGCAGATCTTGACGCAAAACCAAACTAATCTGTTGGCAGCCACCTGCTGGGAACAGAAGTGGTCACTTGCGCTCTAAGTGAAAGAAATTATGTTCATTTTTAGAGACATAGGTTTAGCACAAATTTGACCTTTTTAAAACAGAATTTACTGATGTTGATTTTGTGACATTTCAAGCCAAAATTGGAGAAAATATTACAAGCCACTTTTCCACCTTTCTACTGATGTTCAGGTAGGGCTGGGCGATCTGGCTTCAAATCAATATCACGATATATTGAGCAGTTCACCTTGATAATGATAAATGGACGATAACTACTCCACAAGCTGCTCACCCCCTTCCACATGAACTTTGTCTCCTTCAGCCGCCGCTACAACTTTTGAACCGTCCTCCATCTCCTCACCTGTCTTTCCCTCTTTGTTACGGACTGGATGGGGTGGAGTCACGTTTTTGATGCAGGACACTGTCTTAAAGGGACATGAGACCACAGCCTACCTACACACATCCAAAACCAACTTTTATTTGTTTTTTTTGACACCAAATATACCAATATGGGCAAAATGACGTTGGTTATTGTCGTAAATTTCGGTATCGATAAATTTACGGTTTATCCCCCAGCCCTATGTTCAGTTCAGTTCATCCTAAATAAAGAGCAGATTTTTTTTCAGGCATGTTTCAGCTACAACAATGTCTTTGATGACTTTATGTTGCACTTCTGTACACCAGGTGCAAGAAGTCTGTTAGCAGATGATCATCTGGCCCACCAGGACCTGGCTCTCCTTGCAGTTTTGGAGTTTGTGTGTGAGTGTGGCTCCGTCCAGCCCGTCCACGGTCTACTCTTCAAACCACAGGAGGTGCGGCGCTGGCTGTTGCAGCTGGCGGAGCAGATTGACTTTGGCAAAGCCACGCACCTCAACATGGTGAGTGTAGTAGCTGCTGAAGTGAAGAGTGGTGAATGTACAGGCGATGAGGTCCAGCGGATAAATGTTTATATTGTACATGGTTCTTTTTCAGTATTTGCTTCTTCTAAAGAAGCTGCCTGCGGGGAACTCACTGTCTCCTGAGGAATTTGACTCTCTACTTCGTCCTCTGGCGTAGGGAAATCTGGTTTAATTTAGAAACTGACACGTAATACGAATAGCATGCTGCTAATTCATTTTCATTAATCTTTTTTTTTTCTTACGATTTAATGAGTCTATTCTGCTGTATTCTCAGGGATGTATGTTCTCAGTACCGACTGGACCAGGAGGTCTGTGCTGCTGTCCTACTGGATTTATTGCCCTCTATAAAGAGCCTGGGGGAAACCCACCACACACCAGAGGACATGAGACATGTTCAGGGATCTTTACTGCAAGTGGTGTCTGGATTCTGGTTAGTGACACATGTTTGTGAACTGGTTGCGTAAGTCTTATACTCCTGTTCCCAGCGAGGTCACACCTAGCTGTGTGCAGTGTGTAAGTTGTGTGTAACTCAGCTCTTGCTACTGATTCAAAACTACTTGCTTTGTTTCAGTATTCTGAGCCAAACAGGAAAATGCATCGCAACTGTACGAATGGCTGTGGTGAGATGTCTTATCGCTCTGCTGGAGGTAAAGTCTCACCTGTTGAATTCATCTAAACATCACTGGAATCTAATATCTGATTTTGGGAGAAAAAAAAAAAGTATTCAGGATGGATTTCTTATTTTTGGCTGGCAAGCAAACACTTTATCATCTAGTGGGTTTAAAAGCCATCTTAACCTTTCAATGAAAAGATTGGATAGCGTTTGTAATTGATTATTGAAACACTTTTGGGTTGTAGATTAAAAATTCTGCCACACATTTTCACTCGTCTCATCTCAATAGTATCTCAATCTTTTGGGACCCTTCTTCTTATCTTCAAAACGTCTTTTCCTGACAGGCTGATCCATGTTGTAAGTGGGCAATGCTGCACATCAGAGACCTTGACCAACCAGTCTCCGTTGTCTTCACATCATTCCTCGCAGATGCCCACCACCAAGTCCGCATGCTGGTAGCCATGTCATTGGAAAGGTGTGCTCTAGGGGGAGAAATACACTAACTAGTGAAAAAAATCAGGGTAAATCTGATTGAAGCAGGGATTTTATTAAGTGCATTTCAGATCTGACTGTCACTGTTGTCCTTCTTTTCATTCAGGATGTTTCTAAAGATGAAACCAGAGCATCCAGACAAGAGTAAGATGCTGCCGCTCAAACACCAACAAGCAGCTTTTGAGACTATTTACCTGAAGGCTCAGGAAGGAATGAGGCTTCCAGTAAGTTTAGCCATGTGCTGTCTTATGCCCCTTTTTCCATCAAGCCAGGAAAAGGGGTAATAAGTGTGCTCTTAATTGTTTATATCTTATTTCACCTTACTTTGTCCTTTTGTGATCTTCTTCAGAGAAGCAGTTCTTCAGAGTCCCATCAAGATGAGACGTTCAACCGCAAAGCTACCCTGCTGAAGAGTTTGTCTGTTGTGCTTTGCTGCAGCCCAGTCTGTGAAAAACAGTGTCTGTTTGCCCTTTTCCAGTCCTACAAGGAGAACAATATCGAGGAGCAGCTCATCAAAAAGGTGACTGTGTTGAAACCTGGAAGCAGTTTGATTAAACAATCTGAGACTTTAACTAACTAAGGCTGGGCGATAAAACAATAACATAATATATCAAAAATTAATTTCCCTCGATAATGATATGAAACATGGTCAATATGCTTTTTGATGGTCGGCATTCTGTAATGTTTTGGAAGACTATAAGAATAGCCAATGAAAAGGGGAGTTGCTCCAGGTCTGCACCGCGCTGATCCAATCATGTGCTGAATTAGAATCAAGTAGCAAACAACTGCGTAGTAGCAGGCTGCAGCTGCATGCAACCATAGCACTTGAAGAAGAAAAAAAAGAGTGCTACCCCCCGGCAAAAATGCATACACAAAAGGATTAGGGCCACAAGATTCAAAAAAGAAAAAAATAATTACAGGAAGATTTTTTAAAATTTACATTAAAAAAAAAGTCGAAACTTTCAACATTTTTCATGTCGACTTTAATGCCGAAATTTTGACTTTAATCTTAAAGTTATTTTTATTATTTTAAAAAATTTTGACAATATTCACGACATTTCAAAATTCTGTAACACTTTAATCTCAAAATGTCAATTTCTAATCTCAAAATTTCGACTGTGACATAATTTCAATTTTTTTTTTTTTTTAATCTCAAAATTTGGACTTTAATCTCTTTCATGTAATTACTTTTTTTCTATTCATGTGGCCATAACCCTATTTCGTAATAATCATTGTCAACAACACTGGCACAGAAACATCGGTGGTGTGGAGGTATTTTGTTTTTTTTTAAGGTCGGACATGAAGCAGAGTAATGTGCATTGCAAATTATGTCGAGTACATGTTAAGTTTCATTTAAGAGTAATGGGGAACATTTAAGATCGACAAAGGATTCTTTTATACCGTGATAAATATTGATATCAACTGATATGAAAAAAACATATCGTGATAAACTTTCCCCCCAATCGCCCAGCCCTACTTGTGACATAATTGATCGTTGGCAGTGCAGATTGAAATGAACCATTTCTGCTTCTTCACAGATGTTGTGTGGTATATCCACATCCCTTGGCTACAAAAGTGTGAAAACATTCGTCAGCTCCCACTTGTACTACTTGGTGGCTGAGTGGCTGGCGCAGAGACAATCCGACGACCGCTACACTCTTGGGTCTTTTCCTTTCACTCTCTTAGACCACGACACAGTCAACAATTTTTACAGGCAAAGAAACCCTCTTTTTGTTCTTATTTATGAAATAATCTCACAAATACATGAAAGAAAGAAAGGACTGATTATTATATCATCTCTATTGCCCTGTCCCTGTGTAGCTCTTCATACCAGGTACTAATCCCCCACCTGGTCTTCCTGGATGACTTTGAAGGGGTGAAGTCAATCGGAAGGTGTCTTGTGAAGGACTGGAAAGAGCTGTTGGCTGATTGTTTCCCCAAGATCATGGTCAACATCTTGCCTTACTTTGCCCTGCCTGGCCAGGATCCTCAGGTCGCACAGCAGAGAGAAAAAGCCCACAGAGTCTACGACCTACTTAAAGACCCCAACTGTCTGGGAAAACAGGTGAACTTCTGTCTACATCTAAGCATATAGTTAGACCTGGGGCTTATAATTTGATATATAAAACATCCAAAGTCAAAAGAAAGTCGTAAACATTCAAATTGGTTAAATGAGACTGCTTTTGTAAGGTTTTGATCATGTTATGTAGGAAAACTTTTGATTGAGGCTTTGTGCACGATTATTAAATAATAAAAAAGCTGCTGTCAAGCAACCTGGGTCAAGATGCAGTATTTTGGTAGTTAGTTTTCATCGCAAACTGACATGTCCTTTCTTATGTTTGTGCATGTCCGCAGCAAATCGACAACCTCATCCACAGTAACCTAGCTGACATAGTGGTGGAGCTGCTGATGACCCTGTATGAGGCGAGCGGAGCTGAAGGGGACAGAGGAGACCTGAAAAACTTTATCGGGTAAATGCAGTTGAGATACACCACTAAGGGCCTAATTTACTCAGACTCCACAGAATAAATACTAATTTGCATGTACATCCCATCAAATTGCATGTTTTGGAGGTAAGAAAATCTGGGGGTAACATCAAGTGCAAAGACTGTGTAGGTGGCAGTATTTAGATCAGGTTTTGTGTGTTTAATGCTTGTATGCCATGAAAAGTTTGAACAGAGAGAAAAACTGACAGCAGGTGCAAAATGAAATTCAGCAACAGAGATAGAAGTGAGAGAAGAAAAATAATCAAAAGCTAAAACTAAGATATCAAATATTACAAAAAAAGAACATGTTGTAGAAGTGAAAGCAAAAGCCGTTAGTAGGGGTGGGAGAAAAAAACGAAACAGCGTTGTATCGTGATATTTTGTCTGTTGATACATTGTATCGTCTCATTTACCAAGTATCGATTTTTCAAATTAATTGCTAATATGAAGTCAAATTTATGATAATGGGAAAAATAAAACCAACTGTTTGTCCTGTGAGGTTGGCAGGGGTGACATCATAGAGCAAGAGAAAGTTAGTGCAATAAATATGTAAATAAGGTTTGCGAGATGTGCTACATGAAAATAAAATACTGTGAATAAGTAAATAAGACAAACAAATGCTAAATTGGCTAAACATTTGAAAAAATTGTATAAATCTCAATATGTGGTGTCACAATACTCACTGTATTGCAAAATGTTAAAAATCGCAATAATATCGTATTGTGGCCCAAGTATCGTGATAATATCATATCGTGGAGCCACTAGTGATTCCCACCCCTAGCTGTCAGTGACAAAGAGATCAGAAGATGAAATCTAGAAAACCAGAGAAAACTGTCTTGTAATAAAACCACAGGAACAAAACAAGTCATCCCTGAAAGAAAATAGTGTTTGACTGAAAAACTTTTTGATTCCATTCAGGGAACTTGACCCAGCTCCGAACCCTCCATACTTCAGCTCTCATGTCATCAAAGCAACACTGGACTATCTTAGCAAGTGCCACAGTACAAACCACAAGTCTTTGGTCGCCATTCTGTCAAAAACTCCGGTAAGAGGTTTGAGTCATCACACTGATCAACTTCCTGTCACATCTGTTATTGAATGGTTTCTTGTACTAAGTCATTCATTTACCTGTGTTCTCTTTGTCCTCTGAAATCTCCTTTTATTTTGCCGTAGAGCTCCTTTCAGAAGGTTCTGCTGGCGTTGTGTGAAAAAGCGGTGCAGACAACCAACAGCTATGAGCGCCACCGCATCCTCCTCATGTATCACCTGTTTGTCAGTCTGCTACTCAAAGAGGTGAAAGACGGCCTGGGAGGAGCTTGGGCTTTTGTCCTTAGAGACGTCATCTACACACTCATTCACCATATCAACTGCAGGTAGGCGCACCTGTACTTCACACATTTTCACCACGCTGTAGTCATCCAGAGTGGGGTCATTTATATCTCTCTCAAACCCCAGACCAGCGCTGTGTGATGAGGTTTCGATCAGAAGTGTCTCTCTGTGCTGCAACCTGTTGACCTCTGTGTGTGGGGCCGCGCTGCAGTTCTGTGACGACGCTCTGGACTGCCACCTACAGGTTATCATCGGGACTCTCACAACTCAGGTCAAAAGTCAGCCTGCAATCTCACAGCAGGTAAAAGAGCTATTTCACAAGTTAGTTGGTTATGTGTAAATTATGTTAGAATACAGAAATGCTTCATAAATATATTTGCAGTATTTGGTCATACTTAAACATTATTTTACATCATTTTAAAAAGTTAACAGTTGTTTAAATGTAGAAATTGATTGGTGACATATTAGATTATGTCAGTATACTTCTTAATAGCAAATTTCATCTGCCTGTTTCTAACATTTGTAACCTATTCCTTTTTCTTCCATGTCTTCTTCAGGCACTCAGTCTTTTGCAGTTCCTTGTGATTGACAATAAGCAGAAGTTAAAAGAAGCTATCAAAAGGTTAGAGCCTTTTCCTGACCTCCCTGAATTCAGAGAGCTGCGGTCTGTGCAGCATCTACTTAAATACAACTCTGGGATCTTTACGCTCCAACAGGTAATGCTTCATCTGAAGTCTGAGCAATAGTGTTATGTGTTTTCAGGAATATTTTTGCAACGGATAGATGTATTTTATTCCTAAGTGAATTTAAGGGTGGATGTGATTGGTGTAATGGTTTGGCACAGTATTCAGTTTGGGACCCCGTTTGGCCTGGTGGTTTAGTGTACCCCTTAAACAGATGTTATAGATCTGGTTTGACCACCAGCCACTCCCTTTGCTGCATGTCAGAGCTCCACAGTGCGATTGTTTCACTCATATTTGCGACTAAAAATAGATGTGTGCGAATAGTAAAATGTATTAAGGGGCACATGTGCCCACAAAAATAAAATCAGCCGAGGCGACAAATGTTTTTTCATGTAATAAATACCGCTGCAAAGCTAGTTTTAGGTTGGATATTCAATGGACAAATCTAAATCTAAATCTACTCGGCATCCTCGCTGTCAACATCAGGTGTTGAATAAGGGACCATCAATAAATTACTGGTTGATGTTCTCAAAAAGGCTGTTTTCCTTCAATAGCTTCCATCTCATGCGACCAATTGACCTAAAATTGATTTCAAATAATAGTACTAAGGTACAATAAGAGTACAATAAGACACACTCTCTATTTCCCTAATTTGTCCTCTAAAAATTTTTGTGTTAAATTTAAAGGCAAATTTTGAACATTTTCTTTAATAGCTTCCATGTTAGGTGACCAAAAGACTTAAAATTGATTTCAAATAATAGTACTTATAAGACAAACCTTATTTGATCAATTTTCATTGTGCCCCTAAAGTTCTTTGTGTGCCCCTTACTTTTACCACAGGGAGCACATATGCTCCCTGTAAAAAAATAAAGTTTGTGTCGCCCTGCATGTTGTACCTCGCTCTCCAGTTCCCTCATTTCCTGTCTCTCTTCAGCTGTTCATTTAAAAAAATATATTAAATTCATAGCTTTACTGAATCTTATACTTCTCTCTATAACAGGAGATATCCCATTTTCTGTCTGTGACATCCTCTGACTGCTTACCTCTAACCAGACTGGAAGGTCTGAAAGAGCTGACTAGACAGCTGCATAACAACAGGGCTCAGATCCGGGAGCTGCTCAAAGAGTGTCATGGTGAAATGCCACATAAAGAAAATGCATGGAGTTTCTATTTTTTTCAAGTTGTTTTATGAGTTGAGTTCTTGATGTTGTCTCTTGTTGTCTTACATGTAGCTGACCCCACTGGCAGTCTGCTGTCTGAGCTGGTTCTCAGGTTGCTGCAGCTCTGCAAGCATGCTGCCAACCACCCGGGTGGAGTCGAGATTCTTGGTATATGATCATACAGCTCCTTTTCGATGTATGGACTGCTTCATGTTTTCATTTTAACAAACAAACATATTCTCTCACAGAGGCAGCAGGCAGTTGTTTAGGCGAACTGGGCCCTGTTGATTTCTCCACCATCGCCTTGTTCCATGGAAGTGACCCCCTCTATGAAAAGGCTGCGTCTCTTTTCACCTCCACTGAGTCACAGTGTCTCTACATTGTTCTCAACTGCATGGATGATGCTCTGACCCAACAGCGGTAAGGCAACTCAAGTTGTAGAGTTTAATGACAATTTAGGCGTGAGAAGTTCGCATTAATCATTTTAATGTGTTTTGCTGTTTTTCTCAGTATTGAGGAGAAACAGGCAGCTACTCAATGTGTGAAGAACATCCTCGCCACTCAGTCTGGACTTGACTTCTGGGATGAATACAAAAACAATGGAGACCCCATGTTAGCCTACCTCAATCCTTTCAGAAAGGCCAAAAAGAAGGTAGCTTCAAAATGCTGTTAAATGTCTGCACCACTGGGTCCACGCTCTTCTTACTGACTGTTGTTCATGAATAGGTGGCAGCTGTGTCAGCCAAGGAGAGTTCAGATGCCATGGAGAAGCTGGAGTGTCAGGAGTTTTGGATACCCCAGGCAGGTGGTCACAAAGCGTGGTTAAAGGCTTTGTGCAGAGCCCTGCTTGACAGCGGAGGGGTCAAGGGTGAAGTTCTTCTGCTCTCACAACCCCTGTGTGAAGTGAGTGATCTAAGGTTGCCTCAAGAAACATTCTTAGATTGATCATCTCATCAGTGCTTCGCTTTGATCCATTTTCACTTGAGTTTATCTAATTAGAGCAGCGATCATTAATCAACATGTAGCAGCATGCATCAGTGTGAAATGTGCTAGATTTAACAAAATTGCCACATTTCATTTTTAGTCATATTTATATTGAGTAGAAAACAAGTAACACAATTCTAAAGCATCTCACAAGACAGTTCACCTAAGGATAGTCGATATGGGCTAAAAGATTTATAACAACAAGTTTTACCACCCTGGTGATAACGATAAAAGTCCTGATAAAAAATATTATAATTCCAATCCATGTTTTTGACTCATTCTGTCTTGAAAAACCCACAGTCATTGTTCTTGGATGGCACTTACCAGTAAATATATATTTAGATAAAATACTTAACCATAAGTTTAAGTGGTAGGTTATTGAGAAAAATAGTGACATCAGTTAAGTCTGAAATGTGAAAATAAACACCCTGATTTGAGCTGATGATCTGCACCAGGATTTTTGTTCCTTTGTAAAACATAGTCTTCCTTTTAAAACCTTAAAAACATGACAAATACGAGCAAAAAGTTTGAAAACTGTCCATGTTTGAAATATTCTATGTGCAATTGAGATTGCAATAATGGAAATTTAGAAGTTTCTTTTCTGAAATTTTTACCATACTCTTGAAGAGAGACTTGATGGATTGAAGAATTAGGTCCTCCAATTTCATCCTCCAATCTAGATTTAACTTCAACCAATTTCCTCCATCTGTTCCAGGTGAGGGTGGACTGCTGTCAGAGGCTGCTGCCCCTCATCATTCACTCCATCCTTCTGGATGACTCGAATGGGTCATGGAGGGAGCTGCTCTCTTCCCATATTCAGCAGTTCTTCAGCTTTTGTTCCAGAAATGCTCATGTCTCCAGTCGGCCTGCCACGCCTTTTATATCTAATTCTGGTAAGTTGTTAAGCATGATGCATGCTAAACAATCCTGTGTACTAGTTGCACCGAAAGGTGGTCACAGAGAGTTTTTTTGGGGTGGCCCAGAGGAAAAGTTTAAGCTGTCCTCCAATGTAAAAAGTTCAATTTCTACAACATGTAATTTCTACGTAACTGAAGTTCTTTCTCTTACAGTTTGCTTTTACTGTCCTGGTACTGATATTTGTAGCTGTGAAATATGGAAAAACAAGCTCATACCACTCTGCTTGTCTTTGTCGGCTCAAATTGAGGAGTTTTTTCAAACCATAACAAACCAGTTAGATATTGTAGCAACTGCTTTCCTTCCACAAAAGGCCGCTTGGAGTTTTAAGTGTGCTTGCATCTGTCACTCCTTCATCCCTTCCATTATTCAAAAAGGAGAGAATACTCACTGCCCAATACTGATTCACTTCCAAAATTTTGCCTTCAAATGAAAGGTGATATGATGGAATGAGGGTGTGAGTAAAAACGGTCAACAGAAAATGATCAGAGCTCACTCAAAACCATTGTCTCTGACTAGACCAGTGTTTCGAAATAAAAACCTAAAACACCACAAAACCACACCCCTAAGTGTTGATCCCAGAAGCAACATACTTATTAGAAATATCAAAACCTCAACAGATATATTTTGGCTCCTACAGATATTTTTACCAGATATTTTTCTCTCAATGTCTATTTATGTGCTGAGATGGTAGAAAAGCTGTTATGAAGTGGTGCTCGAGACATGCCTTTGTATCAAGCATGCTTTGGCACCATCAATCATAACACCTCTCAGCATATACTGGTTACAGTATAATGGTCACAGTGGTGTGCAGGATATTTTTACCAAACAGTATTTCACTGTTTTCTCTCAATGTCTATTTATGTCACAGCTTTAATTGTGCGTTTTTTCAGTGAAAGAAAACTGTTATGTGACAAGTTTTTATATTCTTTACAGAGTCAGACAGTACCAGCCACCACTTGTATGACAAAACCTCTCTGCACACCATGCTTGCTGTTATTGACTTTTTGAGACACCAACAGAGGGACATTAATGCTGACAGGTTTGCTGTTTCATTTAACTGTTTGGGAAGTGTGCATTTTTGGTTTGGCTTCCTATTTGAATGTGAGTGTGTTCATTCATCTTGACTTAAACAATGCATGTGGAAGAAACTCTCTGCCCTCTTCCAGCAGCTCCGGCGGCACAGTCTGTGATTCAAACTTCTGGCTGGAGCTGAACTACCTAGAGGTCGCGAAAGCCGCTCAGTCCTGCTCAGCCCATTTCACTGCTCTGCTGTACACTGAGATCTACGTTGATAAGATCAAAGCTGATATGGAGGAAAGCCGCAGGTATGCAGAGAGTTGCAAGATTTCATGGTTAAATTTTCTTTATCGAGGAAATCAAAAACATAATTCAGTACATGTAATGACCAAATCTGCAGAACCAAGTCCAGGGCAACATGCAGGATCAGGTTTGAAGAGGATAGCCAGAATTTCACCATCTCAAGTTTGACTGGGAAGAGTATGGAGGACACCAAAATCAGTCTGCAGGTCAGTCTCTGTCATGCATTATTTTGCCTTTGAACTTTGTATCTAGATCTAGCTGCATGAACAAGAATTAGCACATGGATTTGAGTTTTTTTTTGTTTTTGTTTAAGTGCTTATTCTCCACAATAATCAAAATACAATTTAGCATAATTCTGCCTTGTTAGAGCCGGATATCTAACAATGAGCTGAGGGGAAAACTAGTTGGGAGGAGTAGTGTTTACATTCAAGATTTCTCCCAAAAATGGTCACTTCCTCAAATCCTGCCTACCCCACCTTTAAATTAAGTCCACAAATTCAAGAGTTAAAATAGTATATTTACAAATTGGTTTGTGATTTATGAAAGATTAACAAACAACACAATGTCTGACACAACCTGATTTTTCCTCCTGTAGGAACTTCTGATTGAGGTGTATCGCAGCATTGGAGAGCCTGACAGTCTGTACGGCTGTGGGGGGGAGACGATGACTAGTCCATTAACTAGGTAATCAATTTTTCTGATTACCGCTGTCAAACATCATGTTCATTGCAACGTGATTGCTCTTTCCCTGCTGTGGTCAGTTATTATTCGACATTCAAACTTTTTTGTCCCATTAATCTGCAGGATACGAACATATGAGCATGAGGCCATGTGGGGGAAAGCTTTGACATCCTACGATCTCTACTGCTCACTGCCGGATGATGTGCGACAAGTGGGAATTGTGGAGGTAAATGACAAGGCTGCTGCGCCTATTGATTAAAAAAAACACCTATTTGTTTAAACCACGGAGAAGAGTTTTGTTTACTTTCTGAGACTTTACAGCCTTTTCACATGTCCTTCTGTCACACCCACAGAGCCTGCAGAACTTTGGTCTGAGCAGCATCCTCACCACCTACATGAGAGGTCTGGAGAGCGAAGGGGTTGAGTGGGGAGCTGGGCTGAGAGAGCTGCGCTTTCAGGCTGCCTGGAGGAACATGCAGTGGGATTGTGAGCTGTCAGAGAGGTGAGGCAAAGCTGAGTGGTCAGTGTGTGATACAGAAACCACAAATGTGTCATCACATCTGTGATTTTTAAGGAATCTCTCGACACATACCACTTTTTTTCCCTCCTCAAAGTTGTATTTGTTGTTTCAGGAGTGATAGCTCCAAACCAGGCTTCCATGAATCAGTGTTTTGTTCTCTGCAAGCACTGAGGGACAAAGAGTTCTCAATATTTGATGAAACTATGAAGCAGGCCAGGTATAGTAGACAATAAGATACTTAAGTTTAAATTTCAGTCTAATTCTGCATCAGCAAATGAAGCATCCGTATCTGTACTTGCATGTTTCCATAGGGTTGCACAGGTGGAGGAACTGTGCAGAGGAAGCCTGGAAGCTGTTTCATCTCTGTACCCCGCTCTCAGGAACCTCCAGAGCATCAGGGAGCTGGAGAGTGTAAAACAGCTTTTTACCAGGTGATAACAGCGCAGTCACAGTTATAGTCATTGTCTTAGGAAAGAGTCTTAAGGACTCACTGAATTTTAAAGGCAGTAAAGTGTCGTTCTCTGTAATCCTTTATTAAATGTTATGTATACTCTTTACACCAGGCCCTTTTCAGATGTAACTTTGAGCGAGGTTTGCAGCCAGTGGCAGCAGCACTCAAAGCTGCTTCTTGACAGTGACTTCTCTCTGGTTGAACCCATTCTTGCCACCCGCTCTGTTGCCCAGCATACCCTAATGTGCAGGGTCGGTGACCTGGACGGCACTAAGCACCTCAGCTCTTTGCTCTTCAACCACCTCATGGAACTCTGCCAGCTTGCTCGCAAGGCTGGGAATACACAGGTACTGCAAATGTGTGTGTGTGTGTGAGTGTGTGTGTGTGTGGTCCAATAATGAGCAGTGCTTATTTAAATGGTCAGAAATTATGAGGTTCTCACAGATTCAAGATTTCTGTCTAGATGGCAGAGCGTGCAGTCTTCCAAATGAAGCAGCAAGGTACTGGAGGGTCTTTGTTGTCGTCCTTTGGGTTGTCATCGCAACTGGAGGAAGCCCAGGTGTTCTGGGCAAAGGGGGAGCAAGGACTGGCAATGGGCTTGTTGAGACAGATGATACACAACCTAGAGGACAAGGTAAGGCACAAACACACGACTTGTACCAAATGACTCTTGAGGTTATTGTGTATAATAGGATAAAATAATCATGTATAACATGATGTCCAATTCTTTTTTTGTTCACTGTGTAGAGCTGTTTTAGTTTTTCATAGCTGTTTCTCACATTTTTTCACTTTTTGTAAATAACATTTTTTGTATAAGTGTGAAATATCAACTAACTATCTGCGCGCATGATGAGCGTACTTTTTCTTCTGTGTTTGTTATACTAATCCTTTGCTGCTGTTAACACTGCCAATTTCCCCACTGAAGGATGAATGAAGGCTTATCTTATCTTATCTGAAATTAACTGAACCTAACTTAACTGAACTAAACTTGATTTATGTGAACTCACACTTACACTTAGAATTAACTGGTCACCAGAAATTTTGAGACAGCTGCCTTTACACGCATGTGAACTTAGATGCCATCCCGATTTTAATCAGTAGGATTTATTATGGAATTGGGGAACCTATAGGGAATCTATGTACCCAAAACTTATAGTTAAAATGCCATAATTTTCTAAACATCATCATCTTCCTCATTATTCATCTCATCCCCCAAAATAAATACAGTCCAACAAGTAAGGGTTTTCACTTTTTTTACAGATGGACATGAATCCTGCCCTGGTCCCGGTCTACACAGCGTGCCTTAGGTTGTGTGGTAACTGGCTTGCGGAGACCTGTCTGGAAAGCCCTGGTGTAATTCTGGAGAAATACCTTGAGAGGGTAGGAGGAAGTTAAGAGATTGTTGGCTAGTTTTCAAGTTATTTATCAAGCCTATTTGTGGGCGAAGTTATTTTAGCAGATTCATGCAAAATATAACAAAGTTTAAGAAATAAGTCTGTGGAGTGGTGGGTGGTCAGGGAATTAATCCTGGGTCCATGCTGAAGTGCAAGACACTTCATTGTCTATCTATGAATTGACACATTTAGAGTAGTCCCAACAACATATATATCAAGCTCTAAAAGCAGATGCCTATGTTAATTGTAAGACCTGTATACGTTAACAGAGTATGTGTTGTTTTGTAGTTTCTTAAAGTATCATGAACTTTGTAAGTGTATTTCTCAGAACTAGATCTCTGCTTTGCTTTCAGTGTTATTTTGACTCAAACATCCTTCAGTTCTGTCATTTGTTGGCTTTAAGATACACCACAGTCCTGTTTGTGTTGTTCTCTCAGGCAGTGGAAGTGATTGAGGGAGAGTCAGGAGACTCAAGACTGGAAGCTCAGCGGACAGAGGCCTTCCTGTCTTTGGCACGCTTCTCTGATGCTCAGTACCAGAGCATTGACAAATACATGAACTCCTCCGAGTTTGAGAACAAGCAGGCACTGCTGGAGAAGGCCAAAGAAGAAATGGACTTGATAAGAGAGCGTAAAGTGACATCCAACAGGTCTGCACTCTTTTAATAAGTTTTCTTTTTCTACATTCCTGACTTTAGAGTCGGGAATTAGCCCCTATAAAAAGAGTACAAAAATAATTGAAGTGATGAAATAAAAGAAACCTCTATATCTCCTCACAGGTACACAATAAAGGTGCAGAGAGAGCTAGAGTTGGATGAGAAGGCCTTATCCAACCTGCAGGCAGACAGGCAGCGTTTCCTGTGTAAGGCAGTAAAGAATTATATCCAGTGTCTGGAGCAAGGTGAGGAGCACGACACCTGGGTGTTCCGCCTGGCTTCACTTTGGCTGGAGAACGCTGATGTTGAGGACATAAACGTCATGATGAAGGTGACTGAAGTTGCACATGATGGTGCTTATTTATTTTTAAGTTTGAGATAAAAGTCAATTTTAAGTTGATTTCAATGCAGTTAGATTTCATCTCATTTTGTGTTTTTTATTTTTTTAGAAAGGGGTGAAGCAAATACCGTCCTTCAAGTTCCTACCGCTCATGTATCAGCTGGCCGCTCGCATGGGAACTAAGATGACATCTGGCGTCACGGAGGAAACAAGCTTCCATGAAGTCCTCAGTGAAGTACTAAGAAAAACTTTGAAATAAGAAATCTGTAAAAATTAATGTCATGCAGCTTTTCACAACTGGCGTCTCTTGGTCAGTTTTTGTACGGAGAAATCGATCCAATAAGCTTGACTTTATTCACAAAAAGTTCAGGAGTGATTACATCAATGCATTTTTCAGAGCTTGTGCGACAATTGTGTCTGTCCTTCCAGCTGATCTGCAGAACATCTCTGGAGCACCCCCACCACACGCTCTTCATCATCTTTGCCCTGATCAATGCCAACAAAGATGAAAACTTTTGCAAATCCCGGCTGTCGAAGAACTCATCAGGACAGCGTTCCCAATTTGACCTGGTCAGACTGATCTGTAAAGTTTTTGTGAAATTTTAATTTTTAACGTATATATTATTGAGATTGATATATATATATACTGTATTTCAGACCTTGTGTTGATATGGAAAGGCAGATACGTATACGGCCAATGAACAAACAACAAATACTTCTTAATGTTGCAAAACACAAGTACCCCTGAGTTGTGTAGTTCTGACCCAAAAACTGAGGTTTGATTTTTAGGCTAAGGGCTGCGTACATTTGATATCTGATAATTAATCATTTTTCTGTGGTGAAGAGGGTACAGCAAAGGAGGAGAAGTGAATCCATCTTTGACTTTTTTAAGCATAATCCGGTGTGAGTTGCTGTTTTTTTGTTTGTGTTTGTTTGTGCAGGAGCGTTCAGATGTGGCCCAAAAAATTATTCAAAAGATCAAGAAAGAGAGAAAAGAGATGATCAGGGGGATTGAACGTCTGTGCGACGCCTACATCACTCTGGCTTACATGGATGCGAGCAAGCACAAGACGGAGAAGCGTGAGTCCAGCTAGACTCAGTGATGAATATTAACAGTTTCATTTCACAGATTTAAATACGATTTATCTTTGAGGTTACATTATTAGAATTTCAAAACTCATTCATAGTCCTAACAGCCACTCACCTGGTAAATAAACACCTTTCTGTCATTAGTTAGCTTGACAGTCATCCTTTTGTGTCTTTGTGTCATAAACAGGGGCAATTCCCATCCCTGCTGACCAGCCCATCATGAAAATCAAAGACCTCGATGAAGTTGTTATCCCCACAATGGAGATAAAGGTGAACATTGATTGAACTTCCCTTATTGCTGTGTGTTAGTTAGACGTGATTAGATCCCAATGGAGAGATGAATGTATTATTCATTAATTTCAGTTTTTCGTTTTTGTTTTTTGACTTAAAAGAATCATAGGTTTGTTTCTCTGGAAATGAATTTCAACAAAAATCGTTTTTATGTCTTCATTTTTAATGCCAAAACCACATAGATCTAAACTTTACGCCAGTTGTTTGGAAGGCTGGCCATTTTTATTAAAATAAGATAAATTAATAAACAAGTCTAAAAGAACTAAAACAAGTTTTCCTGCATCAACAAATCATTGAGCACTCATAGCAGTGCAGTCTTCATGCGGTGCTTTGCCCTAAACTCAGACTGAAATTCACCATAAAGCTCATTTTTGTTTTAAAAAAGTGTTTTTCTTTTTTTTAGAAGTGTTAGAAAAGGAAGTTTGAAAATTTTCAGGGAGTTTGTGTCGAGTGAGGAATTTTTAGGAGCGCTTGAATTATTGCTTTTTTCGTATCAGTAGGAGCAGAACCAGTTGATAGTGATGTGTTTATTATGGTGAAGATATATGAGCTGATTGGATCTTTAAGAGATGTTACTAGCAAGATGTCAAGAGCACAGTGAAGAGACTTTTATTTTGTTAATCTTTTTTGTGTGGATATCAGTTAAAACACTGTCATAGCACAAAAAAATGGTTTTAAGAGAAACACTTTAATCTTGGGTAGGAGTGATAATATGTTGATTATTTTGGTGTTGTCCCACATGAAATATTGGAGTCTGTTTGACACGTTTGTTTTAAATTTCTTTTTTGTTGTGTACGAAGGTGGATCCATCTGGTTGCTATGACAACCTTGTGACTATCAAATCCTTCCAACCCCACTATCACCTTGCCGGAGGAGTTAACCTGCCTAAGATCATAGACTGTGTCGGCTCAGACGGCAAGAGCAGGAGACAGCTAGTGAAGGTGGGTGTTTTTGTTTGTGTTACAAGTTTGTCTTCGATACTTTGAGTTTGTGAGCTTGACTTTATTTCACAAACAAAGACTTTTTTTTTTTCTCCGCTGCCTCTCACCTGAACAATAGCCCTCTCTTTGATGTGGAGCATGGCATGCGTATTTCAACTCTGAGCAGCTTAAGGTCTTTTCACTCCAATGTGACTCTTGCTAATGATTAATCTTATTGTTGTATCAGGACAAATACAGAGATTTTTGTTTAGATTACAAGACATCCTTCACAAGACTGTGCGTGTGTTTTTGTGTACACAAGAACACTTTTGAGACTATTGAAAGCTAATCATTAAACTTTTTGACACTTCAAAGAGTCACGGTGAGAAATCAAGAAAGCTTTTAAAGACCAGTACATCAGCTGAGTTTAGACTAAGCTTGAGTGTGTGTGGCGTATGTTTAAAAATGAAGGATCAGATCTAATGGAGGATTTAAATGAGAGCGAACAAGATATCTAACATCACTGCCATTGTGTTTTAAATGCTCTCCTATGGCTCTCCTGTGTTAAAATGGTTATACGGATTCTATAATTTCTATGTTAAATTTGTAAAAGACAATATATAACTTAGTTGAGGAATAAGCTTCTCCATATTCTCTGGTTGCTATTCTTTCTTTCATTTTGTTGTTTTTTTCACTTTTTCCTCTAAATAAACGGTAGGGTCAGGATGACTTGCGGCAGGACGCGGTCATGCAGCAGGTCTTCAGCATGTGTTCCATGTTGCTGCAGCGCAACACAGACACTCGCAAGAGGAAGCTCAACATCAGACGATACAAGGCAAGACACATTGACTAACTATGCATCTGTTGCTTTAACGGATCTCTGTCAATAAAAGCTTTTCTTTATGGTTTGAAGAGAATAATAAATCAAGAATAGGTTGGTTTCTCATTTAATCTTTGTGTATTTGACTTTGAATTACCGGCAAATTATCATCCTCGTCAAAGTTTTTAAAATAAAAAGCACTAAATCTTGAATCACTGCTTTTAACCAACTATTTTCATCACTCCAGGTGGTGCCATTCTCACAGCGTAGCGGCGTGTTAGAGTGGTGCTCAGGTACGCTGCCTATTGGGCAGTTTCTGGTGGATCAAAATAAAGGAGCACACAAAAGGTTCAGACCACAAGACTGGACTCCCCTCGCCTGCCGCAAGAAGATGATGGTAACTGTCTTTTTATTTTGAGCTGGTTTGATCAGATGGTCCTCGCTGCACAACTACAGAGCCAGATATTGCAACAACTAAAACCTTGTCTTGTAAATCAACTGCCATGCTGCTTTTACAGGAAGCCCAAAGACTTGGATTTGATGATAAGCTCCACGCCTACCATGTGGTATGCAAGAACTTCAGGCCGGTCTTCAGGTATTTCTGTATGGAACGCTTCCTGGACCCTGCAGTGTGGATGGAGAAACGTCTGGCTTACACTCGCAGTGTGGCCACCTCCTCTATAGGTACAGACAGGTGCATGTTTACCCCAGATCCTTGGTGTGAACACAGAGCAGTATATAACAGTTGTACGCTAATTCTTAAAGTCAGTTTCAAATTTAAAAAAAGGGTTTTTGGTAGTTAAGTGTGTGGTTGGTTGAAAAAAGAGGATGCAGAACCGCTAAACTGAGAAAAGTTTAATTTTGTGTTTCTAGTGCAAGTCTAAAGTTTATGTTGATTATGTGCAAGGTCCTCGATGAGCGATTTAATTATTCATCTGAAGCAGTTATGAAGAGCATGCCATTTCATTAAATCATAAAAGAACAAAGGGATATTAAATCTGACATGATTTAGAGACTGCAAAGGAAGATGGCTAACTTTTCTGATGTTTTTTTTTGTCTGCAGTCGGTTACATCGTGGGCCTGGGCGACAGACACATCCAGAATATTCTGATTGATGAGCAGACAGCAGAGCTGGTGCATATTGATTTAGGTAAAATCAAATTTAAGATATGTCCTCATCACTAAAGAAATAATGAAAAGTCCTCATCACTAAAGAAACCCTGGAGTTGAGCTTTTGTAAATCTAGTAAACGAGATGAATTAAAAAGGGTTCATTGGCTCTTAGTACACTACCAAACCTATCTGCGGGCTTTCCAAATCAGTCTTTCTATCTTCACAGTGCTTTAAGTCAGTCTGCTAATGTCCTGTTTGAATATGATACAAGTATCCACTCATGTCATCATACGATGCAGCTTGTGTAATTGGCAGTATGTTTTGTTTTCTTTGCATGCTTTTGATGATCAGGTGTGGCTTTTGAGCAGGGGAAGATCCTCCCCACCCCTGAGACCGTCCCCTTCAGACTGTCCAGAGACATTGTGGATGGAATGGGCATCACAGGAGTGGAGGGAGTTTTTAGGAGGTGCAGAAAGGTCCTAGTTTCTGGGAAAATTTGAACAACTTTTTTACCTCTGATCTATTTAAACACAATCATGGTAACAAAATAATGCAAGAATAGTATATATATACTTAATAACTCCTGAAAATGTGACAAAACATGCCACTTATTCAAAGACTGAACTCTTTATTTCATTTTCATTACAACAATTTAAAAATCAACCTCAGGAAGAAGTTTTTAAAGCATCTCATTTTGTATTCTCTTTGTAAAACAAACAAATTCAAGTACGACTGACAGTCATCATCTGTGTAATGTGTAAAAACACACATTATACATGAAGTTGTGGATTTTTTTAGCTTTTTCGTTGCTTTAGTTGTTAAATTCAGACTCTTTGTTTGGGGTCAGATGTTGTGAGAAGACCATGGAGGTGATGAGAAATTCTCAGGAAGCTCTGCTGACGATTGTCGAGGTAAGAACATTAATAGCGGCCCACAAACAACAAACAGCCCTGTAAATATCCAGCCTCATGTCATTCATTTGTATTTGTTTTAATGTAGGTGCTGCTGTATGACCCGTTATTTGACTGGACCATGAATCCTCTAAAGGCCTTCTGCCTCCAACGTGATGAACAGCCTGAGCTCAACGCAACACTCAGCTCCACTCTGGGGGGTGAAGACATGAACAACCTCCGTAAATCCAGGTATGTGTGTGTCTAGTATGTTTACGTGACGGTTTTTCTCTTTTACACTTCTGCCTCCTGACCATATACTTGTCATTCAGCAGTGACAGTCAGAGCTTCAATAAGGTGGCGGAGCGGGTGCTGCTGAGGTTGCAAGAGAAGCTGAAAGGGGTGGAGGAGGGCACAGTGCTCAGTTATGGGGGGCAAGTCAACCTGCTAATTCAACAAGCAATGGACCCCAAAAACCTAAGCAGACTCTTTCCAGGGTGGCAGGCTTGGGTGTAGACCTGGGAGAAGGTACACTAAAGGCAACAGAGTCATTGACGACTGTTATATTTCCATTATCCGTCTGGCCTGAAAATCAGTCCATTTTCAGGCCCTCATCTCTACCTGCTACAGAAATCTATTTCTACTCAAACTGTTAAGAAGTGTTGAATAAATACAATGGTTAAACTTCTATCTTCTATTATCATCACAGTAGTTTCACACATATACAACAATGTTACAGGCACTATCTAAAAATCCACAGGTCCAAAGCAAATATTAATTTTATATTATTTAAATTTCTGCTGCTTTGCATTTCAACCTTAAATGAAGTTATCTTAACAAATGCATTGAACGGTTCTTCCACAATGTAACAGGGAACTGTGAGTGTGTTTAAAGATACCATAAACTGTGATGGCCAAGGATGTCGGAGGACATGTTTACATGTAAAGTCAAGATGGTCTTTTGTCTGAAACTTATTCGTGTGAATGTTTTTTTGTTTTTGGCTGTTTTATTAAATGACAATGGCAATGAATAAAGCGCATTACCAATAATATGTGCCTATAAGTAAAAAAAAAAAAGGTAAATTCGCATTTACAAGCTGTTTGTTTTGGTTTATTTGTTTAAAAAAAAAAATCACACCATGCTGTAGGAGTGCCTTTAAAGCTTTTACAAACAAAGAACATGTACAAATTCCAAGGAAGAGTAAACCATTCACATGAAACAAAAGAAAGTCTGCCCTGTTTATAAATGAATGAGAGAAATATGTCATTAACTTTAATATGCTTCCATAGATTTCAACTATTAAACAGCACTTTTGTTTGAACTATGCTGGTTGTCTTTTTTTCTGCTTTCCTGTTCTGTCTAGTTTCAGTAATTCCTCAGTTGGCAAACTAAACTGATTAAGTGTTTTTTTTGTTGTTGTTGAATGTAACTGCGCTCATGGCATCTTATACAAAATGGCTCAAGTATTGAAGATTAATATGTTTGCTTTTATACAGTCTATGCAGTGTCGCGCCTTTCTTTTTCGTACTGACTGTGACGATTCTCAGTCCCTCGCTACACTCACAGATAAAAAGAAAGTTGGGTGTTTATACAAGATAACATTCCCTTTTGTACTTTCCGTGTACCGAGGAGAGAAACTTGAAACCAATGCCAATCAAGCATGAGGGGTGGCTGCACTTAGATTATACAAACCCTTTGTGTCATCACGGGTTAGTGTGAATTTCGAGGACAGAGCCGGGAAACGTGAAAGGTGAGACTGTAGACTTGAGGGATCTAGGTGGTAAATTGAATCGACGGTGACAGTTGTGCTCAGATCTCTGACCTATTTTTGAGATTGATGCCCGAGTCCTCACAGGAAGGCAGTTTTTCCACAACAATTTCAGAAATCCATTTACTCAACAGAAAATGGCCACCAATCCAGTAAGTTACTTTTCTATTTTATTTTCATGACCTTTACCTTAATACGATTGAAAGTATTGTTTATTCAGGACATGTCATAAAAGTGAAATATAGTTTAGTATAACGTCAATGATTCTAAATTTTAAAACTTCAGAATAATCATTTTATGTAGAAATATATTACAATCACTCAAAGTTGGCATTTTTTCTGATTTCAAATTGGAATTTAGAAAACAGACTTTAAAAAGAAACTTGTCAGCAATGGAAGCAGTCATATTGGACACTTAATTAACCAAAAGTGTCCCATCTGTTAAGTTAACAGGTTTTTTGATAATATTAGGATAGGTGAGTTTATCGATTTTGCACAGTTCATGATGACCTGGCAGTTTTTCTTAAAACCTCTGCTGATGTGGATGTTGGAGGTTTCCACAGAATCAGTTTACTTGTATGTCTATTCCAGGGATACAATATGATTTAAAATGCATTCAAGCAGGTTACTATGTGACTTTTAGGAGAAATACTAAAAATACCAAAAAGTTTCTGATGTAACTGAAGTACCACACCTTGTTAATTTAGGAAACGGAGCAGACTTTTATCGTATTAAAAACTGTGATCTTCGTGTAACTATTTTGTTTATGCATACAAAGGTTTTTTTGTGCTGAGTTTTGCATTAAATATTACTCAATCAGATTTTTTTTACCCACATAGATTAAATTATTACATTTCTTCATATTATGATACTTTACTCTCATCATTTATGCTTCAGTATCTGGACCCAGGTTCTTGGAAAATTCCTCCACCCAGCAGTTTAGATGTGAAGCCTCAGTATGTTCATCATCTGGAACCAAACCCTCCACCAGAGATCAGCCACTCCATACCTCAAAAGAAAGGTGCTCACATCATTTCCATTTCACTGATGAATACTGCAGACAAAAAACATTTTTTTAAGAACCATTATTTGTGAGATATATGTTCATGCATTGTTTTTTTTAATGATTCTTGTAAAAAAAAAAAAAACAGGATGTACAGTGGTGTGAAAAAGTGTTTGCCTCCTTCCTGATTTCTTATTTTTTGCATGTTTGTCACACTTAAATGTTTCAGATCAAAGTCAAAGACAACACAAGTGAACACAAAATGCAGTTTTTAAATGAAGGTTTTCATTATTAAGGGAGGAAAAAAAATCCAAACCTACACGGCCCTGTGTGAAAAAGTGATTGCTCTCCTTGTTAAAACATAACTTACCTGTGGTTTATCACACCTGAGTTCAATTTCTCTAGTCACACCCTGGCCTGATTACTGCCACACCTGTTCTCAATCGAGAAATCACTTAAATAGGACCTGCCTGACAACGTGAAGTGGACAAAAGATTCTCAAAAGCTAGACATCAAGCTGAGAGCTAAAGAAATTCAGGAACAAATGAGAGAGAAAGTAATTGAGATCTATCAGTCTGGAAAATGTTATAAAGCCATTTAAAGCATTTTGTGTTCACTTGTTGTCTTTTGACTGATTTCAATTTGTTTGATCTGTAACATTTAAGTGTGACAAACATGCAAAAAAATTAAGAAATCAGGAAGACCTTTTCTTTTTCTTTTCAAACACTTTTTTGCACCACTGTATAAAGTATTAATTTGCACATTGTTCAAAACAGTATACAAATAACTTTCAAGTAAACAAACCATTGAACTTTTCATAACGCTTCTGTTATATTAATTACCTCGTCATTTTAGTTTAAATCTTGTATAAACAGTAAACTAGCAAAACTCAAATCACAACTTCGATAGGTTTTGATGTCTACACTGTTACTCCTTCAATGTATTTGTGTTTGAAAGTTAGTGTCATACACCTACAGTGCAATATTGTCATCAATAGAGATGCATTCATGTAACTGTAGAGCATCTTTTTCATCTAAAAAAAGTTCATGAGTTTAAATTAAGAAAAAGCATAAGCTGAAAAAAGATTAGACATCACTCAGTGTGTGTGTGTGTGTGTCTGCGTGCGTGCATGTGCTTTCCTCACAGATGTAAAACAGAGGTGTGTAAATTACACTGTGGCTGCTGTGTTGAGCCTGCTACTCCTGCTCCTGCTGGCTGCCATTCTCCTTGGTTATTACTGTGAGTTCAAGATTTATCTCTGTAACGCTACTTATGTGGACTCGACCTAGAGTAAAAAAAAAAGAATGCACATACTGTGCACGGATTTACAGTAATTCATTCCACCTATTCTTGTGTGTCCTCCTGTGTCCTAGACTCCTCACCCTGTATGCACGGGAGGCGGTGTGGCAGTGAGGGCTGCGTGTGGGAGTCTCAGTGGTGTGATGGAGTGGTGGACTGTCCTGCAGGCCAAGATGAAGCGAACTGTGGTAAAGAGCTTATTTCTAATTTAGGGGACACATCTAGGAAAACTGTTGTTGTGTTCAGTACAAAGACATATAAGGGGCAGCTGTGACTCAGTAGTAGATTAGGTAGTCTCTCAATAGGAAGGTTGAAGGTTAGATCCCAGGTCCCACAAGTGTTCATAGGCAAGTCATCGATACTGTTCTGCCCCACTAGTTGTATCCATTGATGTCTTAATGAATACTGATAGTGCTTTGAATATCAGTGTGTGAATGTGGTGTGACAGGGTGAATCTGAACCGTGAAGTTAAAGTGCTTTGAGTGTTCAGAGGACTAGAGAAAGGGCTTCATATACATATTTTATATATATTGATTATTATTTCAGTTATTTTTTGGTGAGATTACATCAAATTTCTGTAACCCTTTTTTCAGTTGTGTTTTTATTGTATTCAAATTTTTAAAAAAGTCATTCATACAGTTTATGAACTTCATTTGAAAGACAATTCAAACTCAGATTAAAAAGCATCAAACTTGTCTTGCTTAAATATTTTCATTTCCCATGCTATATCACCCCACTTTATCTTTGTTCTACTACTTCACAAACTGTCTCTGTTGTTTGGGCTCAGTGAGGGTGTTTGGTTCAAGTTCCCTACTTCAGATCTACTCGACTCGGAGTCAAACCTGGAGGACAGTTTGCTCTCAGGGCTGGAGCGACATACAGGGTGGAGCAAGCTGCTTGCAAATTGGATACAGCAGGTAAGATGCTGAGATTAAAGATTTTAAATCTAAAGAATCAAATGTTTTAAATAAAGTTGTGCTCTTTTGTTGTTTGATTTGGAAGGGGAACATATTTCAAATCAGGTCACAAACAGGTCGACTCTGACAATGGATTTGCGATAGTGAAGTCCAACTTTAAGCCTGATGTATCTCTTCTGCAACAGTATGACCTGAGGTTAGTGATACACGAATAAACAGGTATAAATACGCAAATATTGATCAGCTATAGACCCAGATACATGTCAGTGTTTTTCCCTGCAGCAGTACATGTCCGAACAACAACGCAGTGACATTGCTTTGTACAGGTATGTAATTCAACAACATGGTAGCTTAATTTTTGTTTAAAAAGGACACATTACCAGGCCAACATCACAAGACTTAAGTTTTCAAAATACACTCTGGTTTTCCACTCTTTTACTATGCCCACAAAGGATTCTTACTGGGCTTGAATTGACTCATAAAATAGCCCTGTCACAAATATCCTCTCTCAATATCACAACATCAATTTCATCCACAGACTGTGGAGGAGGGATAAACTCAAGTAGAGCTACAAGGGGCCAACCTGCATCTCAGGGGTCCTGGCCATGGCAGGTCAGCATGCAGGTTGCAGGTTCCCACCGCTGTGGAGGAGCTGTCATCTCTCCCTACTGGATAGTCACTGCAGCTCACTGTGTCGCCAGGTGAGGCTGTGGCTCTTTGCATACTTCCAAAGCAGAGGTTTGAGTTTTGATCCTGTTTGAATTGATCTACCCTCTGTTTTTTTTTTTGTTTTCTCGCAGTGTCTCCAGCCCAGGAGACTGGGTAGTCTATGCTGGGGTAGTGGATTCATTAGGCACACTGTTTAACACTCCTCACACCGTGAGCCGCATTATAGCCCATGAAGGCTTCAACAGGCAGACTCGCAGGAGTGACATCGCTCTGATGAGATTGTCTAAACCTTTGGACCAAACAGGTGCCTACAAATGCATTTAAACATGTAATGTGATGTGCAGTATTTTCTCAAATTCCAAAGTTGGTCCCATTTAAATACATGTTGTACCTTGTCCAGAGTGCACAGAAGCAGTAGGCCTTACTAAACTACATCTTTAGACTATGAATGAAGAACTACATCTTTTTAGCTGGATAACAACAGATATTATTACTTTATAGTTTCCAGTAATGCTGGACCTGTGTGCCTCCCAAATGTTGGTCTGAACTTCACCAAAGATCTGAAAGGCTGGACAGCACAGTTTTCTAAGACTATGAATGGTGAGACGGGCTTTCTGTGTTTTTTTAACAGCAAGACTATTATGAAAACAATATCTCAGACAATAAGTATTAGGATTTGATGTTTTTAAGGGTTAAGAAATTAAATGTCAAGCCATTTTGTTGGTCACCGGCACTGCCTCTAGGTGGAGCTCATGGACTTTTACTCTGTTTGCCTTGATAGTGACTTGCCCATTTCTACATTAAATGTATTTGAGGTAATTCTGAAGCTTGATGGACTAGAGAGTAGAAGGTGTTGATTTTAATGTACAATTGTTTTGTCTCATTTTAAAGACTCTGACTCTCTATACCTGACGGAGGCTCAGGTGTATCTCATAGATACTGCAGACTGCAACAGCTCCATGGCTTACAATGGTAAAATTTCCCAGGACATGTTGTGTGCCAAAGAGGTGGAGACATCAAGCTATATGTGCCGTGTAAGTCAAACAAGTGAGACACACATAGACACACAGAGGTAAACAAATCTATTTTTCATGAGAGTTGTAAATGACAAGTTAAAATGCTAAAACCAGCACAAATAAACTGGTTGTATTGACTGATCGTGACATAATACACACCCACATATTACACAGTACAATCTGCTTTTTGTAAAGTGAGTATCACATTATTTCCCTGCCCTCAGGGTGTACTTGTTTAAGCTTTTGCTACAAAAGCATCCCTTTAAAATAGAATAATGTAAATTGGGAGTTGGTCTCTGAATAGCAGTGTTCACTGAAAAAGTAAAAACTCCAGATATTATGAAAACACTTGCATTTTATAGCTTTTTCATAAGCAGCTTTGGTTCTTGGAGGAATTTAAAGACCATTCATGCCCTTATGTAACTTGCTTCTTGGACTCAAACAAGACCAGCTCTGTGCTATTTACATGGTAACAATTTCAAACAAACAGTTCCACTTTGGACTGAAGCTTAACGTTGACAGCTCTTTTCATCAGGCTTAGAGAGACCTTGTAAGACCTTAGATGCTTCCGTACTTGACTAATGTTTAATAGTAAGATTTCAGCAAAACACAGTTTGTTATTTGCTTATCACTTAGATACACTTGAATTTGAATGTGAGAATCTACTGTTTTTTGTTTGTTTGTTTTGTGCCCAACATTTCCTCAGACTGACAGCGGTGGCCCTCTGGTGTCCTTGAAGGATGGAGTATGGTGGCTCAGAGGGGGCGATATCTGGGGGCCGAAATGCATAGAGCAGAACGCACCAGGTGTTTATAGCGACATCACCTTTTATCTGGACTGGATCTTCCATCAGATGAGGGTAAAATACTCCACGTACTCCTTGTCTCTCCCTCTACCTCACTTTTTCAGTCAATCCCATAGACTGTATATAGAATGGGATATATTATATAGAATATTAAGGGGTTCAAGTTTTCTATGATTGACACCTGGTACAGCCTATGGGCGTACAAGGCTTGCGTAGTTCACCCGGGGGATAAGCTGTTGATGCTGAGCGTCATCACAGCGACTCTCCCGCCGAAATGAGCTGCAAATGGAAGTCAGTGAAGACACAGCATATAGAGTGATGTTTTAGGCTGGTTGAAGACCAGATGTGCGCCTTTTTGGATTATCTGCAGAGGTTTAAGTTTGCATGCAGAGAGAGACTTGCAGAAGTCAATATGAGGTACAACGTTACTATTACTGCTGTGCAACTTGTTGTCAAGCAGTTTAAAAATATTCATATTTTCTGCCCTCCATGAAACAGAAGATTAATGTTAAACAGTCTAAGTTGTAAGAGTGTCCTCTGGGTTCAGTCTTTGTGTGTGGTTTTTTAGAGGCTCTGAAAAAGAGAAAATACAGAATGAAAACACAATTTGTTCTATTATCAAAGTAAAAAACGCAATTCTGCTAAAACGGTGTAGCATAATGCTCAAATATCTTCACCTACAGTCAGTATCACTGCGGCATCCCTGCTCCACACAAAGTGCGGCAACATTCATCTCTCGAAGGGGTGTCTAACGTGGTGTTGCGGTGTGTTTGACCTTAAATTAATTTTATGCCGTAATATCTCTTTAAGTTCAGGAAGTAGTAGATCAGTGCATAGAGCCCATTGCAGGGAGTAAATGTATAGAGTTTTCATTGGGCTATTTTATACTTTTATCCAAAAAAAAAGATTGCGATGATTATCAATATTGTTTTATCATCCAGTGCTATCAGTAAGACATGGTGAGATCTGAACCAAGACTGTAATGTTATCTGTTGTAAATTAAGAGCTTGGTATCCTCTGCACAGAGTGGCACAGTGGTATTAATCACCTTATGAGTGAATAACTGCACCAAATGAGAGTGCGTCTTGAAAAGGGGAGAAGACTCCTTGAAGAACCCTAACCAATAGGCCATGAGGGGAGCAGGCGCCAGAGAGTGTGAAGGGAGGGACTTGGTGGTTGACTGTGTTAAGGGCAGCAAACAGATCAAGCAGCAGTATGACAGAGGGCTGACCAGCAGCTCTGGCAAACTGCAGTCCTGAGTCTTTTTTCAGGAGAGTAGTTCTACTTAAAGCCAGACCAAATTGGGTCAAAAGGTCGTTGCTTTTATAAAATGCTGTCTCTTAGCCATTTTAATCTGGAGGAGAATTATACAAGTTTTTGCTGATAATCACTCAAGTCATTGGACCTTATAAAATCAAGCCACTCTCTCCCTGCTGCCATGAGCTCAACTCCTTGTCCTCTGATGAGCTCAGAGATCAAGAGACTTTGAGGGTTGCAAGGATGCTTTGACACTAGAGGGCAGAGTTTGTCCAGAGAGGAGGCGAGCGAATAGCAGGGTGTGTCTCTTGCCAAGGCTACAGTGTGGAGTACTTGTCAGGAGGCAAGGAGATCTTGTTAGACACTGTGAATGGTTTTACAAACCAAATGTTCCTATAGCATGATACCACTTGTTAAGGAAGTTAAAGAAAGATAATAGTGAATTTGATCAGATCTATCAAAAGTAACAAGCAGTTTTTTTGTAATTTTGAAAAAATTGGTGAACAGTATCAACCACTAAATATGTGTAGGCTTTGTTCCTTTGATCAAAAAATGCAAACCTTTTTATAAAAACATGACATAAGACAAGACAGAAAAACTTGTACTTACATTTGTGTTTTTCTCTCTACAGAAGTATCAAGATGACTGATGCCAATTCTCACGATGAACTATCTGTGGATATCATTTCACAATGTTGTTCAAGAACAGTTTATTTCTCAATGTCTCAACTTTATCTTTGACTCTTATGAAACCTACTTCCCACAAGTCATTGTGTGGGCTTCTGTCTTCATAATTTACACCTCTGATAATGCAGATTTTGGCCTGACTCATGATTACTGTAAAGAAACTTTGCAGACATAGCCTTGTAACATTTTTTGTGTCAATTATTTAATGATATTAAAACCTCTGAACAACAAAATGTTTCAAAGTTTACACATAAATTAGTGTCATATTTTGACAAGATATCATATACCAACACAAGATGTCACTCTCATACCACCTCTTCCTGAATCCAAAATGATGTTTTATTCCAGAGTAGCCTTTAAAAAAAGGTTTGTTTATTTATTTAAAATGATTTACATCTCTGATTTGGTCACAAGAACTTCTGTTTACAAAACATGCACGGTTTGTTGCAGAAACACTAAATACATGAATATTCAAAGATTCAAGTGTACCTTAAATTTTACAACTCTAACAGACAGTGACTCATCAGGGTGATGAAATCTGATATTATGCAGCAGTCTCAAAGGAGGAACAACCTTCATGTGTTGCATCATTGGCTTTTCATGAGTGGTTGTCAGTTTGTAAAGAAGCTCACTTCTTACTGCAAATGAATCAGTCAGCTTTGCTAAGTAGTTATCTTAGGTCAACAAGTAATTAGAAGTAGCACATTTGTATCTAAAAAAAAGTCCTTTGGCTCTCATGTAACTCTGTATACAGTGAGCTGTATGGCTTTATATTTAGCATTTGACATCTAGTGGCTACAAAAAACATTTGGAAAACTATGACATCTCATTTAAGAAGAATTAAATATAAAGTTAGTTGTATACAGAATAATCAAAAATAATAAACCAAACAAATTGCATTGCAGATTGAAACAAAACTGATATTTAGATTTATATTACATCTTTGATTGACTCCAGGAACAAAGTGCAGTTCAGCAGAGTAACTCTCATCCGACTTGTGGTGTGAATCATATTGTACTGCCAGACAGCTAAGACTTCAAGGCACAATACGGCTCTAACTCTGTTTCAGTAACAGTCTTTAAAGTGATTGTTTGAGCAGCTTTTAAACGTTGACATACACAGGCATAAACTTAACTCCTCGGAAGATGTAAAAGGTTAACTTTCAAACAGAGTATGGCAAAAAAAATATGACTACAGGGATTACAGGTATGAATTAAGCCTTAAACATCTGTTAGTGGCAGATAATCAACTGTAGAGGCTGTTTGCTTTGAGGAAATGAAAATAATAATACGGTTTGGCTCGGAAGAAATCAGTAAAACTTCGGCACCACAAATGAGTGAGTGAGTATTCCGGATGATTGTCCCCCTCCAGCTATTTGCAAACAACTACACACAATACATGAAATTATACAACTGGTAATCATCAAGAAACAAGTGAGATATGCCACAAAATATGGCAACAAAACAGTAAATACATCAAAATCTGTCTCTAAGAGGTGTGTTAAGGGCGGATATTCCCTTCAAGAGGCCGTTGATGCGTCTGTTTTTACCTCCACGGGGCAACCTGATGAGTTCACTCTTAACTCTGTCAGGCATTTAGAGCCATGTGTCAATGTTTGGTGCAGGTCAAGAGTAACGCCTTTCCCCTCTGCGGTGGATGCGCCCGTTGTGCTGTCCCCTTGTCTATTCACCCTGTCCTCCTGTCCCTTTCCTCTCAGTCACTTGATGCGATGGCGGACAAGTGAGGACTCGTCTGTTATCTCCCCTGAGTGTCGTCTGCGTCGGCAGGGCAGGACTAATAGAAGCAGCAGAATGACAAGGACAAAGGCGCAGACCGCCATCAGGGCGTAGGAAATCACCCAAAGAAGAGGCTCCTTCAGAGGCCCACTAGAGCAGTTGCCCGCCACATCTGCTGCTGAGAAGGGTCCCGCTATCTCCGACAGAGCCATCCCACTGTTCACTGCAGTGGAGCAAAAGACGGTTACGGAGCTATTAATAATTATTAATTATCATCTGAAGACCATGAGAACCCATGCATGATATTAATGTAAATATGGACAGATCCAGAACAAAAATTATTTACACAATTCAAAAAGCTGGACTGGCAGATCAAAAAGGATGTAGTTGAAATCAATTTGAGATTACTTTCTGAATGAAAGACGATAATCATCACTTTGATGATAACGATCTAAAGTCCATTATAAACGGGAAATCAAGACTGCATGACAACTGCTTGAACGTATCTGCTTCTGTTGTCTTTTAACGGTAGAAACTAAGCGTATCATCACATACAAATTTGAGTTCATCTGCTTTACTTGAGGGAAACTTACTACATGAAAAGAGTTTTTTTTAGAGCCATCCCAGTTATTGAAGCTCAACTTAATACCGACTCTCTAACCTTCAGCCTACATCTCTTCCAAGTAACTTTACTTATTAATGGACAAAAGTGATCTTTGTACTTTGAGATGAGAGTGGGAGGCGTTGTCGGAGCTCATATTTACACAGCACAAGGAAGTAGGAGTTGTTGTTTTTGTAGGTTTGAAGCAGTAAGGCCTCTACCATTTATCCAGGAAGTTTTGGTTAATTTTACAAAACATTTTTCCAATTGCAGAGTTTAATTTTCCATGAGTTATCAATTTGTCAAACTACTATACAAAATTCTGGTACCTGTTTCTTTTTCTTTTTTGTCAGCTCAAGAATAAATGTATTGTCGCCTAGCAATAATATCATGGGGGAATTAGCTTAATGGATTAACCATCAATAGATAGAGAAAATACACCAGACATTAGACGAGAAGCCGTTTTATGAAATCTTGAGTAGTAGCCACTCCAAACAACTTTGGCGGATCATCTATTCTGTCTTTGATAATATTTTTTTTAGCATTTTAATGTCTTTTTAACTTTTTTTAATACATTCATACTTACTTATACTGATACCTGAAAACAATCTGAAGTCAACTAAAGGGGGCCTGAGATTTCAGAGCATATTCTGGGGACTATGATTTACAATGTCTTTTAAACTGTACATAAACAGACACATGCATACAAATTATTAATATCATATCACTGGAATCATACTGCACATTTGAAAAGTAATGAAAGATGCTGACATTGGAGTATGACAACCTAAGGAACTTAATGGACAGTACTGTTCTTTTTTTTTTCTTTTTCTTTTTAGGTTAACCTTTTTAACTGATATCATAAAAAGAAAAAAAAAATGTTTTCACCAATTTACAATGTTTGGACATGGTATTAGATGCTTTTCATACTTTTCTATCATAGCATTAGCATTGTATGAACCCTCACCTGCACAGCTGCTCAGTGCGAAACCCAGTCTCCGCTGGGTGCGGTCAAACACCACATAGAAACCTTCCATAACAGTAGCACCTATCACCAGGCCATTAGATGAGGAAGACACGCCAAAACGGAAGCAGTCTAAGGTGCCATCCACGTCACTGATTGGCTGGATGTACAGCTGTAAGGCGACAGACAAAGTAATCAAAGAGTAAGAAGGATTGATCAATGTTTCTGTGTTTTAGGTGGATGAGGAAGTTACTAGAAGGATTCATTTTGTTTTAGTGCACCTGAGGCAGGATGGTGATGCGAAAGGTCTGGCTGGTGTTTGTGGCCCGAAGATAGATGGACAGCTTTGGGAAAAACCTCCAGGGGGTTTCTCCCTTCATCCAGCAAGCAAGCTTCGTGCCTTCCCAGAACCCTGAAGAAAACTCCTGAATCTGAACCAAAGAGAATAAAAGACAAACAGACCGAAAAAAAAAAAAAGATCAGCACTGCACCAAAACAGGTGATGCTATTGTTTTTCAATTATGATTAATCTACAGGGATACGGGTACATAAGTTGAAAACACTGCTTCCTGGTTTAAATTAAACCTTGTTTACTTGTGAGCACTAACAAAACATTAACGCACTAAAAAAAAACAAAGGGTGAGCATTGAAACACATGCACAAACAAACACACATACATACTTATTTTTTTACATCAAAGAAACTCATTTGTCCTCTAAAAGCTACAACGTCCTTGAACAGTGAGTGTGTGTTATCATCCCCTCTGCATCTCTTTTACTTTGGCTTATTTCATCACCGTCAGAAGCAAAATGGGAACGTACCAGAGAGCTGCGTGTGATGGCTGCTACCACAGCATTGAAGACATTGACAGGAAGACGCAGTAATGTTGTCCCACTGTCAACTATGGCTTTATCCATGTTATACTGAAAGCAAAAGAGAAGATTAGATAAGAGGAGAAATTCATTGATCCCCAAAGAGAAATTCAATAATGGGTGCTGTGCAGTAGTTTTTTAGTTCAACAGTTTCCTATAGAAGACCTTGAGTGATTAAATAAAAACAGAAAAATTTTGATGTTTTTTTTATTTTATATTTTTTTACATGCTTACAGATGACTTCATACCCTTGCAGGGACACTATTCAAATTTAATTTAATTCCAGTGTTGTAATCTAGCTAAAAAGCAACTCACTGCCTTTCTATCTCTGGTTTAAAAACATCATTTACTTCTATATGGTGAGGGATGCGGTTCAAAACTGTGAGAAAATCATGGAAGCAAAGCAGCATATGAAGTTTACCTCTCTGCAGTCCAGGTCTAGATTCTGGTCGCCAACTTCAAGCTTGAGAACCTCAACTTGGTAATACCACTCCTCTACTATAGGGGTGTACCACACTGACCCCCGGAACAGAGCAGGTTCAGCCCCTCCCATGATCTGAGGGGGACAAATATAACAGTTACACAGAATATACAATTAGGACAGGAAAAAATGTTCATCCCTGTGCTATTATTTGTCATAATAAATAAATAAAACACTGTGCACACACAAGCAACCTGCCATTTTATCCATCTGCCTGTCTCAGTGGGTTACATAATGAAGACTCAGCAAGCGAGACACCTAGGCTGTTTGTATCACAGCGACAGACCTGCTCTCAGCAGGATACTGTCTTCGCTTAATTATCTCCACTCTTAACTGACTCAGCTTCCAACAATGCAGAACCAACACCAATAAGGCGGATATCAACTCTTATAATTTTAGATGTGTTAAGCTGATATTGTTTGCCTGATTAATGAAATAAATACGTTTTCTTTTCCAAGAGGAGAAGTGCCCCACCATGAGTAAAACCACTCACAAGACTGCCTCCTGCCAAGTCCACTGTGCTGCTGGCTGACAGTCCAGCACCACACATCTGGAGGGAGAAGATGTCAGGAATTCCCAGCTGTCTCACCATTGAGTTGAAAAATGGCTCCACAGAAGAGTCAGGCTATTTGGGAGACAGGTTTGTTAATACATTAACTTATCTATTATTTTAAACTTTGACCTTTTGTGTTTTCTGCTTTAAAATTTTGTGATCATTAGGGCCGGCTTGGTTTACATTATTTTCTCTTTTCCGATGTATAAAGACAGAAAATCCAAACATGAAAATGTCAGAGAGCCAAATATTTTGATGAAGTATTTTTTTTTAACAAAACACTAGTTGAAAACCCAAACCTTTACATGTAACAGATTTTTTGGGTCAACCTTCTTGTGATTATTTTACTGTGTGAGCCCTACAAGATCTTTTCATGTGTCCATTGTTGCAAAGGATATGCTTTATAAACTTAAAATAAATCTGGTGTAATATATAGATTATGAATACAACGATATATCCATTACTTTCAAAAACACAGCTCAGGCTATCTTTTCTATTAGTTTGTGTTTTTGTCAAATCACAATGATCATATTCAAATTATTGGGCATCTCTCACCCGTGCCAGCATAGGATAGGCCAGTCCAAGGATACCCTGCCAGTTAACCCCAGGAAGGAAAAATCCATCAGAGGTGAGGATGGCAGCTATGTTGACAACGATAGTTCCATTTGGGCCCTTGGGAATGGAGACTTGGTCGATGGCTAGTTCACCTTCCCAGTTACCCTGGGTGTACCGAACAGCCACAGTCCGCCCAGTTGACTCATAGGTAGTGGAGCTAAACACAGGGGAGGAAACCCAAATATTCAGAGATTAACTAAGTGCTTATCTCAAGAAGAGAATATGACTGGACTGGAAGACATAGTAAGTCATCATTTTACTGATTGTAAGCTAAAAATACAAGTATATAAATATATGTAATATGTTAATTTAACCTCCACTGTTAATGCGAAAGAGCATTAACCAACCACTCACAGTGCAGTGTCGAAGTAGTGAGAAATAAATGGGTGTGCAGACGCTGCCACGGCAAAGTTACTGCTGCCTGTGTCAACCAGGATGTTGAGCTGAAAGACACAAAGCAGGGTGGTATTTAAAAGCCATTCAAGTTAATCCCCTTCAAGACAACCTCACTCTGACTTATAGTGCTCCTAGATACAGTATACAAAATTCACGGGTGTAATACATTGATAGGAGGACTTAAAGCTTCTTAACTGCAACTTACCCAAGTTCAAAGTCAGTTTTTACTTGAATTACTTGTAAGGGGGACAAAAAGCAGAAGGCTTAAGCTGAGTAACAAGATTCTTTACATAAAATAAAAACATGATTATGAGGGAATGAATGAATGCAACTTTTATTGCCCCTTGGGTACTTTGCCTTGTGCAAACAGCATTGAAACACATAAATGGCAAAGACACCAACAGTCATGCAAGATAGTGCATATTAATCAGTTAATCAGTCATTAAAAAGAAGATCATTAGAATATTACACGGTTACTTCTGAGGAATAACAAAGTACAGCACGCCAAGTTCAGACTGCGTATCAGAGCTTACTCAGAGCAAGTGAATGCCTCTTTTTTGCATGTCTCGGGTGATTTCTTGAGCTAAAATGTACAAATAGGCAGACAAAGCTGATAACATTTTACATTTCTTTGATGTATTTTCTATGTCGTATATTTGAAAGATACATGGTGGAGTTGCAGCAGTTTTTAATTAGCTGTTTTTGTGGATCTCAATGCATCAAGAATTGGTAAAATACACCGACCTTGCCATTTGTTTGCCATGCAGTACATGTTTGGTATTATTTTTACCTGATGGAATCATTTGGTGGAATGCAAGTTTTTTGCAGCTGTCCAATTGCTTCTTTAAGGTAGAGTTCTCATTGACTCAGATATGCAGCCCAAGACTGAAGCTTATAGTGTCCACTTTACAGCTGTATTACAATATGAAACAGAAGGTATTTCTCTAATTTTCAGCGTTTCAGTAAAATTCAAAAAAGGTTTAAAAAAATCCAGAACTGAGTATTTTCCGAAGCTCATGGTGTCATAAACTTGCTTGACGAGCTTTGAAATGGAGCTAAAATTGCTAGTACCAACACTCATATAACTGCTCTTTAATGTATGATCTATGAGTCAAACAAGAAAGCCTCCAGATACTTACATGACTGTGTGACCCACCATAGTATGTGTCATGTGCACAGTGGAGACCAGCTAACAGCTCTTGAGATAATGTTTTCTCCCAGGCATTAAGTCAACAAGCAGGAACTAATTAGCCGGAAGACTTCTGTCACCTCCGATCACAGAGTGCTGGCCATATTAACACTCAAGTAGGGAGCATTCCTCACCATGATGGGGTCATAAACCCTATGTCCCACAGCCATCTGATGACTGACTCAACAACACAAAGATCCATACAGTGTCTTCAATGATGTCACATGATGGTCGATAGAACAATAAGTGTTCATTGAGCATGCTTAGAGGCACAGGCAAAATGTAACTGCAACAATCCATCTATCAACACCACCCCGTGGCTTCCTTTGTTTGAGACAAAGCGGAACAGCAGGAATTTGAAAAAACAAAAAGCACTAGATTGTTTACGGACAAACAAAAAACTAAACCCTCACTGGAAAACTTTTGAAACCTTGGAAACCAGAAACCCTTTTCCTCAAGTATCATCATTTTCTTTTCAGAAAGCATTTCACTGATTTGCACAGGCCAGGTCATTACGTAACAGCTTGAAAAAATATATTTTGGACATCAACAATAGGCTATCAATAAGTATGAGCAAAAGTAGCCAGGTCTGTGTAAATCAGGCTTGCCAGTTCCTCTTGATTGTGCCATCTAAAACCCTACTGCTGAAACCAACACCTGAACCAGCCAAATAAAGTCTTTTGGGGAAATACTGTGGTTTCAGGGGAATGTGGTAGAACAGGGGGCATTTCTTTATCTCTTTATCTCCATACCAGCTTTCTTTTCCTTATAAACTTTCTTCCCCTTAGTCAGCTGCTGTGTCATATGCAAAAAAAAAGAAAAAAAAAATCCTCCTCGTATTGCTGCGGCAGCCTGCAGTCGCCTACAGTTGAGCATTCATTGCCTAATTGGCACTGGATCCATGGCAGTAATGTGCATCTGCTACCTGTTTGTACCAATTAGCAGATGTGAGGCTCTCCAGCCGACACCTCAGCCTGGCTGCACCATATGCCAACAGATGCCGCAATTAGTGGCTCATTTGAATAGTGCCTCATTTAACACCATGGCCCTTTAATCACATCATCATTTAGTCTGGATAATATTAAGTGTATTACTCAATACAGCTGAGTTACAAGGCATTTTTCCATTTGAACTAATGTGGACTAAGCTCTGCAGCCATGAATAACCGATATAAAGGCTTCTTTAAGATTTGTTTGTTACAGCTGTAACATCAGAGCAGGAATATCACAAGGGAAAACTCTTTCCTTTATCTTTACAATACAAACTTTGAAGAAGAAAAAAGTGTGAACATACACTTCTGATGTTGCAGTGACTTTCTATACTTTTTTATGTCTATGAAAACTATAACATTGCCACAATTTGTACATTTAGAAAACACCATTTCTAAAATTGCACCATAATGGGTGCAACATTCAAAGAAATGTTTGTTAAAAAACATCAGTGTTTACCTCCTCTTCTCCAGCTTCCTCAGGCTGTGTGGAAAACAAGTCACCTGACACTGACACTGACATTTTTCACCACTGTCAATGACATGTCATTTTAGGTAACACAATGCTAAGAGATGTAAAGACTATTGCTTTCTTTGTTCAAAACTGGTTCAGTACCTCGGTGTGGTGCATAGTAGTTCACTTTTTTGCTGACAGAACCGTCAACTGAGATTTTCATGGCACCTCTACCCTGCCTGCTGTGTTCAGTCATATTGATAGCTGTGAGGTTAAATAGAAATCAAAAGGTACACCACTCTGACACTACTACAGCACCTTCAATTAAATATTACACTTAATTAGAAATGTAGTGTACATGTAAAATTCTAATCCAATGTGTGTTCTGACTAAACTATTTCTGTCCGGTCCTTTTAACTTCATTACTATCATTATTATAGTCTATCTATTGACTGTTGGTGGCAAATGGTAACCACATCTGTTTCTGGCAATCAGGAACAGGTACAAGGAAGTGTTTTGCTTACAATCATTTACACTAGTATACTATCATTCAATCAAGAAAGCAAATAATCCACCTATTTTTAACATGTTTAAATTGTCTGTAAAGATTAGATGTAGGAACTGAACTTTGACAAGCGTTGAAACCACATCCTCTTAGAGATTGACACAGGATAATGACTGGAGTGGCTGCACTGACTAGCCTGTGTGATCTTGAGAAACTGATGATATTCCAATAAACAATAGACCGAGTCATCATACAGTTAAAGCCCCATTTCAAACACATCCCTTTACAACAAAATGGTGAACCCTCAAACCTTGGGCAGCCTTAACCCTTTTCCAACTTTACCAGGAGCATTAAATCCCCCTCAATCATTCAAATTAAATTATTATTGTTTTGCTCTTTCTATAAGGAGCAGATAAAAAGAAATCAATCTTAATGTACAAAGACATCTTTTCAGTCTATTGGGAAATCACAAATATCTTTGAAAAGGAACTTTTATCCCTCTGCTGTGGGGTTTGCTCTTTGCTCCATGGGTGCCTCATAATCCCCATCAGCTGCCTGGTAAGAAACAGTGGTCCTTCCAGGCAGCATCATGTGAGTGCATGTGAGGGGAGTTTAGTCTTCATAAACCAAGGCCCTTAAGACTTGAGCCCACTGCCTGCACCCCACACCCATTATATCGTCCTGCCCTGCTGCTTGTCCTCTAGACTGGCCTGAAATTAAGAGAACTGTTTTCATATAAAAGAGACTGTGATAGATAAATATTCAACCCTCTTCTTCCCATGACCTAAGACTTTTTTTATGCTAGGTATTATAAAACACTCATAAATACATCAAAACAACAGATATTGCATAGACAGTTAGCTCGAGCCTTAGGGTGAAACAAACACACCCAGTCCACTCACACACTCAGCGTCCTTCACTAGATCACATGGTGGACCGACCAGCCCCTGTTCACACACAACAGCAGACACATCAGACCTGACACCAGCTGACTGAAAATCACATATGGCCCTGTTTGAGTCAAAACTATTGAGGTGGAGAAGAAAAATAAAACAAGTTATACTTTTGACAAAATAAAAACTCAAAAGGGGTAAACTTTTTAACACCACAACTGAAATAATACAGATTTAAAACAGTCCCAGACTTGCACACTGTCACAGTAAATGCGTTAAACATACAAATTACCTTTTGACCTGGAGTACCAAGCGACATTTCAATGTAGTATCCTCTTCCAGAGTCCCCTTGTAAGTTACTGACCATATCCAGAAAGTTCACGGTCCCGGTTGGATCAGAGGCCAAAGAGAGGCCGTTTCCATCTGACGTTAAGACAACTTGCCGCAGAGTCAAATCCACAGCCGAGGATAAATTATACTTCCCTGTGTATATTTTGAGCGGTATAGAAAACAAACACTTGGACGCTACGAAGTACAAGCTTAAAGTAAATGCCCTTATCAAAAGAGATAGCGTGCTTGCCATGTTGTTTCTATAGCAATAACAGGAAAGGTTTTGGGAAAGACTCCTCCTTGCTCAAAGTTTGCGACTTGAACTAAGTTTCAGCCATCATAAATAAGAAGGCACTACCTCGGTGACGGTTACACTGGAAACGACGCCTCTTCGCCGTCAGTAAATAGCTCAACATACTGACATGGCAACACACTTTGTCACTAACTCCGATTGTTCGCCTGTAGTCAGTGTACTTCATAGAGTGTTTCGACTCCATCCAGTCCCACAATGGAATCAAGCTCGGTCAAAACGTACGACTTGGCTTCCGGTCATCTAAACTTTCAAAATAAAGGAACACGAACAATTATTTTGTTGCGTCAAAATAAAAGGCGCAATTAAGACTTACACAGACAGCGTATATGTCTTCCCTCTTTTGATTTGAGTTGATAAGTGGACTTTTTTTTTGTAATTTAGAAGAATATTCGATAAAAATTTAGGGAAGCTCACTAAAATTTGCGAACAGAGTAAAGCAGATTAGAGTACACCTAAATTGGGTTTGTAGACAGTTGTTGCCACAGATAATACTACACAAACAATAGGGGAGACCGGGGATGGTTGTAACATTTTTGACAATTCTGTCTTAGAGCTCTTTTAAGCCAATGCATTCAAACTGTGATATAAACTAGGTATATGTGTCTGCTATTAAAGGCCGTAGCAGTTACCCCTGCAACATAAATAGACTACGCATAATTTAAGGTCCTTACACACCAGGACCGTTTTTGTCGTGCTATTATTTCAGACGTCAATAATTTTTTTCCCATATCCTATCAATACAAGTGTTCACATCAGCAACGTTTTGAACGTCCTGCAATATTGCAATATTAAAGTTTCACATACTGTGTGTCCGCTTCTAACCAATCAGATTGCGTGTTGTTGCGACGTCTGATTCACCTGCATATCCAACATGGCCGACCAGCTGATTGTTTATGTGTCGGAGAACAGAGTGCTTTTTGATAAAAGACACAAACATTACAAAGATAACGACCTGAAGGACAACATAGCATCGGATCTCTCATATGACGGTGGTTTGTGTACTTTAACAGTTTGCTAAACACCTTTGTTTTAACTTTCATCTGTGCTAACATAAGCTAATGGCTGTTACCACAGTTTCATTTGCTTATCTTATCGCCTGTGATTGGCTATAAGTGCTGACCGTTTGGCTTGAGCGTGTGATGACGTTTCCAGCTTTTCTAGCCAATCAGAGGCGAAGGAGGTGGGACTTTCCCCAGCAAAAGTCTTCCCTGGGATGCGTCTTTTCCCCCTCGGAAAGTCGCAAAATTGCATCAGGCTTGATGTGTATAATAAGGCCCGTCAAAATTCACCTCAGAATATTTCGTAATTTTGCTTTCTATGTTCGCGTTGGCCCCAGTGTGTAAGGACCTTTACAGTAACTACATGTCAACATTGCAAGCAGGGGGGAGAAAAATTTATGTTCTGTGTAATAAATTTCTAAAGTTTGTCCACAGCTCCATAAGCTTTGCTGGCGTAGGCGGGATTTATGACCTATACTGCAGCCTGTCAACAGAGAGTGCTGTTCTCGGAGTGGCTTCACCCAGCGAGGAGGCAGACGCTGTCCATTCTATATACAGTCTATGGTTGTAACATACACTGGGTTGAAATGTAACATTAAAAAATCAGGATAATGACAAAACTTTATTGATTGGAAGCTTTTTATTGAACAATTTAACTGCATTTTAACATAACTGGTTTGTATGTGTGTGTGTGTGTGTGTGTGTGTGTGTGTGTGTGTGTGTGTGTGTGTGTGTGTGTGTGTGTGTGTGTGTGTGTGTGTGTGTGTGTGTGTGTGTTAAAATTGGCTGAGTCTACCACAGAATCCTACATATACAGCTTGCATCGTTGGTTATTGCACAGAGTATTTTACAGTATAATAGAGTATTGTACAGATGAAGAAGCTTGCAGCTACTTAAATAGAAATAAGGCCAGGGCCAGAATAGAATGTATGTCACTCAGAGGAAAAAGTTATAAAGTTTGATGGCCACAGGCTAGACTGACTTCCTGTGACACTGTGTGGCACATTTATGGGAAGTGAGTCTAGCACTGTATAAGATAAGAAAAGAAGAACTTTACTGTAGTGATGAGAAGTTCGTCTCTTTTCAGAGAGCCGGCACTTTTGGCTCAGATCCCAAGGAACAGCCAGCTCTTTTGACTCCCAAACTGCTTTTAATTTAGGATCTTTCGCAACCGTATATCTTACTTTAACTTCGCAAAAATGTATGATTTGTGTGTTGAAAACCCTTTTGTGTTCAGTGTTTTTATGCCTAATATTTAGCATATATTCTGTTTTTAAAAAATTCTTACTTTTGTTTAAGTTTTTAATCAAACTTTTTTATTGCACAAATTGACAAAACAAACAAACAAACAAACAAAAACTGCAAACCAACCAACAGAATAGAACTAGAACCAAACTAAAGCAAACAGTATAAATGTCCTCAGTGCAGGTTGACATTCAGAAAAATCTGATGCCTCAGTTTGGATGGGCTGATCTGATTTCTTCTCTACGTGAATGTCTGCCCCCCTCTGTTTTCACAAAATGGTGTGATCCTACAGCAGAGCTGGGGTTGAGCACCATAGACATAATATACCTAAAGGCCTCACAGAATTGACACTGCCCATTGGAGCTGGCTCTAATAGGCAACTCCCCGAATTTTCACACAGATTGGTTTGTTAGAAATGGTAGAAATGTGGTTATGATACAGGATGCTGTTACACATTAAAAAAAAATAATAATAATTGATCTTACTTGTGTAAGGTAATCCTACGTGACCTGGTTTCAATACTGCGCTAGTTTTTGCAACCGTAGGCTGCACAAAATACTAAAATACTAGTTTCAAGATCAGATGTAACTTTACCAGTATCCTCTTCTTTCTCACCACCATCAGAAAGTCCAGCTTTACTCCCACAATGTCAGTGGCCTTGTGGTTAACTTTGATTGAATCTGTTAGCTTCTGCTACCCTCAATCTGCTGCCTCAGCACACAACAGCAAACAGGATTGCACTGGTCTACCACAGATTCATAGAACATCCTCAGTATCGTCCTGCAGATGTTCAAGGACCTCAGCCTCCTGGAGAAGTAGAGTTCGGCTCGGACCCTTCTTTTAGACCGCTTCAGTGTTCTTAGACCCTTCCAGTTGAATGTCCATGTCCACACTGACCCCCCTGGATGGAAACAGGGGTCACTAGTGCCTTTGTCCTCCTCAGAGCCACTATCAGCTCCTTTGTTTTTGTTGCATTGAGCAGGAGATGGTTCTCCTTGCATTATGTGACAGTCATTTACCACAGTCCTGTATTTAGCCTCATCAGCTTTCCTGATGCATCCAACTACAACAAACTGAGCAAGCTCCAGAGAAGCCAAAAAACATGACCCTCACAGTGCTCTCTGGCTTGTCTGGGTGAGCAGACACAGTTAAGCAGGAAGGTGATGGCATCCTCTTCTCCCAGACGGGGCTGGTAGGCATCTGGAGCGGATCCAAGAGGTCTCTGACCATTGGCCTCAGCTGTGCCAAAATGAGTCATTCCTAGGTCTTCATGACACGAGACTTCAATGCCACCAGTCTACAGTCCATGGAGCTGATGGGAGGTAGCGTCTCCAGCACAGGCATGAGGCAGGATGTCTTCCACAGCACAGGGACCCTTTGAAGACTGATGAAGACATGATTAAGCACTCCACAGAGCTGGGGGGCACAGGATTTGAGCACTCTGAAGCTGATACATCAGGGCCTGCAACCAGTCTTATTAGCCGTCTTCTAACCTGGTCAGCTGTGAAGGACAGTGCCAAGCTTCCTACTGTAACTGTTCTCAGCCTCCCTGAGCTTCACTTTCAGGTCCCTTTGGACTGTCCACACCTAATCCAGATTACCATCTTTGAAGGCCCTCTTCTTGGCATTCCGGAAACAGCCCAAAAACACATTGATTGGTGACCTTAATAACCCACAACAATATGATTTGAAGACACTTTTAGTACATTTTTATGCAGTTTTAACTCTTTAACATAGGGTAACATAGTTAAGTATTTAAGTGCTTATTTTTTGTATGCCTGTTATGTTTTTGACTCATTCATAACTGTTTCAAGTTTTGTGTGAGTAATTTTTCCAGGCTAATCCTGATATTAATTGTATGCACTTGTTTTATTGATATATAGAGTAAATACCCAGCCTGGGTTATATATCCAAAAATGATACACATGCACTCTGCATGTGTATGATGTTTTTTCTTTACACAGATGTAGGCGCCATGTAACTAATTTAGATCAATACCTGTAAATTCAGTTTCATGGACAAAAACCTGTAAAACAAACATTTTTTGAAACATAAACTTCACAGTACCACTCACTAAATGTCAGCAATCAAGCTTGTTTATACACCAGGCACAGTTTTGTGTAATTATTTATTTAAGCCCAACACAAACGTGTTTTAACAGCCCCAGTGATCTCTACAGCTAAACTTTTCTAATACAACTCAGATAAATGGGTTACTTGTGATCGTCATCAAAATAATCCAAATCAGCATTAATGCACACAGAGGTCACATGCCTCCTTCATTCTTTGCTCAAGCTTTAACTGCTGGTCTGAGATTTTTATGCTCAGTTTAAGTATCAATTCCAGCTTTTGCATTGGTAAAGGTGGGCTATATAACAGTGTTTTCTTTTTTTTTTTAGTTAGTTTAGGGGGTTTTAGTTTCTTGTATTTTTTTTGCTAGGGCAGTCCCATTTGCTGCATTGACAGGACACACAGAGAGGAATGAGATCCCATTGGTAAGGCGAGATCAATGTCACAGGCCTTCTCCATGCTGCCTGTTTGACACAGAGACTTCCACTGTCTTACTCTGAATTCCTTATGAATCCACCGTTACAGTGTCACATGTTCACCCCATCTCCCTCTCTCTCTCTGTCTCACTATCTCATTGAAGTTAATCACTGTAGTTACAATAACTTGAATAATATGGGGAAAGACTGTGACCACAATTTTTTTTTTTCCGGTTCTTGTCATGCACTTGGTCTTGTGAATGACCCATTTTAGCACAATTCCTGTTTTTCTTTTGGCTTTGAGATACTTCCTTGGCCTCAGAGTATAAAAGCAAAAGGAAAACAAGAACCCATTATTTCTTTGTCTCTCCATTCCAATGAAACACTGTGAATATAGTCTACCCATAGGGACGTACAGGAGTTTCTCAAATGATCCAGTTCATGTCCATGGGTGTCACTGAAACTCCTCAACCAGGATCCAGTGAAATCA